GGGGGGGGAAGACTAAAAAAAGGACGACAGAAATATGGAAATCGACAATGAAGATCGCCTTCGAAGATACCAAACACATTCAATCGAGTGTCATAATCCAGAGGGGTGCTGATGGGCAGTGGCGAAAATGGGGACCGGGAGCTGAGAGAAAGATACTGAAACCTCAACTGTGCTTGAAAACAAGCATGTTGAATGCAAAGGTCTTTGATGCTGCAGATGCAGAACAAAATAGCCATTCGAGGCCGAGTCCTGTGGCCAGACTGCCTAATTCATGACTAAAGGGAGGGCCGGGCCGATGCATAGGGATGGATAGCCACACCTGCACTCCAGATTGGGGGACAGCGTCCAGGGTCCCTCATCATCTGCAAATCCAAAGTCGATCATTGCTGCAGAGAGACTGTTGCAGCGAGATCATCTGAATCGTCATGGCTAGAGGCTGACGGCAAGCCCAGCAGCAAGACAGACACACAGGGCTAGGGCCGGGCACGTGCTCTCGGAAGAACAACCCTCCGGACCCCCCTCGGAACCAGGCCCAGCCAATCAGAATGGCCATCTGCCCTGGCAGACTGGTCCACGGGATTCTTGCACATGATCAGCTCTTCAGTCGATGGTGAAGAACAGGGTGACTGAGGGGGCTAGCAGCAGGGGAGATACCAGAAAAAGACTTACAAAAAATGCTCAGTGATGGTGCTGTGATTCCATCCACAATTTGAGGCTGGCCGGTTGATCCCCTCACTCTACGGTGACTAAGACCGATAGCGCCCTTGTGGTTCCCCCTCCTTCCGTCACGGTTGGGCCCGACCGCCTCCGGCAGACGGCCGCCCGTTGGCTGCAGGCTGCAGGCCGCATCAGGTGACGCGTTGTTGCGCGCAGTGGCACCTTTGGTCCGTATCGCCCGCCGGAGATACCTCGCCCAGCAACTCTCCTCTTCTTCTCCTCCCTCGCCACGTGAGCAGCCCGCCCTCTCTGCATCGACTACTACTTCGCGATCCTCAAGTACTCGCTCTTCGTGTACTTGTCGATGCAAAATAATTCCTGTTCTGCTCATCTTTTTTGCAGAATTCAACTGCCGCAGCTCTGCTTGCGCTTTCTACATTAATCTCCCACTTTCTGGGCTTCCAAATCTCCCGAATCTGCCTTCGAGCTTTGTCTTGTCCTGGTCGCGCATACTGTTGTTTCCCGTGACTTCCTGTCAGGTGATAACAGAAGATCCCAAGGGTACGCCCCCCCAGACTCCCTCTGATGCTCTCCCCACCTGGCCCATCCTGCCGTCATCAGCAGCATCACAGCTCCGCCAGCTGGCAGAACAGTTGATCGCGCTGGATCCCACGCGTAGTCTCCTGCTCAGCGATGGCTGTCGGTCGCTACAATGCCGCCCTGGGTTATTTCCCTGGTCGCGTCCTCTTGCACCGGTCGGAAATGGCCTAGGATCGCCCTTTCCAGTATCCTGATTGCCGTTGTAATTTATGGACACAGTGCATATCTATAGCTCTTTGGGGAGCCCCAAAGAGTCCCTCCATGCCTCTGTGACTGCCCTTGAAATGAGATGGTCACTATCTAACCCGTCACTTTCACGTTGCTTATCGCGCTTTCAATCCATCACTGTTCTGCCCCGTATATCTCTTACTACTATGAAAATGCAAAGAAATCACAGCACTGAATTTCATGGGACATATGTCTAGACTACTACTCCTGCTTAGACAAACAGACTAACCTGACTGGCTAACTACAGATATCCTGAGCCTCAGCATAGCAGTGATTCAAGCGCCCTATTGACTGGCATTGCCTCTTTGCCCGTACCATCAATCAAATTCGGTGTCCTTCGTTAAAGGTAGTGTGCCCGCCTCCCTGTAGCCTGTGGAATTACCTCTGACCTATACTGCAAAACTAGGATAACTAAGGAATATCTGCTACAATGTCTGAGCCGACGGTCAATACTACTGACAACAGTGGCGCGAACAAGAGAAAGCGGGAAGACGACAACTCCGGCCCTGAGCCTCAACGTCTTGCGACATCCTCCTCCCACAGTGGCAACAACGGAAATGTCCAAGGTCTGAGCGCACCGACCGACAGCCAGTCGAGCTTTACTCATTCGCCCTTAGGCCCTTATGATGGTCATGGACTTCCGAATGCGTCTCCGGAGTTGAGCAACATCGACCAGCAAATTCTGCAGCACGTGGGCTCTCAGAATGGGATTTCTGATGAGAATGCCCTTACGGCCAAGGCTGCTCTGGCGGCTCACCCTTCGCAGAACAAATATCCTCCTCCGCCTGATGCAGGCTTTGACGGCACTACCAACCTGACCCATGGCCTGAGCTTTGGCGATGAAATGAATCAGGCTTCTATGAATCAGACCTCGATGAATCAGACTTCGATGAACCAGACTTCGATGAATCAGCCCTCCATGAATCAGCCTTCTATGGGCGCCAGTCATGGCCCCAACTCGACTGCTGCGGCGGTCTATGCAGCCCGCGAGGCGCAGAGCATGAACCAAAAGCCAACTGTCGGCTCTCCCGAGTGGCATGCTCTTCGCAAGAACAACCACAAAGAAGGTGAACTTTGCTCCCTTGCCCCCCCTAATGAAGCCCATGGTGATCATGTCTAATATGATTTGTCTTAGTGGAACGGCGGCGTCGTGAGACGATCAATGAGGGAATCAACCAGATCGCTCAGTTGGTTCCTAACTGCGACAAAAACAAGGGTGCCATTCTCCAGCGTGCCATCGAATACATTGTTCAGCTTCACGAGGAAAAGAAGCAAATGAACAGCCGCTGGGAACAGACCCAAATGACGACGAGCCATGCCATCAATGAGATCAGCGCGCAGAACGCGAAGTTGAAGGCCGAGGTCAACCGCCGCGGCGACATTGCTCTCAAATGGATCCAGCGCTGCCGTGACGCTGGTCTCGAGTTTGATGACTACGATGACGAGAAGGACCTCGGACAGCTCGAGATTGACCACAACCAGTCCTCATAGACGTCGACACCACCGGCCTTATTCCGTCAGAGATCTGCGCGGTCAGACCGGTACTCAAGCGGTAGAACTCGTCTGGGCGGCTGTTTCTTTTATCGAACCGGGTTCCAATTTTCACGAATGAACTGCATGTGATGACCTTTCCTTTTTCTGAATGACAGACATGGTCGTATTATTATTGCTTTTTTTTTTCTTCCAGATTCGGTCGACGTTCCGATTTTCCCACTCCCAGCTGCATCTCGTCGAGCTTACTCCAGCGAAGTCATGACCGTGACGGCGGAGTCTCCGAGGACAGCTGCAGACCAGATCAGAATTTTTCCTTCATTTGATCTCTAATCTTTTCTTTTCTCTGTCTGTTCATCTTTTAGAGTTAAACGGTTCCTAGGGTTATTGATCCGGTTTCATTCGATCCGATTGCATTGACATTCTGCTTGCTGTTTTTTCCAACTTGCTGCGGGTTGTTTGTTTGTTTGCTGCTTTTTGCATTCTTCATTTCTCTTCCTCGTGTATGCTAGTTGATCTTTCCAGGTAGGCTAGGATGGCGAACTGAGATCAGGTGCTGGGATTGCGATTACGGGCTTGTTCTTGTCAACAGCTCGAGCGGGTTGCGTGCGTGAACACAGGCTGCAACTTGGCTGGCTTAGCATGGCTGGCTAGGTAGTAGCAGCTGTGGAATGGCGGCGTTTTCCTTTGTCATTTTTCTTTCTGCTTTTCTTTTTTCCCCCTACTTGTCCTGTTACAACGGAAATGCAATGCAATGAAGTTCATTATATTATAGGATTCATTCATCTGTTCGTCCATTAGTACTGGTTTTAAGTAGGCACACAGAGTGAAATGAATGAATGAATGAATGAATGGATTGACTCAAGATCTGACTGAGCTTGTCAAGTAGCGTAGTCTGTTTATTTCCTTCTATACGCATCTCGTCTTGTGTATACGTGAAGTAGAGTACTTTGTTACACAAGTACTGTATGTACATACATATGTACTTCATATACTGTACAGACGAAAAAAAAAAAGGATAAAAATGAATCTAAAAAACTTGTATCTAGTTGACCTGCTCTGTGGAGAAGTACACATGGACATGCGGATGCATGTAGAAGTAGAAAAGAATAAGAAATTCTAATAATAACAAAAGCTACCGATGACGGCCTGCCTCTTTCGATGAGAAAGCGGAAAAAGAAAATTGGACGAAAGAGACAGACAGCGAGGGAAAGAAAGATCACTGCTTAAGTGACCGTTTCCATTACCCTGCTGCTGCTGCTGCTGCTGCTGCTGCTGCTGCTGCTACAGCTGACCCTGCTGACCCTGGCTATTGTCGTTGCCTTGGCACTTCCGATCCTTGAACAGCGTCGCCCTGTCGAGGACCGTGCCGTTGCGGCTGGCGACAAACTCGTGCGTCAGGTGCGTGCAGTTGTGGAACGTCAGCCGGCTCCAGCCGTAGGCCGTGTCCTGCGCGTACCGCGCGTACGGCTGCAGCGGGTAATTGAGGGTGTCCAGGCCGTCGTAGTGGCCGGCCGCGCCGTTGGTGATGTACCACGGCGCGCTCGGGTTGTTGAGCTCGTTCGGGTCGACGTCGAAGGTGCGGATGGGCGCGTTGCGCTCGTATGCGTGCACGTGTCCGGACAGCACTAGGTCGACGCCGTACTGCAGGAAGAGTGGCTCGAAGACCTCACGGCAGGCTTCGCAGATGGTGCTGCTGTCGTTTGAGGCGCTGATGTACCACGGGCGGTGGCCCGCTGAAAGGACGAGTCAGTAAAAACAGAGCAAGATCAAGGATGACGGCAAAACTAACCGACGACAGTCCAAGGAGTCTTGTTGCGGTCCACCGACGCCAGGTCCTGCTGCAGCCAGTTGGTCTGCGCATCCCGCAGGTTGCTGAACGGGCCCGCGTCCTCGCCCTCAGGGCCACCGGGCTCGTCCGGAGCGATGAAGCCGTGGCCCAGGTCGGTCTCGGTGTCGAGCTGGATGTAGTGCACCATGCCGTGGTCGAACGAGTACCAGAAGTTGCCCAGTCCCTTGGACTGCGGGCTCGGCATGCGGAAGTGGTTGATGTAGCCGGTGAAGTTGGTCTGGCCCTGCTGGCAGATGCTCACCGTGTAGGTCCTATCCGTTGTGTGCCTTGTCCGTGGTGCCGCCGTTGTCGCCTGAAGAGTCAGTCAATACGATATCTAGAAATCAAAGACAAAGACACATACAGTTGGCTTCGTGGTTGCCTGGTCCAACCATGTAGGGCTTCTTCGAGGTGATCGGGGTCATCTCGTCGTAGTACTGGTTCAGCAGAGACTCGTAGACCTTGGCCCCATCGGCAATCGTCGTGTTGGGCAGGAAGCCCTGGATCTCCTCCTTCAACCAGTAGTCCGCATAGGCGATGTCACCGGCTGGGGAACGGTTAGCCAGGTCAGGACGCAGGGGACAAAAACGTACGGTGCCACAGGAAGTCAATGTCGTCCAGGTTCTGCTCAATCGACTGGATCGTGTTCGTGTCGTTGGGACCCAGCGGGTTGCTGGCTCCGTTGCCCACGTGCGTGGTGAGGCCATCCGGGCCCATGAGACCCAGATCGACTGCCACGGCGATCGTGTACGGGGTGTGGTCACCGGGCACACGACTGGTCTTGAAGCTGTAGGGCACGGAGGAGTTGCTGTTCTGGGGCTGGTAGTAGTACACCGTGTCCGGCTCCAGCCCGGTGATGGTGACATGGTTGTTGTACGTCGTCGAGGTCGGGTACGTGACGGAGACGTTTGACGAGGCCGTCTTCGTCAGGGCCCAGGGAGTGAGTCCATAGCGGACCGTCGGACGGTCCAGCTTCGAGTAGGTGTTCCAGCTGACGACCATGCCCGTCGATCCGGCATAGGCCAGACGAATCTGCATGGGGGTCGTGTCATTGGAAGCGGCCAGAGCAGGGTTGAGCAAGACCGCAGCAGCCGTCAGGCTGGCGGTGATCAGAGAGCACCTCATGGCGGCGTCAGTAGCAATCACCCTCGCCTGGAGTCAATCCCGCCAGGAACAATGGCAGGGAAAGCAAGCCATGATGAGGATTGCACGGTCGATATATATACGCCTTTGAATTGAATCTGAGCACCGGTTAGCAAACGAATTAGAAACAGAAAAATAAGAATGCAACGGAAAATAATAAGCAGCAACGCCATCATCCCACCTGTAATTTCCCCTTTTGGTTCAATCCTCGATGGCGATGGCAGATCGGGATCACCCTCGCTCCAATCACGGCGAGGCGGTTGGTAAGCCGCATCTGGCGCGGAGATCTGCAGCACGCACGTGTGGACATGCAGATAGCTGACTGGCGATCTGAGCGCGCCGCTATCACGGTGGAGACTGTGGACACGCTTGAGTTCAGGCAACGCGGGACAAGAAAGCTTCGATGAATTCTTAGTACCTCAGTGCGGATGTACCTGGCCAGGGGAAGCAATCTATGCGGAAGAGGCGGACCAGATAGGTTGGTTCAGTCTATGAAAAGGAAGAAGAATGGCCTGTTGACAGCATGTCGATGGAAAAGGATCGGATGGACGGTTGCGAGCCGGGCACGTGGTCGGGCTGTCAAATATGGAGCACCGTTGTCGAGATAAAACCACAAAACGTCTCCAGCGGAATCTAGTCTCGACTGCGTATAGATATTAATAAACATGATTACAGACTGACAGGCACGTGGGCCAAGCACTGTCAAATTGGCGATCATCAGGTCTTTTCCATTGTTCGGACTTCTCCCGAGTTCGTCTCTTACCAGAAGCTTGTTCTGGATCCAATAATTATAATGAATTATTTTGAAAGTACATACCGGTGATGCAATTAATAATTCTAGAATTTCTCATCAATTTTGGTTAGTTTCTTCTTTGTCTTTCCCCATTTTTGACGGTGAAGTATTACCCATCGTAACAACCATACGGAGTATATCGAGGAGTTTAAGTACGGAATATACGAACGAATCTTATATCAATAAATTCCTATCTATCATTGATTTCGATCTCCTGCAAATATTCCTCGCACGAAGCTTGAGTTGAATGAGTTGAATATTTTAAAAGAAATACACACGGATTTTTTCCTCCTCTCTGTCTTTTTTTTGGGCTTAGCGTCGCCTTTGTAACCATCTTTCCTTCGACAATAGCACCCCAGCTACATAATTGGAGCTATCTGCAATGAGGCGAATTCGAGCTGGCTGCTCCTGGAATACCCCATTCTCCCGGAAATCCTCCAGAGCGTCTTGTCGTGCCAGAAGCAAGAAATCAACAACTTGCTCCTGAGACAGTAAGTATTTAGTTTCACATATGTTTATTACGTTAAGGACCTTAATTTAAATCTTAAACTTCATCTCAACTTCTATTCATACTTCACCCATAATTTTGAATTCATGTTGCCAACTCTGTTGGAAAAGATGCCATGCAAATGTGCAACACGTTAGCGCGTCCTCCAACTATTCAAGATATCCTATATAATGTATTGTATTATTTGCCCTATTAAATTACTATATGACTGTCTGCGCCGCAGGAAATCACGGCCTAAATGCCAGCCATCACATGATCCCGCCTGCCACCAAGTCCCGAATGCCCACGCGACAAACCTCCGCATATCTGCCTGTGCGTGTCTTGTCTTCTCGTTTTGGTGGTGAACTCTTGCTTTGCTTCGAGAAATTGGCTAATTCCAGGACAGATTCAATACAAAACTCTCGTGGAACAGCAGCCGCAGCAACCAACTGTCTATCTCCACGCTTGTCTTCTTATAATTCCAACGCGATTGTCTGGTTTGTGAGACGGGTTGAAAATTTGGCCAGTTGCTCGTCAGTGAGCGACCAGAAAATACGGTTTCCAAGAGGATAGGATGTTTCCTAGGACCTCTGTGCTTGTGAATGGTCATCCAAGTCCAACAATCGCATTTCTCTTCATTCAAGTCCGCCAGAGTACGACAGTTTCTCTCAATGGGCTACATAACATTGATGTGGGGTATGCAGACATATGTACGAGTCATGTCCATATCTTTAATAGAGAAATAGCTAGCTTTGCAGCTGACAGGTCAGGCGATAAGATTATCGACAGCATCATATGCCATGCGAGGGGCCAGCATGTCGGTCTTATCACGTCACCTGCGACTTGTGGCTCCAGTTATGTCGTCGTTGATCGACTGCATAACTAGTGTATGACTGTGCCACGGCTGAATTATGCACCTCTCAGCGCTCCGACAGTGTCAGCGCAGGAGGAAGTCGTGAAATACGAATAGATGAGGCTGGAGAGGGAGACGTGAGGGCTTATACAGTATAGCGCCTCGCTTAGGGAACGCATGGGCCGCTGGAAACTCACCGGCTCGATTCTGCTGAACTATAGCTGTGTTGCCCATGCGAAATCGGGTGGATGGATGAATAAATGCATAAAAATGGCGCACGAGGCGAGAAAGTCGCCTTCGCCGCCGATTCGAATGGCCTTTCTACCGGCTAACGCTTATCTTCCACCCTTCTAGCACAGCAGATGATAACCATGTATCTCCAGATACTACAGCAGCATCCTTTCCTGCGTTTTGTCGGCCTGGTAAGTGCTCCACGGTTCAACTACGCAGAGATACTAACAGGCGACTGCAGACCCTGGCGTACCTGGCCGCGCTCGCCGTCTATCGCCTATACTTTAGCCCTCTCCGCAAATTCCCCGGGCCGAAACTTGCCGCGGTGACCAGGCTGCCGTTCCTGTGGCATTCTCTGAACGGAGATCTGATATTCTGGGTCCAAGACCTTCATTCGCGATACGGCGAAGTGATTCGAATCGCGCCGGACGAGCTCAGCTACTCCACCGGAGAGGCGTGGAAGGATATCTATCAACAACTAACCCTGAAGGACCTCCGATTTTATGGACGGGCTCATCTCAACAACATCCCTGACATCATCCGCGCAGATAATGCGGACCATGCCCGGTTTCGCCGCAATTTCTCTCGCGCATTCTCGGATCGAGCGTTGAGAGAGCAGGAGGCTCTCATCCGGCAATATGTCGATCTTCTGGTCCACAAGCTGGACGCGGTCGCGCGAGAGGATCCGAAAACAAAAGTTGACCTGGTCCGGATGTACAACTTCACCACGTTCGACGTGATGGGTGACCTGACCTTTGGCGAGCCGCTGGGCTTGCTGCACGGGTCGGAGTACAACGCATGGGTGTCGCTGATCTTCGCATCGCTGAAGACCACCACCTTTCTCCAGACGTCGCGGTATCTACCCTGGTTAGGATTTCTGTTCTCTGTCCTTATCCCCAAGTCGATGGTTGAGAAAAAGCGGGCTCATTTGCAGTATTGTATCGAGCGCGTGGACCGACGGCTGGCCAAGAAGAGCCCCCGGCCAGACATCTGGGGTCTGGTGCTCAGCCGGCCCGAGGGAGATGACTTGCGCCTGAGCTTGGATGAGATGTACGCGAACTCGATCACCTTCATGATCGCCGGAACGGAGACTACGGCTACCCTCCTGAGCGGACTGACCTATCACCTCCTGATGAATCCGGCCAAACTGGAGCGGTTAACGCGGGAAATCCGGGGAGCGTTCGCGTCGGACGAAGAGATCACCTTTGCCAAGTTGCTGCAACTGGAATACCTCCAAGCCTGTCTGGAGGAAGGGCTGAGGATGTATCCGCCGGTGCCAGTTGGCCTGCCTCGAGTCACGCCGCCCGAGGGGATGCTAGTATGCGGGGAGATGATTCCGGGGAATGTTCGTCTTCGATAAATAAAAAAGAGAGTGTGTGTGAGAGAATGCATTGGTTATACTAACTTCTAGCAGACAACCGTCTCAGTCAACCAGTGGGCCACCTACCGCAATCCGCAAAATTTCAAAGACCCCAATTCCTTTCACCCGGAGCGCTGGCTGTCTGACAGCAAGTCCTTCGCCTCAGACAAGAAGAAGTACCTGCAGCCATTTTCCACTGGACCACGCAACTGCCTAGGACAGACGTAGGTCATGCATCATCCATCTGTCATCAGGCTTGATATATACAGACGACGACGGCTGATTTTGACTTCTGGCAGTCTTGCATACCACGAGATGCGCCTGATCCTGGCCAAAGTCCTGTGGCACTTCGACCTGTCGCTTTGCGACGAGAGTGCGGACTGGGCGGACCAGAAGGTGTATATGCTGTGGGAGAAGAAGCCGCTGATGGTGAGGCTTGCTGCGAGAGAGGGGCGATGAAGTAGTGCTGTGGCGAAATTGGTGGTCTGGTCCTCAAGGTAGGTAGGTTAGGTAGGTAGGTTGTTACCTAGGTAGGTAGGTACGGTGTATCTTATCGTATACGATCTTACGAGCTTGCTGCCTGTCTGTTTGTCTGTTGTCGGCTTGACTGACCCATCCATCCATCTATCCATTCATCCATCAAGTGGACAAGGTTAGGGTTTCATAGGTACTATAAATTGACACATTATATATTATCGGAACTGTTTATTTATTATCGTTATCACTGAGTAAATTTTTTTTTCCATCGGTAACTAATTTTCCCTTTCGCATTCATATCTAGCTATTGAATGAAATGAATTTCCCCCATCTATGTACAGTACAGTATATGACGAGACAAGCACAGATCCAGTAACTCAGTCAGTAAAGATCAGAGCTCTGCATCAAGAGTATGTATGCATAAAATACAGTCGTCATTCTCCTGAACAATACCATTTTCTTTTTTTTTGTCAGGCAGAATCCATATCAACTGCAGCATATTAACTAGGACGTCCCTAGCTATCTGGCGATGAATCGAGTAAGAAATGCGGAACTCGCCTCGCAGAGCTGCAGGGAGGGCATGTGGCCTTCCTTCATGGCAAGCGAGTCTCTCTCACCCGAGCGATATGTAGTCCGCTTGAAGGAGTCTGGTGGCAACTCGCACGACTGTGCAACTCGATTGCTGCACTTTGTGCAATGCGTCCTAGATTCTCATCCGTCCGTAGAATCTAGATTTATTGTTTATTGTAGTGTTTGTAGGTTGGTTGATTTTATTACTTCCCCTGCATCCTTCGAATCCGCTCCTCGGCCGCCCTCGCCCGGCGCTCTCTCTCCAACCTCATCCTCATCTCCGGACTCATGCCTCGCATTTCTTCCTCCCTCTTCTCAGCGGCCGTCTTCTCGACAGATGCCAGCGTTCGGCCGCCGACGTTCTTCCGCTTCTCGGTTGCGGCCGCCCTGGCGGCCTCTTCCATCTTCAGCCGTTCGGTTTCCGCCTTGCGGCGGTTGGCTTCCTCCGCTGCGGCGGCTTCTCTCTCGCGCTCTTGACGGCTCTCTGCCTCGGCGCGAGACAGTGGTGCCGGGACGTGTGCTGCCTCCCAGTCCCATGCAGACTCGCCCAGCTCGTGCCGTGCCACGCGGAACGCATCACGAGTGGCGCGATCTCTCGCGAGGTCAAACGGCGTCTTGCCCTCTTTGTTGGCTATCGTCGGATCGAACCTGGCCTTGACGAGGAGTGCGTCAACCAGCACAGGCGAATTTGAATTCGCCGCCATATGAAGCGGCGTGGGAGAATGATAGTTCTGCGGGGCATCAGGCGGGTAGAAGGAGAAGGATGGCGGGATGGAATTGTTCGAGATGTAGGACAGCAAAGCGGGCGCTTTCGAGCGACGGATGAGGGCCTGGATCTGCGACGTGTGAAGCATCGCCGCTTCGTCCTCCTCCGAGATCTTCGGCTTTGTCGGCTGCGCCGTTGGCTTGGGCGACTTGGCCGCCGCTGCCTCTCGCTGCTTCGCCTCGGCCGCGGCCAACACTCCCTCGTCGATCTGGCTGACTTTGACGCGGGTCAGTTCCTTGAAACACCGCATCAGCTCTCCCTGAGTGGCGCGTCGAGTGCTGAACGGAAATCCGCGAAGTCTTGGGTCATTGTGTCGCAGCACCTGTCCCTCATACGGGCCAAAGAGCGTTCTTCGATTCGTGCTCCCCGTGGCGCGTACAAACAGCAATTGCGCCGTGTCAATCATGCCCTTCCACTCTTGCAACAGCTCTCGGATCTCCTTCTCAAGCGCAGCCTCGTTGTACCGCCGCAGATTGGACCCTGCGGAATGCGCCGCTCCCTTGGCCGCATCACTGGCAGATTGCGCACCACCTTGTTTTCTTCGCGTCGTATAACGATGGAAGGTCTTGTGCGCAATCACCCTCGCCTGTCGTTCCTCGACACCACCGGACCGCTTCTGGATCTCCGGTGCCAGCGCGACAATCATCGCCGCAAAATGGCCGCCGCCGATCATACACATAAAGATGTGCGGACCAGCCGCAGAGGTCTCAGCATCCTGGCCGGCAGCTTGAGCACCGTTCTGTCGTCTGATGGGAGGCAGCTGCTTTTTCCGCAGCGACTCAACGAGGTGGTCCGGCTCGTCCTGTTCCACATCGGTAAAGATGGCTCGATAGACGCCCAGGGCCGTGTTGGACGGCAGTCGCGGGCTGCTAAACCAGAACAGAGGCTGTTTTCCCACGCCTTTGCGTCGTGGCGACGCCTCGCTGTCGTCCGCCTCCTGGGAGATTTTCGCCTGCTTCCTCAACAACGCCACCAGCGTTGACTCTGACGAACGGGCGCCTTCGTCGTCCTCGTCCTCCGATTCAGACGTCTCCGATCCCGATATCGACTCATCGATCTCGCCGATCGCTTTCGCGAATTCCGCCTCGTTCAGTGGCCGGTTGCCGCGCAGCTGCGCCTTGACGTTGTAGCGGTGATGGTCGGAGCGCGCGTGCTCGCGATGCTCCTGGACATCCTGAAACGAGACCTGGCACAGTGCACACGAATTCGACGCGGGGATGCCGTTCTCTTTTTCAGTCGATTCGGCGGTGTCGGGGGTTGCTGTTCCGGTCGTGACAGCTGGCGTGGGCTGGCCGTTTGTCTTGACTGTCAAGCTTGACAGCAAGTCGGGAGGGAGGTCGTACACTGCAGGAAAAAAAAACGAGTTAGTTAGGCATTTCACAGAAAATGTTGAAGAACATGGACCAACCATAGAGAGGCTTCTTCAGCCAGTCCTCGACTTCAGCTGCGTCCTTGGACATGGCGTCCGCAGAGTGGGAGAGTGCGAGACAAGAGGAGTGGCGGGGCAGGAATTAATCAGGCGAGCCCCTCGAGTTCCGCAACAAAGATTTATCCAACACTCCAAGTCGATGATTCACAATGAGTCACCCCCAGTCATAGAATCAACAATACGCAATTGCGGATGGCATTTCTGAAAATGCGAAGAGTGCCTCCCTGAGTCATAATCATAGTGTTGCAGTTCTACGTCTTTGCCTTAAAAATACAGAAAGATGCAATTCTCCTCTACTCCGTACTCAGTCAGAGCAGCAAGCGCATTGGGCCTGTCAGTGTGGCTCAGACTACGCTAGGAACCTTTTAGTAGTATGTGTACATGTGCATAATACTGCTTATTGGTGCTGATCAACATGACATAGATCTCTAGATCCCTGCAACAGGTTAAACCATGTCTTTACTAGTTAGCTGGAATTAAGACAGATGCAAAGGACTCATTGAGAATGAAAACAGAAAATGCCAGCTATCAATGAAAGACGTTTGTTCTGCTAGCTGTTGATTTGCTAATTAAGACTTCTTCTCGAGCTGACTCCTTCTCATCGCACATCATCATCATCATCATCATCATCATCATCATCATCATCACCTCTGCAACATGACATGATTGGTGAAACCCCTACAAGAAGACGTACACGGCCAGGGCAAGCAGACCGACGGAGCTCCACAAGCTGCTTCCGATCGACAGCAGTGGCATGGCGCCACTCGTCGTTGTGGAGCTGCTGCTGGCACTGCTGCTGGAAGCGGTGGATGATCCTAGGTAGAGCAGTCCGTTAGTTCTCATCCTGAGAGAGTACGTACAGTACATGCATGGCAAATATTGCTACTCACCCGTGCCGTTCGACTTCTTGGCCTGCAACTGCTGGCAAGCCGTCACGAGAGTCGAGTTGCTCTCCAGCACCTTCAGCTCCGTGCTCGCATTGGCGGCCTTGTCCTTCAGATGGTCGATGGCCGCCTGGCTGAGGTTCTTCTTGGCCGCGAGCTCGTCCAGCGCCGTCGTGTTGGACTCCAGCTTCTCCCACTGCTCCAGCCGGGCCATGCGCTCGCACGTCACGACGAGGCTCTCGTGGGCGTTGACAATGGCGCACTGCGAGACGAGCGTCGCGTTGCTTGCCAGCGTGGCCAGCTGCTTCGATGCACTGGCAGCCTTGGTCTCCAGCTCGGCGGCCTCGGACGCGTTGAGCTTCTTCTTGCTGATGTAGTCCTCCAGCAGGGTCTGGTTGCTGGCCAGATGGGTCAGCTGCGTTAGCTTGTCCATCTCCCGGCAGGCGGCCTTGACAGAGTCGTGGGTTGTCGTGCTGTTGGACTTGTTGTGTTCATTATGCTGGTGGCCTTCGGGAGCGGCGAGGGCGGAGAGGCAGAGACTGAGAGGGAGAATGAGGCTGAAGATCTGCATGTTGATTGTTTCGAAGAAGTTATTCAGTCTGAAGAAGAAACGAAAATGGAAGAATTGAAGAATTGAATTCAACAAGAAAAGTCAATGATTAATGCTTTCTTTATCAGACCAGCTGATACAAGAACAGAACTATCCAAGTCGGAATCAAAAGGTGAGCACTGCTGGAGAAGAAAAAGAAAACAACAAGAGTCATAGAGTCCGGATGGAACCACGAATTTATTCTTCTCGAGATCCAAATGTCGACGTCCAGCTTCTTCTGGCTAGCCATCTTCTCAAACGCCTGCTAACGTAGACGTGAGTGAATATTCGATACACTTTCCAGACAGATAGGTTTAGACGGGCCTGACGAAGAGTTCCTGAAACTCGAGACAGACACCAGCTTATAGAGAGCGATGTCTTTTTTTTTTCCCTTCTTATTTTTCTTTTATCCGCCGTTTCGATGCCATGTCGATGAAACAGGAGGCGGCGGCAAGCTTACGTTGCCACGTTTCAAGGGCTGCTTGCAACCAGGACTTTGTCAGGAGAAACCCTATCGTCAACACTGGCTGTTTGGGATGGTAAAAGTAGAATCAGTGACATGGGTATGTATTTACATTCTGATGTCAGGAGTGCCTTAAGTCCTAGGTGCAGAGAAGAATTCGTATACAGACAGGGTCATTGCTAGTGAGTTTCAATTTCAATTTCGATAATACTGAGGGAATATATGACATACATTATCCCTCATATGGATGGCCCCAGCTGCGACTATGCTTAATTCGTTTCAGTTGTCGTGATCGGCGCTGAGGCCGTATTCAGGGATGTCTCACCATGACTTGGGATCTACAAGTCTAGCCGACTGACAGGAGTCACTGCCTCTCTCCAATTAATTGTCTTATCTATTATAATAATAGTATTATACTAATTGTAATATTGGATTGTATATGAAAAACAAAATAACTAAAAGAGATTTTTGTGTTTGATTATCCAATTCTATGTCTATACTAGAAGGTCATATGGATAGACCTCTCGTCTTTTTTTTCTTTCTTGTTAATGTTAAATTTTAGTCCGGATTATTTGCAGTTACTATGTCTATTGAACAGTTCGAATCCATACTGTGTGTCAACAACCTAAGAGCGTTAATTTGATGGCCTTTCTTCTTCTTCACCAGCTACCACAAGGCCGGATTCCGTCAACCCGTGCGGTTTCGCTTCCCTTCTATGGTTCAGTCAGCTGAGACGAATTCAATGACCTCTGCAGAAAAGACGACCACCTACAGCTCCCGTTCTCGCAGGTATTTCAACAAGAAGATACCAAGAATGGACAGTCCGCCAAACATGACCAGAACCTGGTAGGCGTACTTGTAGTGCGGCGCGTCGTACGTGGGGAACAGCACCACCGGCAGCCACGCGCTGAACGTGTAGGTGAAGATGTTGCCCGTCGCGACGAGCAGCTGGCGCAGCTCGGCGTTGTGTTGGGTGATCTCGTGGCCCCAGGCCTGCGACAGAATTAGAGAAAGAGTAAAATAGAAGAATGGAAACGAACTTACAATAATGATCGGCTGCGCCGCGGCCGAAGTATACGACAGGAAAAACGCAAAGAAGAGCCCTCCCTTGCCAATGTGCCAGATGGACAGCAGGATGTTGGCCACGATGACGATGGCGCACACGACGATGGCCGTCTCCGGTCGTCGACCTGTCAGGTCGCCACTGTGCCGAAGAACAGCGACGAAAGCACGCTGATGGCGTTGCCGGCGCTGGGGATGGTGTTAACGAGCACGACGTCGTATTTCTCCGCCTTGAGCCAGAGGTTGAAATAGTCGGATCCGGAGCCTGCTTCTGCAACCATGCTACATACATAATGCAATCAGTTGATTAGCTTCGATCACGTTTGTGGAGTCAGCTCCCTCACACGTAGGCAAAAATAAAGGCCCATAGATGCCAGCCTGTGTAGATCGCCTTGAGTCGACGCCAGGTGAGCTTTTTCGGCGAGGCGCGTCCCATGCGCTGGATGCGTTGGATGCCGTAGTCGCGGTCCTGCTGGTGTAAGAGCTCATCTGCCTGATGCATGTACTAATTAGGGGGGGAATATACATTCTTGCTAAAGTGGAATGCTCTAGTATTGCTAGGCAGATCTGGGATAGCAAAGCACCCCCAGACGGAGTTGGGAATCGAGATGATGCCATCGAAGATAAAGAGCCATTTCCACCCAGCTAGCCCTCCTTTGCCGTTTATCCCCCGGTAGAGGCCAGCCTGGAGATAGCCACTGAACATGCCGGCGATGGCGCTCGCCTGCTCGAACAGCGCGACTCGCTTGCCCAGTTGATTGGGGCCGTACCAGCTGCCCAGCAAGGCGGCATAGCCGGGGAACGAGCACGACTCGAGGAGGCCGACGAAGAAGCGCAGAGTATATAGCTGAAACGATTAGAATGTATGTTACTAGACTTGTAGTATAGTAGGGGAGCTCACAGTCTGGATATTCTTCGCTCCGCCCATGGCCATCACCAGCACGGACCAGAGCAGCTCGTACGTTGGGATCCAGATCGACGGACGCACGTACTTTAGCTGGACCAGCTGGGATGGGACGGTGCCGATGATCAGGCCGATGTTGAAGTATGTTACCAGCAGATTACGCTCGTTGCCGTAGAGGTGGAGCTATAACAGTACGTATTCAGCACAGATAGAAACGGTCTTTTTTAGAGCAAATATGATGTGAGACTCACATCTTCCTGCATGCCACTCACAAAGGCATTTGCTATCAAGTCAGCAGGGATCGTCTCAGTGAGGATGGTTTCCTACAGTAATTCTGCTGGTCCAAATACTTGATGAAATATCCGAGCATGATATACGAACTTGACAAACCACAATTAGTAAGACGATCCATTCAGTAGGGAAGTGTCATCTACTGACAACAGAAACAGATCCAGCTTCTGCACGTATTTCCTCTCCTGGGGATCGCCGTCCAGGGTATCCCAGAAGAGGCCGAGGAATCGTCGAAGTCGCGACGTTTTTGGTTGATCTCCATCCCGTGATTCGTCTGCAGGACTCGCTGAAGCAGTCATGCTTGATTTGGGCATATTTCAGATATATGGTTGAAAAATAGCATTGTGATATGGCATATATGCAAATACTAAATCGTTATCTACTTCATTGAGCAGCCTCGAGATAATATCCTTGCTGATGTACATGCCTAACGCCAGCTATGGTGAGATTTGCCTTGTCAACGACGCAATCAACCAGCACGATAGCTCTTCATACGACTGGCTCAGATAGCCGAACATATGCATGTCTAACGAAGCCGTTATGTTCTAGATGCCATTATTAGTCTGATAGCGTGGTGGATACGATACAATGGTACATACATATAGTCCATTGCACCTTTTTGCTGCAAGTCACTCTCCTCTGGTGCGTATTATCTTCTCCAGATTATCACTCAACGTCTCTTAGAGTCATTAATATTCAGTTTCGATAGTGAAAATGACTCCGCCAATTGCCACCAGTGACGATCATGACCAGCCCCGACAGCAGCTTCGCAGCGAGACCTCTATCGACTACGACAAGGTGGAGGTATGCATTCAGTTCCCTATCAAGAGAAAAACAAACTGACAGCTGAATTCAGTACAAATACGCCCAGTACCTCCCCTACTACACCCCAGGTCTGAAGCAGCCTCCGCTGGAAGAATTCGCCCACACAGACGTCGGCCTGCGCGCCGACCCAGAGAAGAAAAACCTCCTGCAAGCCCCCGGCGTCACCGTCAACGAGATCACGCCCAACATCGGCACCGAACTGCTCGGCATCCAGCTGAGCCAGCTCAGCGACGCGCAGAAAGACGAGCTCGCCCTGCTGGCGGCTGAGCGCGGCGTGGTCGTCTTCCGCGACCAGGACTTTGCTGATATCGGGCCCGAGAGGCAGCGCGCGTTTGGGCGCTATTTTGGCCCGTTGCATGTCCATCAGATGGGCGGGCATATCAAGGACTATTCGGAGATTCTGCCCGTGTATCGCGATTTTGTGTGAGCAGAGTCCCATTGAGTCGCAGATATTCTGCTAACGAAGTTGCTGCAGGAGCAACGCAGTCGACAACGAGATCTCGAACAATGTCAGCAGCGTCAAGTGGCACAGTGACATGAGTTATGAGATGTACTGTACATTACATAAGTCCATGAATCCCTTCGAGAGCTTGCTAACTGTCACTATTATAGAAACGGCATGGGAACAACCATCTTCTTCGTCCTCGATGGCCCTCCCTCCGGCGGAGACACGCTGTATCTGTCGACAACAGCTGCCTACGAGCACCTATCTGAGGATTTCCGCAAGCGGATTTCAGGACTTTATGCCACGCACTCGGGATTCTCCCAGGCGGCCGTGCATCAACATCGCGATCGGTATATCCGCGAGCCTATTGAGACAATGCATCCGGTTGTGCGGACGCATCCGGTAGGAGCCCTGCCCTTCCCGCGTGGAGCGAATACTAGGAAATATGGCATTGATGCTGATATGATGTTGATGTTGATGACGATAGGTCACCAAAAGCAAATCCCTCTACGTCAACCGGCTGTACACGCGGAAGATCGTCGGGTGGAAGCAGGAAGAAAGCAGTAAGTCGTCTGCCTAGTGAGGCCGTTTTGTCTTGTAACTAATTAGTATTTTTTTTTAATCGAAGACGCCATCCTCACCTTCCTCTTCGACCACATCGAAAAAGGCCAAGACTGGCATATCCGCGTCCACTGGACGCCCCGCACGGTGGTAGTGTACGACAACCGGGTGACGCAGCAGTAAGCCAAGCGCCTTGCACTCAACTCATATTTCTTCTTCTATTGAATATCGCCATTATCATGCCGTCTTGGCATGTCTGTCCAGTCTGGGACTAACAGTTGATGTGCTTCCAGCTCGGCATTGCGCGATTTCAAAATCCGCGAAGGAAGCCAGACGAGGAGACACATGGTGCGGATTACCCCGCAGGCGGAGCGGCCGTATTATGAGGAGTAGAGGTATCAATTGCAGTATTAAGGGCAGTATTAAGACGTGAGTGAGCAGTTGGTGGGTATATGGTATCGTGCGTACTATGTAGTTGTTTGTTCTATAGCTACATAGTCAGTTTTATACAGTTCTTACTGTACACACGCAGTATCTACCTATCCTTCGAGTAAATTCAATGAGACGGTTATTGAATTTCCACCCTTGCAATTGAACAAAAATAGCTAGAGAATATGGCATGAGTGCATGTTAACTACATAGCTAACTGAACAGTCCGCACTACGTGCGTACTTCTATAGTTTGGTCTCTTAGTACGGAGTAGACATCCTCGATCCTTCGCCTCAAAGAACGCCGGTTCTCTACGGAGTACTCCAGGCGTCGCATTCGGTGTCCGATACGCCGAGGGCATTTCCGTATCAGCGCCATCGTCCCATATATCCTAGCTCCGTACAAGAAAAAGAGAAAGAAAAGAAAGAAAAAAGACAAAAAGAAAAATGGAAGTAGGTAGTACAGACTTCCCGCCTTCTAGGCGGGAATAAAAAGGGAAATCCTTTTTTTCGCTAAGCCCCTGCCTGGAATCGAACCAGGGTTTACGGAATCAGAATCCGTCGTGATGAACCACTACACTACAGAGGCTTTGCTTGTTGAGGGAAGTTTTACCTGGTAAGCTTATCTGCATCCCGACTTGTGCCCCACCCATTTTCATCATTTTCGTTGCCACTCCAAATCACATCGACTTTTACTCCTGATATATTTGCTTATCTAATCCCAGTTACTCTCGAGGGCCTGTTCGCCATCTTGACACCACGAGAGAACGCATCCACGGCCCCGGTCAGAAAAGACTGCTTGGCGATCATGTTAGCAGTCAATTCAGGTATGAATTCTATGACGGAATCTAGTTAGATAGCCCATGCTTCAATATGAATATACCCATCTTGAGTTTAAGCTTGGATCTATTGTCTCTATCATTCATCGTTCATCGTTGCGATTGCACCTGTACAATCTTCCTGAGATTATATAGACTGAGGTATATCAAGTGAGATGGGGTTTTAGGATTCGAAATGGTGCCTCATTGCATCCCCTAACCCCGTAAAACCTTCCTGGAAAACTTTGCGCCCAGCCAGCTCGTTGGCAAAGCGCAGTTTACGCGACAAATCCCAGTCATCAGGGTGGCAGAGCAGACTGTAGAGCATGCCTGCTATGAAGGTATCGCCAGCACCTATGGTACTATATTTCAGGGTGAGAACGCAGTCTTTCAGGGACGAAATGGGCTCTACGTACTCAACGACCTGGCCGTGTGCTACTGTGTACGCGGGAGTAGACTCGTAGGTAGGTGTGTTTCTATCGGCAAGATCCATAATCGCAGCGCCCTCTTCGCCCCAGGTACAACATAGATACCGTCTGTTCGCTAGTCAGTCAGGAGTTATCTACCGCGAGCGCCAAATCTTCCAGATCAGAGAAAGGCGTACGCTTTTGGCGTCAATTGCGCTTGCGCTCGAAGGAATTCCTCTGGTGATCGATAGCCGTTGGCCTGTCGTCACACAAAGGGTCAGTGATTGTACTGTGCAAATGTACCTAAGTAAACCATAATTGAGACTACGCAATAATCACCTGAGCCCAGCCTTTGGCGTAGAACACTACATCTGCCCCTGCGGCAAGCTCTTGCAGCCCGGCGCGACCAGGCTTCTCGACTTCCACACTGATCCGGACTGCGGGATGGCGCTGGCGGAGATACTGCATGCATTGCAAAGTTACATCTGGTATTCGTCCCTGCAAGGGATCTGTCAGCAAATAAACAGCGGTAGAGTGAGGGATGAATAAAACGAGAAGTGAACTTGCCTCGAAATGAAACCAGTCATCCGTAGTGCGCACCAGCTGGTCTGCAATCTGCACAAACTCTGCGACTGTCATCTCCGGCAGCTCGTTGTAGTTGACAATGGTTCGACTGCCAGTGGACTGGCTTTTGATGATATAGCTGGACGCAGGTTCGTTGAAGGCTTCCCGGTAGATGCAGTGCTGCAGGTTGACACGCGGACCGAACGAGGCCTTGATCTGCTGGCTGCCAACAGATGATCGTGCCGGTAGCACGGCCGCAAGATTCAGAGATATTTCGTTGTGCTCCGGCGATGAATCCAGTAGCTGCTGGAAGACCTCGACGGAGTTGGGACAGTTGCCCCCACGACGCCGGCGCACGCTCGAAGCTCGAAGCTTCTCATCCTCATCCGGGTAGTGGTCGACTCTGTCCAGTTCACATGATGAGAGTCGAGTCCAGATTGCTTTGTTGGGATTGCATCCTTACGTTAGGATCGTGTCGAGGTAGCATGCGCCAACCATGACGAGGGACCCCATCACGGCGGACGGTTTGCCTTGTTGGCCTTAATCTCGACTCAGTACACGTGATTGCGGTGTCGTGAGACAAAGCAGTATATACTTCAGGGTCTGGAAGTCAGGGAAGAGCTGAATTCATCACAACAATTCTAGTTCTGCATGAGTGCCATATATGGCGGGTGCTAATTTAAAATTGCAGCGGGTCACCCCAGATTAAAATATATTTTAATTGTATCTTCCTAGCGGCAGACCTGCATGCACGTATTCATCTCTATCAGGCTCCAGTCCAGCGATGGCCTGGAATCAGTTTTCCACCAACTTCAAGGATATATGCAATTCTATATCCTAACTCATATGTATATGACCAGGGAGCAGGCGTGCCTGATGTCGACAATCTCACAATCATCGCGGGGAGTCTCGTTGGAGCTCGAAAACCCTTACGTCATTGATGTCATGTGACTTATCGGTGTGTGCAGGGATTCCCCACTTTTGACACTTGACAAAAAAAAACAACAGCTCTGGTGCTGCGAATGGCAGGGACAATGCCATCCAACGAGTCGATGATATGCAGATATTTATCTCTTTGTCTGGCATTCTTTTCTTCAATAATGACTGCAATTGAGGCCAATGGGGAGCCTGGGGGCTTATCTCTCGCTCGGCCTTGCTGCTTCTGGCGGGACTTATCGCCGAGAAATGCACCGTTTCCCGCCTGTTGTCTTAGTAATCCGCGGCCAGCCACCGTCCAATCTCGTCCGAGCTCCATCTCTTTTCCAGGCCTCCGTCCAGTTACGTAAAGCTGCTCCTTGCCAGTAAGCGTTGTTGGATAAAAAAAGGTTCGTTTTTTTCCAAATTTTTCCAGCTCTGCAGCAGCCTGCTCACCGTCGTCTTTTTTCCAGGCAAGGCATAGGGTGTACTGGTCCCGAGTATACTCTGACGACCGCGGAAAATGATCGATGGCAGCGCCCAGGCCGTCATCATCGACCCTGCGCTCGGCGTCGCGTCCCACACCGCTCAGGCTCAATATGCTCCAACGTCCCGGCAGCCCTTTTGCGGTGATAGCGAAGGATGGGGTCCTATCAGCCCGGTCAGATTCGACTTCACGCCCTGCTTCCTAGATGTTTGGGTCGTGTTGGTCGCCGCATGGGGTCTATTCCTGGGTGCCGGCGCTATCTGGTTTCTGTTGAAGAAGAGGGTCCCGCAGCCAGTGCCAAAGAATTGGCATTTCTACGCGAAACTGGTGAGTTCTGCTTCACCGGAAGGGCCCGAGAAAGAGAATCTGACTGATTTGGCAGGTTGTTTTGTTCCTCCTGACCCTCTCGACCGCCCTTGAAGCGTGCTTTCAATTGGAGACGGACCCGCGGATTTGGCTGGCTGATTTCAGGTTTTGGGCATCCATCTCGACACTGCTGTCTCTTTTTGTGATATTCACGGTCCAGTACTATGAGCATTGGCGCAGCAGACAGCCCAATGGCGTCGTCCTCTTCTACTGGGTCTTTTACATGGTCGTGCGCGGCGTCAAGCTGCGGTCGCTCATTGCCCGGGAGACTTTCCGTCATAACCTTCCCTACTTTATCGTATTCGACATCAGCCTGGGTCTGGCCGTGCTGGAGTTCATCTTGGAATATTTCGTGCCAAAGAAGCAGAGTGCCTACGACGCGTTGGGTGCCGAAGACGAATGTCCCTACGAGTATGCCGACATTTTCTCCGTCCTTACGTTCAGCTGGATGACGCCAATGATGAAGTACGGATACAAGAATTACCTGACGCAGGATGACATGTGGAACCTGCGCAACCGAGACACCACACGGGTCACTGGGGAGCTGTTGGAGGAAGCGTGGCGAAAGGAATTGCGCAAGAAGAAGCCGTCCCTGTGGCTCGCGCTCTTCCGAGCGTTTGGAGGGCCCTATTTCCGGGGTGCCGTCATCAAAGTGGGGAGTGACATCCTGAATTTTGTTCAGCCCCAGTTGCTGCGCCTTCTGATCAACTTCGTCGACTCTTATCGTACTGAAAATCCCCAACCGGTAGTTAGAGGTGTTGCCATCGCGCTGGCCATGTTCGTCGTCTCCGTTTCGCAGACAATGTGCCTCCACCAGTACTTCCAGAGAGCCTTCGAGACCGGAATGCGCGTCAAGTCATCTCTGACCGCCATGATCTACTCCAAGGCGCTTCGGCTATCGAACGAGGGTCGTTCCGCGAAGACGACGGGCGATATCGTCAATCATATGGCTGTCGACCAGCAGCGTCTCTCAGATCTGGCCCAGTTTGGTATACAGCTCTGGTCCGCACCGTTCCAGATTTTCCTGTGCATGGCGTCGCTGTATCAGCTCGTGGGCTTGAGCATGCTGGCAGGCATTGGTGTCATGATCTTGATGATCCCCTTGAACGGCTTGATAGCCCGGATGATGAAGAAATTGCAGGTGACGCAGATGAAGAATAAGGATTCCCGGACGCGGCTCATGACGGAGATCTTGAATAACATGAAGAGCATCAAACTCTATGCTTGGAACACCGCGTTCATGAACAAGCTCAACCATATTCGGAATGACCTGGAGCTGAACACTCTTCGCAAGATCGGAGCGACGCAGTCCGTTGCCAACTTCACGTGGTCATCGACCCCTTTCCTGGTTTCCTGCTCCACCTTTGCCGTTTTTGTTCTCACCAACGACAAGCCGTTGACGACGGAGATCGTGTTTCCCGCGTTGACGCTGTTCAATCTGCTGACATTCCCGCTGTCCATCCTGCCGATGGTGATCACATCTATCATCGAGGCGTCTGTCGCAGTGAAGCGTCTGACCGATTACTTCGCCGCCGACGAACTGCAGTCGGATGCCGTCCTCTTTCAGGAGCCGGTAACCCACACCGGCGACGAGTCCGTCCGGATTCGAGATGCGTCGTTCACGTGGAATAAGTACCAGGAAAACAATGTGCTGGAGAACATCAACCTCAGCGCTCGCAAAGGAGAATTGACTTGCATCGTAGGTCGCGTTGGTTCCGGCAAGTCTTCTCTTCTGCAGGCTTTGCTTGGCGACCTTTGGAAGAATCATGGAGAAGTGGTCGTGCGGGGTCGCGTTGCCTACGTTGCGCAACAGCCGTGGGTGATGAACGCGAGCGTCCGAGAGAATATCGTTTTTGGTCACCGATGGGATCCGCAGTTCTACGAGCTGACCATTGAGGCCTGTGCTTTGGTGGACGACTTTAAGACCCTGCCGGATGGCGATCAGACAGAGGTCGGTGAGAGGGGAATTTCCCTTTCCGGGGGCCAGAAGGCTCGATTGACTCTTGCCCGAGCCGTATATGCCCGCGCAGATGTGTATCTCCTGGACGATGTTCTGTCAGCGGTCGACTCTCACGTAGGGCGACATCTCATCAAACGCGTGCTGGGGCCGAACGGAATCCTGAATGGCAAAACCCGCATTCTGGCCACAAATTCGATTGCCGTTCTACGCGAGGCGGACTTTATCGGATTGCTACGGGATCGCACTCTGGTCGAAAAGGGAACGTACGAGCAATTGCTCGCCATGAAAGGCGAGGTGGCCACTCTCATCCGTACTGCGTCGAGCGAGGACGAGGACGACTCCGAGACGAGTCTGGCCAGCAAAGGTGACAAGAGTCCCAGCTTGGAATCGCCGACGGCGACCGACGAGGCTGAAGAATCTGAATTGTCATCGGTGGATGAGGCCGAAGAGCGACTTGGTTCTCTTGCGCCTATCAAGCCTCACCCGGCTTCTGAAAGAAGAGCCAGCATGGCTACGTTGCGACGCGCCAGCACGGCCAGCTGGCACGGTCCTCGTGGAACGTCGGACGAGGAAAATGGCCTGAAAACCAAGCAGACCAAGGAGACGTCCGAGCAGGGCAAGGTCAAATGGAGCGTCTACGCGGAATACGCCAAGGAGAGCAACCTGTATGCGGTGGCCATCTATCTTCTGGCTCTTCTCGCGGCCCAGACGACCCAAGTTGCCGGTGGTTTCTGGCTGAAGCGGTGGTCAGAGGTCAACGAAATCGTAGGCGGAAACCCCGAGATTGGCAAATACATCGGAATCTACTTTGCTTTTGGGTTTGGATCGTCGGCCTTGGTGGTCCTCCAGACTCTTATTCTATGGATCTTCTGCTCTATTGAGGTATGGCAAGCATAACCAAATTTTAATGAAAGAGGTCTAACACTTCTTATCTAGGCTTCACGGAAATTCCACGAGCGGATGGCCTTTGCTATTTTCCGCTCTCCGATGAGCTTCTTTGAGACGACACCTTCTGGTCGGATCCTGAATCGGTTTTCAAGTGATATCTACCGGGTCGACGAGGTTCTTGCGCGTACCTTCAATATGGTGAGTCTGAGGATCTACTTTGCATCTACGTGGATTGTGATTGACACGAGAAACAGTTGTTCGTAAATACGGCTCGCGCTGTGTTCACGATTGCCGTGATTACAATCTCAACGCCGGCTTTCCTCATTCTGGTCGTTCCCTTGGGAGCTATCTACTTGTCCTATCAGAAGTACTATCTCCGGACCTCCCGTGAATTGAAGAGGTTGGACAGTGTGAGCCGAAGCCCAATCTATGCGCACTTCCAAGAGTCCCTGGGCGGCGTTTCGACCATTCGCGCGTACAGACAGGCCAAGAGGTTCGCCTTGGAAAACGAATGGCGGATGGACGCGAATTCGCGTGCCTACTTCCCATCGATCAGCGCCAATCGATGGCTCGCCGTGCGACTCGAATTTATCGGGTCGGTCATCATCTTTGCGGCTGCAGTTTTTGCCATCATCTCGGTTGCTACTGGCAGTGGACTTTCCGCGGGAATGGTGGGTCTTGCCATGTCGTATGCTCTGCAGATCACGCAGTCTCTGAACTGGATTGTGCGACAAACGGTGGAGGTCGAGACCAACATCGTGTCTGTGGAGCGAGTGCTTGAATACGCCAATCTGCCCAGCGAAGCACCGGATGTGATTTTCAAGAACCGACCCAACATTGGCTGGCCAGCGCATGGGGGCGTTGTGTTCCAAAACTACAGCACGCGTTATCGGCCGGGGCTGGATCTGGTTCTCAAGGATATCAATCTGGATATCAAGCCTCGCGAAAAGATTGGCGTGGTGGGTCGTACTGGCGCGGGGAAGAGTTCCCTGACATTGGCACTGTTCCGCATCATCGAACCGGCGGCGGGCAGCATTAGGTAAGGGGGTTTTCAAGCAGGTCATCTCCGCCTGGATACTGACGATCGGCGCAGCATCGACGGGTTGAATATTTCTACGATCGGTCTGTTAGACTTACGGGGCCGTCTTGCGATTATCCCTCAAGATCCCGCTTTGTTTGAAGGAACGGTCCGAGACAATCTGGACCCGCGACATGTTCACGACGATACGGAACTGTGGAGTGTACTCGGTAAGAAGTGCTCCCATGTGGTTCGGGTGTTTTAGTTGCATGCTGACTGGATCTAGCGCATGCAAGACTCAAGGACCACGTCGCGAGCATGGATGGGCAACTGGATGCCTTAATTCATGAAGGAGGTAATATTTTACGACATTCTATCCCGTTCCTGCAAAAAGCTGACGTTTTGTAGGATCGAATCTCAGCCAGGGCAACGCCAGCTTATTTCTCTGGCACGGGCTCTGTTGACGCCGAGCAATATTCTGGTGCTCGATGAAGCGACGGTACGTGTAGTAATTTACTTTGCTCAGGTCAATTGCTGACAATTGTTTTTTTTAGGCTGCGGTTGATGTCGAGACGGATGCACTGATCCAGCGCACGCTGCGCAGCAGCGTCTTCAAGGACCGCACCATCATTACGATCGCGCACCGGATCAACACGATCATCGACTCGGACCGGATTATCGTTCTGGACCGAGGGACAGTGGCGGAATTCGATACCCCAGCAGCGCTGATCCGGCGTGGCGGAAAGTTTTACGAGCTCGTCAAGGAGGCGGGCCTGCTTGACAGCGAAGCGGTGACATCTCTGCTCAACGCGGCGTGAGTCTAGCAGTCGGGGAACCGGATCGTTCCACCGGGTCGGGACGATCATCATTTTCTTTGTCCTGAAGGCGCAGGAGGTCGGCATATGAAGCCAAAAGAGGCAGGGCAAGTCAACGGCCCCGCGGCATCAGCAAGGACACCAGCGGGTGCGGCTGCGTGCACAGTTTCTTGGTATCTACGAGTGGCAGGCTGGCAGCAAGACCGAAAATCTCCGGCCGGGCTGGCGAGTCTGGACCCTGGCGCGAATGTCTGTGCGGCATGGCGATCGCTGTAGTGCGGCGCTAGCAAACCAGCCACTAATAGATGTAGAAAAAGCGTAAAAGTTGAAAGCTTGGTCTAGGGAAAGACAATGTGTTTGTTCGTTCAACTTCGTTGTTTGTATCTAGGCATTGTTGATTGAACTGGCCTATTTTCGGTTCCTTTATTTGTAATTATTGAGCACAAAGAAATTGATACCTCTGTAGACAGACAGACAGACAGACACTACTTTCTTTCGTTTGGTAATTTTTTTAACCCTTTTTCCCTTTTCATACGGTTGCATTGCATTACATTGCATTGCATTGTAGGTAGTTTAGTTAGACGCTAATTTGCACCCTATCTAAGTAGGATCGAGATGATCTACAGTAATTACATACAACCAAAACATAGGTACAGTACTTATCCCTTTCATTATCTAGTAGTAATTAACTCTTTCTTTGTTGGAACTTGGAAGTGAGTGAGTGAATGAGTGAGTGAGTCGATCTGCTCGTTAGCCGTTTTTTTCCCCCTCCCCGACAAACACTACTCGGAACTCTGTGGTTGCTAAATTTGTTGTTGGTTGTTGGATGAGATATTCGTTGTATTGTGTATTCCCATTCACACCAGGTGAAAACTGGTGCTTCTTTTTTTTTTTGGCAGAAACTCAACTGATTTCATTTCATTTCATCTTTCGTCCCTGACCTTTGCCCCTGCTTTGGAATTGAGTAGTACGTATGTATATTCTTGTGGCGAGTCAAGTCAAGTTAATCTTTATTTATCTGCGTCTCGTCGTGTTGTTTGAGTTGGAGGTAGTCTTACGCTTTTTAGCATTCATTCTTTTCCTTCAACAATCCTTGATCTAGTTAATTAATTAATTAATCTGCTCTGCGTGCTTTTCAAATCATTCGTTTCGCAAACTTAATTATATACCCTTCGTTTCTCGCAGATCAGATTGATAAATTTCATTTTGGTTATCTTATTGTGATATGTGGTATTCAATCAGTAAATATCTCCATGTATTAAAATCCAAGTGACTGCCCTACACTCCAGGCCTATACTTCGTCCTCGGATCCTTGGAACCATGACGCCGCCACCTGGTCGCGTATATCTCCGGCGGATACTTCCATCCCATATGCCTCTGCTTATTCCGGACGAGTTCCTGCCAGATCTCTCGCCGAGGAACAGGCGTCGGGTCAACAAAGATGAACATTTCCTTGACGCCGTCTTCTCGAAGGGCCTGGATGTATCGTTCCAACCACTCGGTGTCGGTGTTGCCTTCCAGGTTGAGGTTTTCTTCAACCCATTCCTCGGATAGGTTCATGCCGTCTATCAGATCCTGCAGGTCCACGAAATTTTTGGTAACGATCAGGCTCTCCGCGTAGACGGGGAGCTTTGGATATGGAAATCCACCTTTGAGAGTAAATTATTAGGGTACGGCTTTTCAGTAGCAGGGACCTTCATTCTTACCTTTGCTCCATTCTATATTTTCCGGCCTACAGTCAATATGACAGTAACTTGCCGGTAGCAACAACCAGAAATCTGTCCTGCCAATGGCCTTGAATCGGGGGTATTTATGATGAGCGAGTTGGGCTTTGAGACTGGGAGCGGGCAACATGGTTCCAGAAGATCACTGTGTGAGCTGGACAGCTGGGCAGCTTGGTCGTGCTGTTCGTTAGGAATGCATAGCATTCGGTCCTACGTAACAACGACATCAGTATGCATGTACTACTCTTCCCCTATAGATGATAATAAGTAGGTGGATGGACAGACATGAGTCACTCGACCAGCCCCGTAATAGACAAGCGCATATTCATCGACAAAACACAGAATATTCCAGCATCTGTTAGGATGGATAGCACAGTTGCAACTTGTTCGGGTGTTGGTCTCTTATCTCCAGGATTTCCGATTGCTAGTGGGTGGAAAGCTTTAGAGACCAAAGGCTCAGTATTTGCTTGCGGCTTATCCATTCTATCGCCATTTCTACGCAGATGAAAGAAGCTTGCGCTTGAAGTCTCAATGGTGACGAAGAGGATAGTTATCATACCCCCGCCTTGGTTGGGTTGTCTTGTCACGTGTCATTGGGTGAGTGTTGGAGGAGTGTACTTAACTATGAGAATGATTTACTACTAATAGTGATAGAACACGTATTTTGTTTATCGCTGATTATATATACATGCTATGGCATAGTTATAGTAGAGCAGTAGATACAATAAGGACATGGGACAGAAAAGTCCTCTATATAACCGACAAAACTGGAAATTAACCGAGTTATTATATATTCACCCACTATCTATCTACAAAGTACATATTTGTACTTACTTTAACTACGCTGAACTGAACAGAATTGAATACTTATCTATCTACCCGGAGTACTGGTGTCTGTTTCAGATTCAATTCAATTCAATTTCATTTTCACTCACTTTGCGATCCCTTGCCTTGCTAGCCTGCTATCTTACGACATAAACACAACTCATGTAGCGACATTCACCGAAATAAAATAGACTATACTACACTAGAGTAGAATAGAGTAGAGCATGCATCATCATGGCAGACTCCTTCGGATGGAGGAAACATCTCTTACTCCATATGCAAGGCTGAAACAGAACAACTCCATAACGATAACTATAACCGTCTACATGCATGAACTACGGAGTATATAGTATATGTATGCGTATGTACAGACGGGTACGGACCGGTCAGCGTGGATGCCATGTGATGGATGGATCCAACCGATCTGTGGCGTGGATCCTCCTAGTCTGACTGTTTCATCTGACGGACTGAGTCATGAGTAGTGACTAGTGAGTGAGCAGTAGCAAATTAGTAATACTCGACAGATCGAAAAAAAGGTGATAGAAGCTGAATCGAAGGAAAAAGAAAAAAGAAAAAAAAACAAGGGTTCACGGGTTATGGCTGACTAGCCTGACTCAGTGAGTAACTGATCTACCCTATCCCTGGTCCCCGGATTAATTAGTCTTAGCTAGCTGCTAGCTAAATACCTAGCTAGCTAGATAGATTGATACTAGATAGATATAGGGTTAGTGTTAATAGTGGACCTACCTGGATTATCAGTATTACTAGCGGCTCGTCTGTATGCATGCATGCACGCCTCTTTCTTTCTTTGACTTTTCCTTTGTTTTTTGTCAGCAATTGAGCTTGTTTCTTGTTGTTGGTTTATTTTTACTACCATCCTATCCAGTGATTGGCCGCCGTTATCCAACAAGTTTTTACCCTAAATCCGGGGAAATTCGGAGACAGATCTATTGCGCATCTCTCCATATGTAATACACATACTTACTTAGTACTATGTATGCTTAGTACTCTACATACATACGAGTACGAGTACGAACTCCTAGTCTCGTACTAACTTAATTTTTATGTTAAAGGGGGATATCCGTAAGCACTATACTATGTAACTAGGTAGATGCCTGCCATACCCTGCCATACCCTGCCGTGCCACATGCCGCGCCACATGCCACATGGCACGGCTGTCGAGTCATGCTTGCATTGCATTAGCAGCGGTTTTTCTACGACGTCGGAGTACAGTGCAGTGAGTCGACTCGAGTGGACGGTGCTTAACCCAGCTGGGCAGGTGATAATTCTTGCCATCAGTCAGTAGTCACTGACAGAAGCAGAGACAGAGGCAGAACAAACGGGCTTCAGTCGATGATCTTGAATGTACTGTATGTCCATCGACCAGGATACTGTTGGCGATAATCAATAGCTAGCATAATAAAATAATACGGGGTACTAAGAAAGGATCTACATAGATCACCGTCCTACAATATGTATGCACATGTACAAACGGAGCACTGCCTATCCAGGCAATGAATGATTCTACTGCTATTACCAAGGGAGAAGAATCTCCGAGAAGATTCAAGAGAAAAGGGTCCACCTAGTTACCCATTATTTTAGCAGCTTTAATACAGCATCACTACTAATATTAGTTCTTCCACCCCTTTTTTCTTTGCTTTTTCTTCCCCAGACAAGACGAGACGATATATGGTTATACCCTCGTATACCCCGTATATGCAAGCCCTCGTCTCGCCCACCCAACCACCGTCTAGCATAACCGACCGGCCATGCATAAGTCCTGCACTTTGGCCACTGTGCGAACCCGGTGTTTGGGACCGGACGTGTCACTCTGGCACTCACTAGGTAGTTATTTAAGTTGGTACGGAGAATCCTGTAGGATTTAAGCTGCTTGATCCAGCATTCAGCCTTGGATCTAGTTAGTTAGTTAGTTAGTTAGTTAGTTACTAACTTAGTAGGATTCTCTACTTCGGACATACACATACGGGTATTTTTATACTGTAAACAACGACATAAATAGATACACACCTGCCTTCCTTGGAAATATCTTGCTACACCGCCTACCTGATAAGATTGGGATCCATCTATCTATCTACCTAGTATCGTACAGTACACACCTGCAGACATCGTTGCCGGATAAAAAATCCGGTGCCATAGACTGCAGTCATCGTTGTCGCCATCAGAGAAGGTTGTTGATGCAAGATTCGAAATTTATCTATCTATCTTCCATCTATCTGTGGACAATTGAATTATTTATAGACTCTAAATTCGTGGTATTAGACTATTTTTTCCTTTTCGTTAGAATTCTCTATGTGTACTACCTACGTAGATAATAGCTAGCTAGCTGTCGATATTGTATATACTGGAGTAATCAAGTCCTGGATGATTGATTGTTGGCATATGATGGTAATGACACTGTCTATCGTTCATTACAATAACTAGGGTTCACGTAGGTGTCTCATACGCTATAGCAGATGGATTCCTCGGCCCTCCCGTCCTCCCGTCCGCCCGTCCGCCCGTGGTCCACTGGTCCGGCCCGTCAGGAAAACAGATCGCTGGATCGATGGATCGATCGGTGGATCTGGACCGAGGTTGCAACTTACCATGGTACCAGAGTTCCATGCTGCTTGTGCGGGTATAATCTGTTTGCTCGATTCTGCTTCCTTTTTAGGGAGGTGTCATCATGTCAATAGCATGGTAATACTCGTGATACTAATCATGATAATGAGTCTGTGTTCAATGCTGCTTAATCTGATTGCAGATCACTCGCCACAGTCAGCTGCCCGCTGTGGCAGTGCAAGCCCCTCGGACTTGATCTCCAACCAATCGGCGCCAGCACAGCCACAGCGCCGCCATCTCACTCTATCGCAACATCTTGCCTGAGTTGCCTCAGATCAGCCAGTACCGCCTCCGGATGAATTTAACTCCCTGTCTAGTTCCATTCCTGCAGACGACTCCCTCCGATCGTTCCTGCAGCGTGGCTGTTATCTCCACTTCTCCTCACGCTCTCTCGCCTGACGATTCCTCTCTGGCCCCTCCGATCCCGCTCGAACTGCTTCCTTGCATGAGCGGTGGGTTTTTTTTTGGCCCCATCGGAGAAGCATCATGACAAATACTTGCTGCAGATGCGGGGAAGTCCTCTTCCACGGTTCCACCCGCCGCCACCGCACGACCGGTCCGCTCGCCAAGCTTGAATGCTGATGAACCATTGGCAACCTCGTCCAGAGCTTGCAGCGACGATATCCCAACGGATCGCGGCTGCTGCTTCGGCATGCATGCAACCTGGACCCAGATCGCCAGATCTCAATCGCTTCAGAGCGGATCGTGCATCTGCATATCCTGAGACAGCCACCTGCAGGCAGAGGAAGGAAATGTGCTACTGCTGTCGTCCTCGTTGAGAACAGTGATCACCAAAAATTAGCTATCCAAGATAAGCCGTCTTTTCTGGGAATATACTATCTCTAATGCTGATCTCTTGCGGGAATTTCATGCCCAAATGTAGCCAGACTCCTTCGTGCAATAAGAATGTGTGTGCAGACCACGCGATATCGTCTTCAAGGTCATCGCTGCATACTCGTTCGATTCGTCGAAGCTTATATGTCGACGGCCCACTTCCCATCTTCCGTCCCAAAAAAATCCCTTTAGGCTTCCGCCACCGAGTCCGCGCATCGTGGACCCTGTGGAAGTTTGTTCCGCTGCCCTCGATTCGGTCCCAGAGCAATGGCAGTGGCAGGTGGATTGGTTGGTGTTGAGACGGTGCTCGAGCCGATCCCAATCTGCTGGTCGGCGATGCGGCTTGTTAATCTTAGTCTTCACGATCGGGCCCACCGCGTAGGAGGGACTGGGTTGTATACTCGCTTTAGGCTCCGGCGATCGCGCGGTTCGGGAACTAATAATCGCCGCCAATCTTCCGTGTGCTGGAGCAGCCCTCGTTGTGGGGAAGGGATTCATGTCTGGCGACGAGTGTAGTCGTATGGCGAGATGGCGTATACCAGACCCCGAGTGCACGATTCCGAAGAGTTCTTGATTGAACCAGCTACGCGAACAGGATCATTAAGGGACGCGGGTCTACCAATCAATCCCGCTTCCGAGGCAGTGCTCCGTCCGGAGTAATTCACACTCTGCTCACTGCAAGAACAACGCTCCTCTCGTCACGAGCCACACTGGGGCGCCTTCGTGGCTCACCGCCGGGCTTATGTGCTCGTCATGACTAATCAAAGGTGCAGATGCATGCGCATGTTGTCTGCTGGCCGACTTCGTCAGCTGCGTCAGCAGTCAGGTGACCAGCCCTCGCTCCCGCGGCGTGCTCGACCCGGCGGATCGGCGACTCTGGAATCCCGGATCTCCAGTGGCCTCGTGATGACTGTCGCCGGTGTCAAAGCGGGAGCCAAAAATTGGACCAGATAGTGCCAGATACCCCAGCACCTGAGGCCAATGGCGGCGCCAGCTGACGCCCCTTGAGTCGATGGCGGCGGTTTAGCCCATTGCAGGGCTGTCCGGCGGCCCTTCCGCGGGCCCGCCAAGGTTGGGCGGCCCGGCCTGGGTCCCGAGTCAATACTAAGAATCACGCTTTAGTAATGATAATAATCAATCAGGCAGTCTACAACTGAATACTTCTTTGAGCATCTATGTACTGTCCTGTCCAGTACTATGGATCCGCATTATAGGGGACCAAAATGCAAAATCCTTGTGGCCATCATTCATGCCGGCCACTGGCCAGACCTTCACCAGCCACTGCCACCGGGGCAGGCGATCGGCGTCCTGGCTTCCCACCCGCATGGACATGCAGGGCCTCGAGTCTGGACTCGGCATCCTAGAGCCTGGAATCAGTCCCACAGGGACAGCGTCACGTTTCCCTATCCACGCGGCAGCCAGCTTAGCGCACAGCCATTTCAGCCGCCGGTTTGGATCACGGTCTTCTATCCGGATATCCCTTTTGTCGAGGGCTTCAACGAAAATACCAACACTTCTCACAAGTAACAACTGGCAGATACCATTGAAATCAAGAAAATTGTCGGTCTCTGTCCGGAGTCACCGGCAGTCGAATTGATAATGTCACCGGATATTTGCGTTCGGCGTGCCCGGGGTGGGATGAGTACGATACTGAACTGGGAATCTGGCAGCGATCATCAAGCCACTTCATGGCTGATAAGCGTATTCCGTACGGTGTACTCCGTAGGAGGTGCCAGAGAAAAAAAAAGTTGTGCCTAGTGACAGTTGAGACATGACTTGCTTCTGACAGGGTTCATCTGTCACTGCTCGCAATGATGCAATCCGGTGGTTCCCCCCTGCTTACCCCAGGCGCTGGTCAGCTATGATTGTAAGCTATGGCTCTGACTCGTCCGGCGTTGTTCGGAGTTCGCTATGATTGCTACACAGGGGGAACACCACCGCTGCTCGGCATAAGGTAACTGTGGCTAGACGCGGCTAACCACCGTCTGGATACCGGCAGACGATCAGGTTTCCAGAAAAGGCTTGGCCTCGAAACCTTTGTCCTGCAAGCTGCCGATCGATCTCCTAGGCGGTGCTCAGGCCTCTGAATCTCCCAAGGTCTCTGTCCTGTTGGGGGCGAATGTCCTGCGCCGTAGATTATGACTAGAAGGTGCATCTTGCTCGTCCCCTGTAGCAATGGCAATGGCAATGGCAGAGGACGTTGTAGAGTTGTCGAGGCAGCAGGGCAGCGACATGTGACTTGGCGGGCTCCCGTGATCTCCTCGCAGGGCGCGTTCCCTGCCTGAGATAATCGGCAGCCGTTCCTCTGTCCTCTGTAATTACTCTGTACGCGGCCAGAATCCCTTCCTCTGCGCTTTTCATGATCAGCAGCGCCCCGTCGATCTCGGCTCCACGATGTTTCTGGAAAGGATGGGCTGGGTGCAGTCGCCGGCGACAGTAGCTAGGCGCAATTAGTCATGCCTGCGTGCCTAGGCGCCGGTGGCTGTCTGCACGCTGTGCGTACGTCTAACTAAACATTCCTGCCTTGCGATTCCTGCCCACTGACTGGCTCTGGGGAACATTCCTCCAGATCCCCGATCGAAAGAAAGCGTGGCTGACTTACCAACACTGTCCTCCATGCCGTATCCCTTTCCTCTGCAAACCAGTGCCCGCGGATCGGGCTTCCACCCAGCTCGGGTCCCACCTCCTTCAGCCGGAGGATGATGCCGCGACATGGCCTAAATGACTAGCATGAAAGAACGGTAGACGCACTCCTAGTCCTGCTTGACTGCATCAAACTGACATGGGAGGGACCAGGGAGATCCCAGCCAGAGCAGATCCTTTGTTTGACGGAGAACACCGGACATACCCCGTACAGCACGAAATAATCGATAACATTGATTGGGGGGTAATAGTCTTAAAATTGACATGCCTGCATGGAGACCCTTGTTCTTCTCTTCTCCAGGGCCACGGCCCACACGCCCCGGCCTGGCAGTTTCTAAGCTACATGTATGTACTTTGCCGCCGAGGCTGGAGCCGAGCATGGCTTACGCTTCCCAAGGCACCGGCTTGGAGGCTTGACGGCGGCCATCAGATCGCCGTTCTCTCAAGGGCGTCTCTCAAGCGCACGCCACTAGGATTGGCGTGTGGGGAGCCCGGATCCCCCCAATAGTACCTATGCGCCACAGCCTGTCTCCGAGTAAAGCCTGGAGCACGTCGCCCTTAGGCCGCTGCAAGAGCGATCATTGGATCGGAAGTCGATTGCGCGCTGCATTGCCTCACATTCAAACCAAACAAGCAACCTTCTTCATTGAGCACACAGCCTATCCATTGCTCAGGCCTGTTTTTTTCGTAGGCTCAATGGAATAAAGAACGGACCATGGTACGGAGAGCCGTCCAAGCACCCTAGGAAGAGAGCAACAATGGAACAATTGGATATCCGGCCTTAACGCCATTTCGTGTCTTCTCTAAGATCACCGCGGAAGAAATGGCGTGCGAAAGGGTCGTACTGTATCAAAGTCATCTAGCCTCGTATCAGCAGTATCTGATCCCTCGCTTCTCACGCCGCCAGCGTCGTTCGACTTGCAGGTACATACACCTGAATCAGTCGCCTCCTTGGTTCGTACCCCGCCGCGCCTTGAATCCCCAAACTCGCGGCGCCAATCGCTGCCACGTTTTTCGGCTTTCTTTTCTCTTTTACAAATCTTATTCCGGACCCTGGCCTCAAAGGGACTAAGCGTTGTTCCTTTCTCAGCCAGTAGATGGCGCCCCTGTCAGACGGCTTGTTTCCTTTTTGCTCCGGCGACGTTCAGGTCTATGTACTGTAATAATCGACTAAAAGCTATTACCACAACCCTGTTCCCTTCGTCCCTCCGTCAGTCAACTCCGTACATCATCCTAACGACGGCGCACTGAACTCCTTCCGCTAAACTAATGTACCTGCTGTCTGGTGCCCTGGCTGAGGTGAGTCCCACCGATCTATTTTAATTCCTTGTTGGTGTCTTCGAAGGGTGCCCCTTATCTACGCCATGATATATGTTCGGTTAGTGGGTAAAGGCCCGTACCGTCCGGACTGCAGCAGTCGAAATACATATGTATTTAATACCTATTCAGTCAGTCGCACCACCCGACTTCAGTTTCGAATTCTTTTCTCAGATGCCCTTTCTCTTGCCCCTCTCGTCTTCCTCACCATCCTCTTTATGTTCCTCTTTTGTCTCCCTCATTCTATATGGTGACCTCTGACCAAGTTCCTGATCAGCATTGTTCCTGAAGCTGAAGCACTGATCTCTATCTCTGTCTTATGAACCAGTGTCTAACATCAATTTTCCCTTGTCTCTTGAATATAGGGGCAATTCGGATTTCCAATTCCCTTCTTTCAATGTTTGGGTGGCCGCTCTGATGATTTCATAACCTGCACTTTCTCTGGATTGCCGAAGATCTCCGTGAAATCAAAGGAGAATATCACCATCTTTACCCTCTTCTATTTTCTGCAATTTACACCGAGCGAATCAAACAATCAAGCAACCGCTTGGACCTTAGATTTGTTTGATTCCTATTGACAGATGAACAATCGGAGTCCGTCGACATACTGCTTCTATTACGATTCCCGACCTTGAACGTCCTCGATACATTTCTTCTCGAGTACTGCAACACTCCGAGAAGAAGAATCATCATAGAAAAAAAAAACACGCAGCAGCCAGCACCCGAAAACTTGAAGCGACCTTGAAGACGCACTCACGCCAACCTACCCCACATTCACAACAACTGCCATTGGTATACATCCATTAAAACAACGCAAGTATGGTTGTAGCAGCGCCCATATCTGGGGCGGGCCCAACCAAGCGGGCGTCGCCGTGCGCCTCGCACGAGGACTATGCAGCATGGGATGTGCCGGTTCGTAAAATCTTATTCTCCCAACAACCACGCTGAGCTCACCAATGCACAGAACATGGTCCTGGCCCGGCGCACACTCTCCCATTACGCTTTAATTTACATGGACAACATTGGGAACGTCCGAGTCGAAGAGTCCCCTTCCGTTCGGGAACTGAATCAGAGCTTCTTTACTCCGGAACTGCGCGAAAAATTTCTGAAAGTTGTCAGAGAGAAGGCCAATGCCCGGACAATGCCCATTGGTACGTTGATGTCTATTCATGATACCGAGATCGGTGGTTGACCCGGTGCCCTGTAGGCCCTCATCGTGCCATCGTTCACGATGAGGATGTAACTTTCCCGACTTCAAATTTCTCCTTTGACTACACAGCCAAATTGTCCAACCACGACGGAGACCTGGGGGGCTGGCCGCCAGTTCGCCAGGTCAAAAGACGCAGAGGCGATTCGGCCTTGGATGTGCAGTATATCGATGGTATTCCTGACGGCCCTGAAGAAGCGTCAATGTATCCCACGGTGGACCGGATCCCGCTGGAGATCGGTGACGAGGAGAAGGTCAAAGCCTACTACGAAAACGCGTTCAAGCACTTCCAGCAACTGAACTGTCGACAAATGGCCAAGGCCTTTATCAAATTTATTGAACCCCGAAAACAGGTAAAACATCCGTACAATGGTGGCCGACCCCCGCCAGGCGCAGCACCCGGTGAGAAGGGCGACCCTGAGAAAACTAAGCCTGAGTGGTGGCCCGAGGGGGTTGTCCACAAAGAGCCTGATCATCTGAAAAAAGACCGTGAGTTTTCTTTCGGCAGCACCAAGGGGGTAGGGCGCAGTAGTTTGCTGACTGAATGTTTTCAGAGCGCCTGCGCCTCCTGGTCCACATCATTCGGAACCTTGGGAAATACGGTATCACGTCTGACAAGCTGAAGGAAGTTGCGTACGATGCCAAAAGACAGATCAAGCCTCCGGAACGGATGGAGATCTTGGTTGAGATCTTCCGGGTCAGAAAGCTCGAAGAACGGTTAGAAAGACAAGAAGTCGGTACGTACTTGTGAACTTTGGCCTCCTACTTTCTAGTAGCTTTTCGTCTTGGGCTGAATTGCTCTGCTTCTGGACTAACTAGTTTAAAGATCCAACCACGGTGATCTACGTTGTCAACCGGGATCCTGGTGCCAAAAACGATAAGGACTCAGATGGTTTTAGCGATTCGGAGCCGCAAGGAGATCAGGATGACCGTGAGGACGTCGAGGAAGGACTTTTGACCCCCCTCTCATCGTCGGCGCAGACCTCGGGGCCCCTCACAATATCTGTCGACCCTCTCAGCGCTCCGCAACAAGCCAGGTCGGTAGCGATGGCCGGTGACCGAACTCAAATGTTTCAAATGCCTTCAACCCTCGGCTTCGAGGATCAGGCACGACAATCCCATGCATTCCAGTCCCCGCAGTCCGGTGCCAAGACGGAATATCAAGATAGTTTCTCGCAGCCTCTAGCTCGCACACCCACGGGGATGACAGTAATCAGCCCTAGCAGCCATCGGGGGTTCGATTACGTGACGCAGCAGTCATTTACTTCATCCGCATCAGAGGAACAGATGCGGCCACTGAATCAACCGGCAATGCCGCCACAACAGTCTCCTACTCAGTTTAGTGGATGGTCACCATCCTTCCAGCAGAACATGTTCAGTCCAATGGACTATAGCGGTGGATCCAGCCGTACAGTCCAGCAGCAGATGCCATATTCATCATACACGATTTTCCCCACAACGCCTTCACAGGAGGTCCCTGCGACCCATTCTCTTCCCGATCTCCATGGAGCACGAGCTCAGGCCCAGATGGACGTGATGGCAATGAACGCTCCATTCCAAAATAGTTCTATGACTCATCCCCATGCCGTCCCGCGCCATGATGCTAGCGCCGAAGCTTCGCTCGTGTAGGGTCAAATTTTTCCCCCGCGAGCAATTAACTGCAATCCGACTCTCCTTCTTTCTCTCCTATTTCGATCTTGACGACGCTTACGACCGGTATGAGTGAACGACTAGAAAAAGCTCCTTGTTCTTGGACAGAATTGGCGCATCTGTGTTCTGGGATCTTTTTTTGAACGTTTACCAGGGTCGTCTTGAATACGAACAGACATGAAATGTCAAAACCTCGTGATGCCTCTTGTTGTGTGTACTTTTTGGACGTGATCAAACGAACGACTGCTTATGGTGCGGATATGCTTGAGATTTTTCGACTACCCTTTTGCGTTGTTTTTCTTTTTCTTTTTCTTTTTCTTCTTTCTCTTGGTTTTTTTTTCTCTCAGGAGTTTCTTCTCTCAGGACATACTCTGTTAGCTGTGTTTTGGGGCGAGGCGTATTATATGGGAGGGTGGAGTGTCTGTTTGGAGGGAGCAAACGGGTGAGGCAAGCTGGTCTTGTTATAGTTACTAAAGCAGGGGGGCATGACGAGAGAGGGTTGCTCTTCTTGTGATGTTCGAGTGCCATACGTAGGTAGTCGCCGGAGTGACTGAGAGACGAGATGGATTTGTCGATGTATGTATGTATATACGTACTTGTCGATTTGAAGCTGAATGAATTGCTATGAATCGATTATCAATTTCGACAGTGAATGAGAGCTTCCATGCTGTATGAATTGTTCTTATTGTAGTATTCTTCGTAGGCTGGATTATTTGACAGTGAATGCAGCGTGATGGTGGTCCGTGCACGCAGCAACGCCGGCCCAGCTATTGAGCTGTCTTTGCGCGCCGCGGGCCTTGGGCTGTCCTGCGCATTCACTGCCTCGCCCAACAAAGACAGGTCCCTGCTCAAAACGACGGTCGCAGCAATTCATCTAGAGCAGGGACTGCTTTTCGCTCGCTTGATGTCTGCTTCATAACCACCCCTTCCGTTCGCCTTCGCGGTTGACAGCGCCCTTCCGCTCGACCTGTCGCCGCTGTTTGATGGCTGGCTCCATTCTGCAGCAGCGGTCTCTTTTCTCCATCCAAATCGCCTGATCCAACTGCATTCCGTGTCCCTTCGTCGCTGCTTCGCACTGCTCTCCTCGTCGCTGAGAGACTGGAGCTGTCCCATCCGCGTCGTTGTCTCTCTGCATGTGGCCACCGGAGCCGTGAGTATTGCCCGCTGCTCTGCCCGACAGGTACGTATGGCCCCCTCTAACGATGTTGACCCCTTCTTCCTTCCTTTGTATGGAACGGAGCTCCCATTTGCTCCCTCTTCTCAGTGCGCGATGGCGAGATCTGGACGGCCGACTCATCGTGATTCTGAGCTGATTCCTGACCTCCGTCCCTCTTGGAACGCATGCGTCTCCGGTTAGCGAATCCAGAATTGTCCTGTTGACGAGTCGCCCTCGACCAGAAAGCGTGTTGTTTTGAATTCTCGGGAGCACAAGGAACGGTATCTGACTTGGCTGTGGGGAAAAGAGAGAGGGATAATAAGGACGTGGCGAGTTTGGCGGAACTGACCTGTCGTCGAGGCTCAGGGAGGATTCGAGGCATCGCGCGTTATCGCTGGTCGGAGCAAGATGCCTAATCCACCGAACCCCTTTGCTGCGATCGCTGCTGGCCAAAAAGATGGAGGCGCCTCCGGACGCGGTCGTGCGTCGAACAGTAGTCGCGCAGCACCCTACCAGAGCCGGAATACCAAAGAATCAAAGTCGAAGGCTCGAGGACGGCTGAGGAGTGCAAGCGGTCGCTCTGGCTCGTCGTCGTCGGACGCCCATGGCGCGCAGAAGAAGAAGCAGGAGCGGCCCAGCGATGCACCGGCGTCGACTTCCCCCTTCGCGCAGCTCAAGTCGAACGGCGTCACCAGCCAATTCGGCAAGCCCTCGCTTTTCCCCGGCGCTGCTCAGGGCTCTCAGGCCTTTGGGGTGCCCTCTCTTCCACAGTTTGGGGACTCTGTCGACCGGAATAGGGATCCTCGGCGTCGACCTGCTCCTCAGAGACCGGCGCCCAGCAAGGCGGCAATGTCTCATGTCCCTGTGGAAGATGCGAAAACAATCAATGCTTACCATGAACGCTACGAGAAGGTGTGCTGAATGCGTGCTCCCGGTCCTGGGATTTTCGCTGACTTCTCTATCAAGCTTAAACTCGACCGAGCGAAGCAAAGAGAACGAGCCATCAGACAAGGCCAGATGGCAGATCCTAACCAGCCGACATCGTTAAACAAGGCCATCACTCCTGTGGGCACCTGCACGAGCATGTGTCCCGAGTTCGAGCGGGTGGAACGGATCGTTCAGAAGATGGTCGACAAAAGCGAAAAGGTATCTCCTCATTTTGCGAAATCCTTGCGTGCGTCAGCTGCTGATCTCCGAATCCCAGTATCTTCACCCCGCGACAAATGCGTACCAAAACATGGAATCGAAGATGTTGAAACGGTTCCGGAGATCGGCTGCTGGTTACGATGAACAGCTGCCGTCGGATATTCGCACGCCCAAGACGCTTCTCCAAACCATGAATTACCTGATCCGACACGTCATAGGCGGCCCGGAACCTCTTGGGCTGATCCATAAGTTTGTCTGGGACCGTACTCGATCGATCAGAAACGACTTTTCCGTCCAACAGCTGACGCAGGAGGATCATGTCCGCATGGCGGTGACGTGCCTTGAGCGAATCGCTCGCTTTCACATCGTCTCGCTACATTTGCTGTCTAGTCCTGCCAATCAAGAGCAGTTTGACCACCACCAGGAACGAGAACAGCTGAACAATACCATGCTTTCGCTCATGTATTACTATGACGACAACCGGGGTCGCATTACCTTTCCTAATGAGGAAGAGTTCCGCGCGTACTACATTGTCTTTGCTATTCACGATCAACGGCCGGATCTGGAGAGCCGTATGCAAAAGTGGCCCAAGGAGTTGCTTCAATCCCCCAAGGTCCGAGTGGCCTTGGAGTTGCTTGCTGCAGCCAGCAATACGTGGGAATATCAGGGCACTCTGGACGAGAAGCGGCCAAATGCAATTGCCCAGGGTTTCTACACTCGATTCTTCAGTCTGGTGGACTCTCCCAGTGTGTCGTACCTGATGGCATGTGTTGCAGAAATCTATTTCAATAACGTGCGCCAAACTGCCATCCGATCGATCTGGAAGGCTTACTGCCGTTATCCGCTTTCTCAACAGCATAAAAACGAGGAATGGACGTTGGCTGAGCTGACGAAGGCGCTCTATTTCGACAACGAGGATCAAGCGCGCCAATTCTGCGAAGAACAGGGACTCGATTTTGCTGAGAACAGTGAGGGACAATTGTACCTGGACTGGGGGAGTCGCCCTATCGATTCTGTTGGTATGTACAGCCATTATATATATTTGCTGGAAGCTTCTCTAACTCGACAGACTTCCAACCTTCGTCGAAACATGCCTTTTCCGAAAAATACGTGGAATCGAAACGCGGCGGGAGAACGTTGGAGGCGGTCATCCTTGGCTTGAATATCAAGCAAGCAGCAAGGCATGGGATGATTGACCGCTCGCTCCTCGCAACCCGCACGGTTCCATCACAGGCAGCAAGCGTCTCGGAGGCTTCAGAAGAGGATGAACTCTTCGTCGGCGAGAAAGAGAGCGAGGTCTCTGAGCCAGAGACTCGAGTAAATGGCCATTCTCCTCGACAGGTCGAGTCTGACTCGGCGGAGTCTGTTTCCAGCGTTCACGATTCCGATGGTCTGGCGGCGCAACCCGCTGCCCAGACTGCTGAATCCAAGCCGACCTTCTCCTCTTTATTTGGAGGTTTTGGCGGAAAGCCTTCTAACCCATTTGCCTTGCAGTCACAGCCTAGCCAACCATCCCAGAAACAAGAACTTTTCCCTTCTACAGCTCCAAAACAAGAAACTCCCTCGATCTTTTCGCAAACACCAACCCCTTCCTCTACCCCAGATGTACCGAGCCCCAAACCGGCAACGTCGAGTCTATTCCAGCCCTCTCAAACATCTCCCTTCGCTGCAACAACGGCGAAGCCTTTCTCTCTTGCTGGTGGAACTGCACTTGATACTTCGCAGGCTGCAGAGAAGTCTGCCAATGCTTTTGATTCAGTCAAGACGAACAATATCTTCGGGACCACTCCTAGCTTTTCATTCACTCCTAATCAGAGCCAGTCTGCAAGCACTAGCTTTGGCAGTGGCTTGTTTTCAACGCCTGCACAAAATGGCGAGAGCAAAGTTGGAAAGACGCCAGTCACATTCGGTCAGAAAAATGGCGTATCTCCACCCAGCACTGAGGGTAGGTACTAGGATTGTGCCAATGGAAGTGTTGATGCTAACAGAGACAGAACGCCCAGCTATCTTCCCGAAAGCTAAACCAGCAACTCCACCTGTAACGACTCCGCCGTCATTCGTTTCGAGTCCTATTGCCACTCCTAAAACAGCTGCGACAGCCACTCCGCCATTACTTTCCACATCCCAACAGGGTGTGCCAACCACTGTCCAGGATTCTAATCCGCCGGTAGAACAAGGTACACCAAAGGCCGCTCCCACGACCGAGACGGTTCCTTCCGTTGAGTCAGACATCTCTGCATCGCCTGAGACGGAGGAATTTCGCAAGTCATGGGTAGAGGCATTGCGAAAGTCCGTCGGCGGCAGACGTCAGGATTCCCCTCCCAGCCGTAAGAGGCGATTGGAAGAGGAAGAGGAATCGCCGTCTCCTGAAGAAGAGAGTCCTAAAGAGGAGAATGTTTCCAAGCCAGAGAAAGCTCGTCCGAAACGAAAGTCGCTGGCGCTTGCGTCGATAGCACCACTCCCGACTCTTCCGATCCTTGAAGAGGTGAAGAAGATGACGACGAAGAGGAAGCCTCCGCCGAAGGAGGAGACGAAGACGCGGGCACAGACGCAGATAGACGAAGACGAACTTCTTCTGTCGGCGGCGCGAATCGCGGCAGAGTCGTTGAAGAATGGGCCGAAGCTGTTTGAAAATGTGTCGGAGTACGCCTACGCCGAGCCACCACGCACCTCGCAACGCAGCCCATGGTCGGCCAGGAAAAAGCCTCTACCGGGCGGGTAGTGTTGTAACTTGTGTCAATAGCATACATAATTCTGTGGTTGATCTCAGCGATTACCGGTGTATGTATGTAATGTACTTACATGAATGATGACATAAACAAGATATGAATGTTATGGATATTGTAATGTACAAATAAGTGAATAAATAATATTTATCTGGGATTGATCTGAATACTTAATTGAATGTACATACTGTACACAGGACAAATCTCACTCATATCAATCAATCGAAGTCAGCAAACATAACGTAACAAACAGCTCTGCTTTCTCTCTCTCTCTCTGTCATATTAATAAATATTATTTATTATTTAATAAATGGGACCTTCTTTTTTTTCTCAATTGATTCTTGTCTTGTCTTCACGTTCGATTGATTGATATTTACGTTATCTTTCTTGTCTTTCTTACCTTAGGTACATACAGTAGGTACTCAACAATGCACCACAAGACTCCGTAGAGTACAGTAGAGTACAGTGCATTGCATTGAATTGCATTGCATTGTATTACACTGGGGATATACATAGATACCTATACATATACATATACATATATACAGAAAAGAAAAAAAGAAGTATTCAAGCAAGAAAGCAAGCAAGCAAGCAAGCAAGCAAGAAAGAAAGAAAGAAAGAAAGAAGAAGAAGAAGAAGACAAAACAAGACAATATGATTTGATTTATCCTGCTTTGCTCTGATCGGATCAGAGCCATTCACTCACTCGAGTGTTTCCTTGTCTGCTTGCTCGGTTGGTCATTCGTTTAATTCATTCGTTTCGTGTGAATGAATACAGACAATCAGTCAGTCGATGACAGACTCGATCACTCGATCGATCAATGCAGATAGATGGATAGATGCATGCATGCATGTTATTTATTAACATCCACGGGTTATGATTTTTCATGGCTCGACCATGGCATGGCATGAATGGCATGGTATGATGTGGGAATATAATAGAATAGAATGCAATGGATAATGAATAATGGTCCAGTCCGGATTATTATTATCTGACGAAGTATGCAGATACCCAATTGGATTCCCAAAATCGTCGTTTTTTTTTATGCGACAATTAAAACCTTGAATGAACATTAGCAAGTAAGTAGAGAATAATCTGTAATGTGTAAACTGGACTGACCTTATTTCGTAACTCCCCGCTCTCGTCATATACCGCACCCACTTCACACTGCTATAGTTGCTCTTCTCAAACACCTTGAGATAGCGCACCAGCAGCCCGCTGCTCGTGAACATGAGCAGGTTGAACGACAGGCTCAGCGGCGGGCGGCTCCAGGCCTTCTGGTGCGTCATGCTCGTCAGCGTCGCTTCCGCCGTCAGCACGTACTCGCTCTGGCCCGTGAAGCGGGCGATCTTCCAGACGATGTTGTTATGCTCCGGCTCGTACTTGGCCTTGCCCTGGGTCGTGCGCTCGGTGATCTTGGCCGTGTTGAGCGGCGTCGGGATGCGCACCACCACGTTGGTCGCGAACAGCTTCGACTCGTAGTTGGCCTTGATGGCCACGCTGTACTCGACCTTGGTCGTGCCCACCTCGCGCACGATCGGGTGCACCTTGAACGGCAGGTTGACGTTCTCCGTCGCCCGGTACCGCATCAGCTCGAACTCGCCGTCGGGCGGCACAAACGAGATGGTCCGGTCCGCGTCGAACCGGCCCAGCTTGACGCACTGGTGGAACTGGCAGTCCTCGAGCGTGACCGACCCGGCGGCCGCCCGCGTCGTCGACGTCGCCCGCGTCCTGCCCGCGACGGGGTCGTCGTCCAGCAGCAGCCGGTCGTTGAGCCCGAACTTGCACTCGGGCGTGCCCGACAGATACGCCCGCATGATGATCTGCCCGTTGACGTCGGCGCGCAGCACCGTGCCCGTGGCCGACATGAGCAGGTTGACGTCCTCGATCACGTCGACAAACGCCTCGTTCTTGCGGTATTTGATGTCTGAACGACGCCATGAGATGGCGCCCGTGGCCTGCATCGTGATGCGGCTCGAGTCGGTGGGCGAATTGGCTATGGACGAGCGGACGCCTTCGGTGGTGATGTACATTTTGAGGGTATCGGTTTCGGTGTTTTGGGGGTATCCGAAATCGAGGATTTCTAAACAGAACCCATTAGCAAGTAAATTTTTTTTTAAGTAGAATACGACAGACGAGCTCACCATCCAAAAGCTCATACACCAAGACAAAGTTATTCTTGACCGCCTCCTCGTCAAACTTGCCAAAGTACCCCCTCCCCAGCATGATCAGGCGGTAGAGGAACTCAAAGACGAGAGCGGCATTGGCATTGCTCTTGGTGACGGCCACCAGGTAGATGTTCTCGTGCTTGACATGACTGAAGGTGGTCGAGCCCAGCGTCAGGATGGGCGAGCGCACCTGCGGGTTGCTGATGACCTGGATGCGGAAGATGTCGGCCAGCCGCGGGCGGCAGTCGTTGCGGAAGGCGCGGAAGATCAGGTTCTCCCCCTTTTGGTTGAAGATGAGGATGCCGGAGAGCATTTCGAGCAGCTTCTGCTCATTGCTTGGTGGTGGTGGTGGTGGTGGTGGTAGTTAAGCTGGTCACTGGTGTTGGGAATGTCTGGCGGTGGAGACGGCGTAATAGCTAGCTGGCTGGCTGTGATCTCCGCCTGTCCCCGCGTACGTACACTACGGAGGATTACAGCAGCTCAACAGCAGATTTATTTAACAGACATCCAGCTGAATATTTGGATAGATCAATTCAGTACTCTTGAAGGTAGATATTTGTATGTCATAAAGTACCCTGCTATGGTATATACGGTTTCTACAACCTGATAACACATATCAATCTCAGAAGTACAGAGTATCTAAATTGCTAATTCCAGCACTCTAACTATGCTACAAGACAAAAGGGAAAAAAAAAAAGAATTCCCTCTGGGGGAATATTTATTCTCAAAAAAAAAAAGGGGGAAAAAGCACCAACACATCCATTCCCACCCATCAGTCAGTCAGTCATATGCAATCAATGTAATGTAATGCAAGAAGAAAACATAATATGTGCCATCGAGAAGAACATTACAACAGCATAGTGTTGAGGGGAAAAAAAGACTCTTAAAGAGAAAAGTCGCCAGACTCCTTCTGCCTTGTTGAATAGGAAAGAAAGAAAGAAAGTGATTCTCTCTCCAAGAGAGAATGAGTAATGCAGTTGCAATCACCTGGTATCAACACAGTTGGATATCATCAAGCAAACCTGAAAACTTGCTCAGAGAATGCATCGCGCCAAATCTAGAATACAGATGGACAGACAGACAGACAGACAGACAAACAGACAGACGTAATTCCTCGTATACAGACGCAGACGCAGACGGCTCGGCCGCTGTCGCAGGCTGCTGTCACCGGTTATGAGCCTCCTCTGCAGCAGCGCGCACTCCCGGCCCAATCCCGCTGTTTGGTCTCGTCCCCGGCGCCGACGGCCCTTCACTCGAGACAAGGCCCACCTTGGGGTCGGGGATCTGGATGTCCAGCGTCATGTACGCCGTCCGCCGCAGACTCCAGATCCGTACCCCCTCTTTGGCGCCCACTTCTCGATTCCATTTCTCCAGCCACTCCTCCAACCGTCTCAGATGGCTCTTGATCCCCGACAGCCCCAGATCGTCCCAGAGCCACCCGGTCAGCAGGCCCATCGCGTAATCGAACCAGTTGCGGAAGCTGAAGGGATCAAACGCCTTGATGAGCTCCCCGTTGATCTTGGCAATGATGCGGCGGAACTCTTGCTCGGGCAGCAGCGGGTCGAGGATTTCGGGATACAGATTCGAGAACGTCGGGGCGAGATCCCCCTTAACCATCCAGTCGCGGCGGATGCGGATAATGCGAGTCGACGTGTACTCCTCCGACGAAATCGGCACGTGGGGATTCATGTGTGGGAAACAAGGGTGGGCAGGACCCCATGCGAGTTCCTCCGCCGCTTCGTTGTTGTTGGGCCCCGTGCCTGAGGCATGCGAGCCCAGCGTCGATGCGCGCAGCGAGGGCACCGACTGTGCGTGACGCGGGGGGTGGCTGGACACCGTCATCGGGAGCTCTCCGCGGGTCTGGTCGATTGGCATCTCCGGTCGTCATCTCGGGCGTGTCTGCCTGCGGTGACCGGTCGTGATGGCCACTTCGCCGCTGACTTCGGGGCAACCCGATGCTCGTGCGGCCGCTCTCGGTCTCTTCGACGGCGCGTTCGACGAGACTGGCCGGGGAAGGACTATGGCGACTGCGACGCTGCTCAGAGATGGTCAGGAGAGGGTACGCGTCTCGACTGCTCCCCTCGAGGGGGAGGTTTTCGTCCGAAAACTGCGGAGGACGAGGGGTGACAAGGGTGGTGCGTGGGACGTAGTTGATCGGATTCCAGAGGCGGGACCCGGATGGCGAGCCGCGAAAGGGGAAGAAAGGACGGCTCTTGGACTGCTGGGCTATGCCAGAGGACGCCGGAGGATGATACAGCGGCTGTGGCACAGCAAGACGGGCAGACGACTCGAAATGGCCTCCAGGAGGATGGGACGGGGGGTCTTTCGCCGCCAGCGGTGATAGGTTGCGAGGATCCTGGGGGCGGCTGGAAGACGCCGTTTTCGAAGACGGGACGGGCGAGTCGAGCAGACGGAGAGGGAGAGCGATGGGAATGGCAATGGGAATGGCGAGGGCGACGTCGACGTCGTCGTCGTCGGTTGTTGTGGAGGAGGAGGAGGAGCAGCAGCAGAGCGGAGATGCTCGGCTGGCGCTTCTTCAGGCGGCGAAAGGGGCAAAGTCGACGACGGCGGCCGCGGCGCTGCTTCCCCCATGCCGCCTTCACGACAGAAGGCAGCGAGGCAGGCGAGAAAGAAGGAGAGAGAAGAAAAGAAGGAGGCAGAGGACGTCTTATGAGAGGGAAATTGCAGTCAGTAAATAAAAAGCGCAGGGATGCGGCTGATGCGTGGTCTCTACTCAATGGCTCGTTTATCTCCGAGCAGCGGACGCCGCATCTCTTTAAATCGAATAGAAAAGAGACATGCAGCAGCCCTGTGGCTCCAGACGAGAGCTCTCGATTGATCGATCAATCAATCAAGGGCAGCGGTCGTTGGGCAGCCAGGAGAGGATTCACCTGGTCGACAGCAAGGTAGCAGCAAACTGGAACCAACAGTCCAGCGCTGGTCCACGGGGCTTGCTGCTGCACTTATACGACAGCCAGTGGTCTTTTTTTCTCCTGTTTTACGCTTGACTACTACTGCGTACGCCATACGAGGATGCCCTTCACGCGGCACAACCGGGAAAGGCAAAAGAAAAAAAAAAAGAAACTTCCAGCCTATAACTCTCCAGCCAGCCGTGTCCGGGCAAGAAAGGAGTAATAGTTGGTGACGGAACGCGGACGGCATAAAATTAGCATAGCATAGCAGTGCTACTCCTCAGTCTTAGCGACTTGGGGACAGTGGAGGTCTGGAGGACCGATCTCCAACCGCACGAACGACGGGTCTGGAAAGGCCATGTCTTACATCCACACTGGGCCCAAGTGGCCTGCCTGGCTGGCTGGCTGGCAAATCATCGCAGGATCGCGAACCCGGGTCCGGGCTCCTGGATTCAGGCGAGCATCATTCGTCAGCCATAATCTATCTGTACGATTATCGACCCATCTTGCAGAGATCTGCTGGACGCGGTATAGGCGCAAACAGAGTTCTCACGATCCAGCCTGGACAGCCACTGGTGAATTTAGCATTTTGCAAACTCACGCAGAAGAGACTGGGCTAGAATCAAGCCCCTAAGTGAATAAGACTACTGTTATGGTGCTCTCTTTACTCCGTAAGGATCTAGGTCCTGAGCATCCTGGTCAATTCAGATCATCGTAATTTTATGCGTGGCCTTAAGCCAGTATTCGCAGTAGCATTCGCATAATCATTGCTATGATAGCGTTTGCTGGATGGGACTACTGGTCGCATGACATCTCCGCCATCGTATACGGAGTATTCATGCAAAAAGGAGGCGTTTCTGCCTCCTCCTTGCGCTGTGGATCGCCCAAACGTCATAGCCGGGCCCCTTGGAGCGTCCAGACTATCCGGCTTCAGGAAATCGCCCACCAGCCCAAGTGGAGCTCGTCTCCTCCGAAATCCAGGAACCTCGTCAATAGTGCGGCCTCCACCAACGCCAGTTACTCCGGACTCGGAGGATTATCTGAGTCAAAAAATAATTAGTTCAACGAACGAGCCAACGACGCGGACGCCTCCGCTTCGCTTGCAGCTTTACTGTACGGAGTACGTACTGGTGATAAGGGATAAACGATGCTGTTTGTTGTCCTAAGCGGAACAGCATGATAGTGATAAGAACTGCAGGTCGTTCATCGTAGGGGATTGATTGATTATAGCCCTATTTTCACAACCATTAGATCTCAAAACGGAGGTAATATCAACGCAACATTCACCACGCTGACTGAAGCGAGTGACAAGGGTATATATGGTATAGTCACGCGTATTCTGGATGGGTATATTATGATATATCAGGAATGAAGTACAGGCACAGTCACAGAACAGCATTGGGTATACATGTCAAGGCGAAGGAGCGATTTCTGATGGCAAAATCCCCCATTAAAATCAAGAATAATGGGGATTAATATAATGAAGAAAAAAAAAAGTCAAACGAACCGCCCAGGAATTCCGTAGTAATTCGTAGTAATTCGTCGCCAATATTAAGCTTGTATGCTCGTCGATATCGCTTCTCTAGCTGGATGCAAATCGAATATACATGCGAACAAAAAGTCGAGATATAAACCCTAAACAGTGATTATTATGATTATTATTCAACACATCACTCGCCTCCCATGACTTTGCGATTCGCTGCCGCCTGCATCCGGCGCAGCGCTTCCCGGTGGAGATCGCGCATCTCGCCCCGCTGCATCTTCTCCGCGATCGAATTGTCGATGTACTCCGACGCCATCTTCCGCTGCTGCTTCTCCAGCTGCGCCTTGCGCTGCTGCTCCATCATGCTGGTTCGCGCCATCGTCACGTCCGCCAGCGGCGTCCGGGACTGCGTCAGATCCTCCCGAAGCGCCTGCCGCCATGCGGCCATCGTCATCTGGGACTTGGTCCGGTTCGGCTCCCTCCATGGTCGATTCGCTTGATACGGATCGCGCATCGCCATCTTGGGATCGGGCGTCATGCGTCCATGGGAGGCTGCGCCGCCCTGCTGCAGCCACGCACGGCGCTGAGCAAGGGGAATGTCGTCATCATCAGGGACCACACCCAGCTGGCTTTCCCGGCGTCCATCGTCCAAGGATAGCCGAGAATAGGACCGAGGAAGCCAGGAATCCCGACTCAACGACACGGACGACATGCGACTTTGAACCATGCTCTCACGCTGCGCCATCAGAGACGGCGGCTCATCCGCTGGGGTCTCTGGGAAATTCGCTACTTCGCTCTCACGAATCGGCGCTGAAGCGAGAGAGTTGTTGAAGAAACCACTTGGAGAACCGTGTAACCCTCGCTGTGCAGCGGGATATGCCTGTGAAGAGCGCGCTAAACCGGGCGCTGCGGGCTCTCGAGCCAGGCGAGAAGTTGCTTGTGTGGCCGTACCATCGGCATACACACCGGGTGAATATATCCGCGACGAGTCACGGGAAGCGTACCTGGACGCGCTGGACAAGGATCGATAGACAGGATGGCTCACAGGCTCTTCCGGGAGAGAGACACATCTTTCACTAGCAGGAGGAGGAGGTGGTGGTGGTGCATTCATTGCGGTTTGCTGCAACTCCTCCACTCTCACAGGCGCCGCTACTTCCGTGTCCTGGGCTCCCATATGAGCAGAGTCATCTTGCGTCAGTTGGATTGGTTCAACTTCGGGAGTCTCTGCCTCCGCCAGATGTTTTGCCCATTCGTTCGTGCGGTAGGACGTGACGACCGGGGAGACATGACTAGGTAGTTTCTCTACCGCCCCAGCGGTGAGAGATGTCTTTCTTCCCGTGTTTGTCTGGGATCGGGACCCTAACGAGGGTGATTTTTTGACAGTTGAACCCCCATTATCTGAGTCCGCAAAGGACTTGGATGGTACGCTCGTCACGGGGGACAAGGGAAACACCTGGCCAGCTGGCAAGACACGAGCAGCCGCATTTATTGGCCGCTGGCGCTTCTCGGGAACGGTCTCCAAGCCTCCTCGTTTCATGGAATCCACATGGAGACCACATGTTGAACCATCTCGTGCAGAGACTTGCTGTTCTTCTGTCACTTCGTGCGACGGTTCTGGCTGATAAGTCTTTCGTGGAAGGATTTGTTCCTCTTGGGCCACTTCTTGATGGTTCTCTGATGGTTGATCGTTTCCTAAAGGAGCTTCTTGGACTGTGTCATTCTGCACAGGAACCTTCGGAGTTACATCCGAAGCTTCTTGCGCAGAATCAGCTTGTTCATGACCTTCTTGCCTCGATTCCACGCAGCTTGCCGACGGTAGCTGTTGTCCCTCGAGCGCATCGAGTTCCCAGGCCGTAGTTTGTAGGTCAAACTCAGACTCTTCATCGCCGTCCACAATTCCTTGGACGGAAGTGGCTGGACTGGCCAGTCGGATGGGCACGAGCATCTCTTCAGACGACGACGAGATCAAGTTGCTGGTCCTGTTGGACAGTCGCCTCAACAGTGTGTTGCCCGACAGTCGTTTGGACAACCGTGTCGCAATAGACAGGACATCATCACAAGTCGCCTGCACAGAATGGCGGTCTTCCTCCTTTGGAGTGTCTGAGAGATCTGGAACCTTGAATGGGAGAGGCGTCACAACTGGTGCCGGCGTAACTGGCAATGCATCCGTTTGGGCTGGCGGATTTTCTTCCTGGATGGGATGGGGGCCCTCTTTTTGAACCAACTTTTCCTTCCCTGTTGCCTCTATTGACGGGTTCTCTGGATCTTTCGTGTCGGGAGGGCCAGTCGCATCTCCCTTCGGTTCTTTCTCGTGAGCCGTCTCGTCAGTCGTCGTCGGCTGCGTCGAATCATGCCCAGACTGAGTCAGATTCTTCATTTCTACTGTATCTCCTGGAGCCTCTGCGACTTCCGTTGCGGTCGAGCATTTTCGCGGACTTTCTGGATCCTCTGGGTCCCCACCAGAATTTGGTTGACGAGTTTCTCGATTGCCGTATATTGCTTCCCAACGAGCCAGTTCCCTCATGTTATTCTCTTCAAATCTTCTCCCCATTTCCGCTTCAGCTTCATCCTTCTTCCTCTGTTCCTCCTTTAGCAAGGCAGCTTGCTTCTTTCTTCTTTCTCGTACCACTCTCCAGAGCCTGAATTGTGAAAGCAGACCCATCAAGCAGATAATGATGATGATCGCAAGTTCCACACGGATCCCCCGAGTGACGGGATATGTCGTAGTGTCCAAAGGGAAGATATTGTCGTTTAGATCTAGAGCAAAGAGTTAGCGCCTTCGTGACAGACACGCTGGTGAATACTCACCCCATATATACAACCAAAACTCCTTCAATCCTGCCCGGCTGAAACAATCGATTCCAAGCACCGTTGCAGTACCACCGGCGAATGCCGTCGACCCTATCAATGCATAGGGCCTCGTATACAAACTGAAAGACAAAGCGTACGCGGCGGCGCAGAACGCTCCGATAAAGCCGCCCTTGGCTCCAGAGCTGGTGATGACACCTCCTGCCTTCAGGCAAAGAATCCACATGCTCAGACAGAATCCTCCTAGCAGGCAACCCAGTCCCTCGGTCAGCTCCTTGAAGACGAGAGAGAGAGCCCCGAATATGACCCCTGTGAAGAAAGCGGCCACGAAGTATGCTCCTTGCACGGCATTGCGAACCGGAGGACTCATTACATAGACGATCAGGACCTAAATAAGATTCCCAGTAAGTATCCATCACACAAATTCCAATTCCGTGAAAATATAAGGCTAAGACATACCGTCACTGCCAAACTAGTCGAGAATGCCGCAGATAAGAAGACATGAATCCTGCATTCACTTATTATTAGGGTCACGACCGACATCACCTCGAGTCAAACGGAAGCTCACCATTGATTCTTGATTCCAATCAAACTGTAGCACAACCCAAGCACGATGAGGATAACACCTGCCACACCCAATGCCGGCGTTATCTTCGGCTGAATCGGGAGAGCATCGGCATCGGCCGCATCTGCAACAGTCAGTGTCATGCCAGAAAGATATTCCAACTGAGGGAGATCAACTAGCCTTGTGTTGCATTCGTGGAGTGGTTTGATAAAGGCACTGCTGTGGCTTGGGCAACTGTTCCAGTTGTAATATCCGGATGTCTGTCAGTTACCGTGGTAGAAGCGCTCGCAGTAGCTGAAACTGTGGCCTCAGAAGCGGATGAAGCACTCGTGCTGGTTGCTGATGGGTTTGTAGTCGACAGAACAGAAGAAGAGATCGCAGATGTCGTCGTGCTGCCTTGATCAGCTTGTCTTGCATATAGGGAAGCATCGCCTGCGACGATCACAACACAGCTGGTGATGATGGATATGATAATAAGGACCACATCATGGAGACGCATCTTGACGACGCCTGAGATTAATATTATACACGGATTGTAGTCTCAGATAATTTTTGTGCGTGATAAAGCATCATTGGGGACTGTCACCACAGTTCAGTCGTAATTCTGCCTCATTTTGCAGGTTATCCTGATATCATCGAGTCGTCGCAAGTAGCAGAATTCTTGGGCACTCAAGGAAGAGAGACACGAGGCGGTGATGAAGGAGAATACTGTGCTGGGACGAGGCGCGGTGAGACACGCCACGGAATAATGACAAGACGGTCTACTTTACTAGGAACTTCTTGTTCAGCAGCCATGGCTTTTATTCAATCTGCTGCCTTCCCCCGCCACCATCGAAACAGGCGTTTCCAAGTAAGGGTATGGCCGACAAGCGGTGACGTGTGAGTGATGATCCACAAGTCTGAGCTCTGACGACCTCAATGGGGATGATAGCCTGATTTAGCAAAAGAGGCGGGCAAGGCCCTGCCATGAAGGACATATGGAAAAGCCTATGGCGGTCAATTCCCAAGAATTTCGCATCATTTCTTCGTGTGGAGTGGCTAGCTGTCGAACATGACCAGCCTCAGAGATTCCGATTTGGGTTGACAAGCAGGTGCAGGAGAGGCGGGCAGAAGTCATGATTCGCCAAGGCAGTAGATAAGATGCTAGTTGACGCCAATGAGATGACTCTCATGCAATGGTGGAGATGCATGTATATTGCATTCCCAGCAGCCAACGAAACGAATGCGTCGTACGCCACAGGGCATCGATCACGTCTTTTGGAAAAGTCTTGGGATGTTCTGTAGCTAATTTCTGCAGTGAACTGCAGCAATGACTGACAAATTTCATCGCTTCCCCAGCCTGGACTTCCAATTCTTTCCCCGTATCAGTTCTCTGATCTTTGGAGACCATGTTCTCGAGAAGCGGAAGATCCAATCGCGGACGGAGAATTTCGACTTGGATGAAGATCATCGGCCCGATAGCTACGTAGGTGTGCGCCTTTGGCGCGATCGCAGCGGGGCGTGGATGGGTTGTGGATCGAGTCTGGAGGTTGTTCCTGGCTTAGCGTTGCCCGTTTGGCTTTAGTGATGATCGCGGGCCCACCGAATGACTAAGAGCTTAACGACGTGTCTCATGGAGCATGCACCACGCAGCACTCCAGGGCCATCGTGTGAGATGCGAAGCGATTGGACTGCAGAGCATTATGTAGCTATCCCTGCGAGCAGGATTCGAATGGGAGTGCCCATTGTCTGGACTTGTTTCAACCCGCGGCAAGCAGGGCTATTATAGAGGTTGTCTCGCCCATAACAGTTATTTTTGTATCAATAGGATCCGTGGCAGTTCAGGAACGAGCTTACTCCGGAGTAGTTCTTCTGTTTGTCGTTTTGCTTTCGTCTTTTTTTTGGCCCTTCGTTTCCCCGCTGCTCTGGAGGGTGGCTGACAGCTCGTCTGCAAGTCACAGTGTTGGTTAACAGCCACCAGATCGTGTATCTACCTAGGTAGGTAGGTGCTCTGGAAACAGTAGGGTATACTTGCATGGTATTGCATAGGCCTAAGGCACCAGCCACAGTTCTGCATCTTCTCGCACGGATCAGGCAATTCAACCTTACTCCGTAACGTATGGCGTATAGAGGAACGCGCTAAGATACAAACCAGAAAGGCGGTGGCTTGACACCAGCACTCAGCAACTTCTTGGCTTCAATGAGGCGCTGGTATAGCCGAGTAGTCGTTGTATGTCGTAGAGGCGGACCTGGCAGGCCTCGTCCATGGTCCTTGCGTGACTAGGCCTCGATAGTTTCGCCGGATTGCAGCGGATCTCCAACCACGTGACCTGTCCAGCTCCTAGTCGCGTCGCGACCGCAACGCCTGCGAGAACGGGACTAGTCCTTGCAATTTTGGAAAAGAAAAATCTTAACCAGCTGTCAATCCGTCTTGATTGCTCTTCTGTCATCGACCTTCCTGCATTGCAATTGACTATTTGCACATTTGCACACACAGACACTCAAAATGCAAGCTCTCCGTCCGCTCCTGCGTGCCCGCGCTGCTGCCCCTGCGCGTGGCCTCTCCGCCGCGCGCTCCTTCAGCTCCTCGCCCTCGCACTCGGTCGCCCGTCTGATTATCACCGGGCGCCTGGCCTTTGAGCCGGAGCTGCAGACGACCTCCACGGGGCGGGAAGTGGTCAGGTACGTGGTGGGCTCGTCGTCCGGACCCCGCGACAACCGCCAGACGAGCTGGTTCCGCGTGTCGAGTTTCCAGCCCGAGCAGAGGGATCGCCTTCTCAATCTGCCGAAGGGGTAAGAATTGCCTTGTCATCTTGTCATTCCTGCGCTGCATGGTACGTTGCTAGGCAGATCTAAGCTAACGTTGACTGCGTTGTAGAACTCTTGTCTACGTCGAAGGCGATGCCACCCTGCGGGCCTACGAGGACGCCGAAGGCAGGAAAAACACCAGCCTGCACGTTGTGCAAAGTAAGTCGCGTCAAGAAAAAGAGAGAGAGCGGGAGAGAGAGGAACCGATACTGACATCGGCCTAGGAAACCTCGAAGTGCTGAGGCGCCCGTACTCCGGTTCCCGGTCCGAGTCTTACTCTTCTGAGGAATCGCAGCAGTAGACTGGCCGTAAGTCTACCTAATCTATCCAGCTATCGACCTACGTAGTAGTCAGTCGAGGTCTTGGTTTGTTTTGACTAGACGAGTGAAAAAGGGCGAGCCCAGTCAATAATCTCGTTATTATTGTCCGATAAGTCACGATCTCACCCTGTACTATTTCTTTTTTATTCGTACCCCTGTGTATTTTACTCTCCTATGCTGGTCGTTTGTTCTGTGAGCGAATGTATCTGTGTGTATGTGGAAGAATTGACGTGGTGTATACCCGTTTTTAGGAAACACAACCTTTTTTCCTTTAATTTGGGTTACCTTTCGTGGTACATAGTTGTATTGGTGAGAGACTTCTCTATTGCTGAGAAAGAGGACTGAGAGATCTCTTGCTTCTTCTTTCCACTCCGTTGAGTGAATCTAATATCAGCTCTATCCCTTGATAGAAGACAGATGTCGCATTGCTATCATTCCACATCACATCCAATTGTGTTTTTACATTGCATTGCATTTGAGTGCCGAGTCAATGCCATCCCTCCATGGTCATCAATCGATCAACGCCCGCGTAATACCCACAAAGAAGTAAAAAAAAGGAATTGCCCAACATGTGATGTGGATTCATCACCCTACTTCACGCCAAAGTAGAATCGCTTCTCCACTTCATACTCCGTAAAGCCGGAGATATGCTGTGAATAGCAGTCGAATCATGTCCAGCTATGGCTCACACTTGGATTCGCTCGCCTGACGGATCTCCCGAGTCACCGTGATGATACCTTCGTGAGGCGGCAGGTACTCGTCTCCCGCACTCTGCCTGCTACAGTGGCAGCAATGGCGATGAGCAGAAGCAAGTGGATTATCTTTCTCGATGCCCACAGATGTAGACACAAACGCCTCCGTGGAGACAGAATTGAGTCGGATGATGCCGCTGCGTCTTGTCCAGCTAAATACTGGCTTCAGGAGGCTGCCAACCTTCGATATAAGACTGCCATACCGGCTCCCCGGCACTCGCGCTGCGGGAACACGGGGTTTGGCCAGCGACGGGAAGAAACGACCCAGTCCCAGCTTGAGGAGCAACGACCGGTAGATGGCAGTCGCGTCGTGTCCGAATCCGAAGAACAGAAACAGGCTGATGCTTCCTCCGATGGGGATCCAACGGTCAAAGCTGACGACGCCGCCGGTGGGAACTTTGACGATCGTATTCCATCCGGCACCGTGCACTCGACTCCACGAGTAAGGATGCATGGGGAGCGAGGTTACAAGATTCACGTAGAAGACGTATATCTGCAACGGCAGTATGATGAGGATCATGATGAAGGACAGGATGAAGAGCCGCAGGAATTTCTGCCCGGATACATTGCTACCGGCAGAGCTGAGAATCGCAGCAAACTGGGTTCTGTACTTGATGAGGCGGATTAATACGAGCACTGGGGGTTTTGTCAGTCACAAGCCTGCATCAAGGAGTTCTTCAGAGCGTACCGCCATAACCGCCCGCGAGAAGGCATATCACCGGGGGCCACCCATAGTCGAGCACCATACTTGGCCAGCTCTCGTCAAACGTACTCGTACAGCCGCTAATCGTGTAGATATTGTACCGATTTGGCTGGACGACAAAATGCGCGATCATGGACAGAGCAGGCACTCCGAGACAGAAGATCACCTCGACGGCCAGTTTCCGCAGGCGCTGGGCGCGACTAGGGACCAGAATCCCCCTGTCACTGTCCATCACCTCGGCAAGACTGCGGAAGATACACAGCAGAGCACCAGGAAGCCCTACGTAGCTGGCCACCCACAGCTTGACCTCGACGTCGCAGAGACCAGCTCCGCTCCACCACGAGTCCACATTGTCGGTGGGCCAAATTAAGGCATTCACCACGTTGATGATGTTGCACAACAGGAACCAGCCGATCAGACACGAGGCCGGAAAGTTGCGGTTTGCCGAATGCCAGACCAGTGGCGGAATGCTGAGGAATATTGCCAGCAAGGAGAGAGTCGGGATGGCAATGGCTTGAGCAGAGGGATAGTAAATGGCCGATTCCATGACGAGGTATCCGTATGCAAAGTATTGTAGAAGCTCGATAAATTCGTAATAGATACTTCGAGATAGGTCTTAAACAGCTTTTGAAGAAGATGGGTTCAATCAATGAACGCCTGACAAGAAAGAAAATCAAACGAGCAGCTGAGGATTATCAGAATAGATGTCTAAATGCAGAGAAGATCATCAACTAAAAATAGGATGCAATGCTCAGCACATGGGACAACAGAAGAGGTGTTCGAGACGACAATCGTCCGCATGGCGAGCAATGGATGAATTTATAGCGAAATGATGAACATTGGCTGTGGACCGACACAGTGACGCCATGTTTATTGGCAGAACAGTATAAATAAGACTGGCTGTGAAGAGTTATTGACTCTGTCGATGGGAGTTGAGTGAAGAGTCACCGTATAGCGGCCATTCCCCTTTTGGGTATCAATAGCACGGAGTCGACTGAATAGCTGAATAACGCACGTTGCCGCCAGGACTTTTCTCATTTTGCAAGAAGTAATATTCTTTTGTTTGTTTCCTCGCTGTGCTTGTTGCTTGCAGACATACAGTCGACTTGCCATAGCCTAAGTGATGACATCGCAGAGCACAGGATCAACCGTCCACGCCAGAATTCATGGCAGAATGCCATTATCCCCGCAGTCCAGATTTGGCACATCTCCTTCCTATCTGGGTGGCAGCAGGCTCAGGCTCTTCGACTCCTCGTTCAAGTTTGAGGGTTCAACGAGTAGGACGAGATCGATATCCGGCTGATCATCACTAGATGCCACAGGCATACTCCACAGGCAGTCCTACTCTTTTGTCGCATGAGTCGAGGGATCCTCGAGTGAGGAACCCAGCTGTCTGCAGGTATCCGGCCAGTGCAATTCCATGAAGGGCAGGCATTTATCCAGGGTGCTAATGACTAGGCTGCTTTTCAGAAATGCCATGATCTCGTTTGCAGCCTTGCAGGCGATCAATTGGGTTTCGAGTGTGGAGAAGGCGGCGCCAGCGGATCCGGGGAAGATCTCCGCCATCACGTCACCTTTCCTTGTCCAAATCACCAGCTGCAGCGTCGGTCCCCTGTTACTACTTACAGGACGCGGCAACGATGTGTTTGTGCACGGTTGGTACTATGGACCCCTGTTGTTCCTGCTGCCACTACCAAGTCCTGCTGATGCGTTCCCTGGTCGATTAAAGGCGCAAACAGCCTAACGCCATGGCTGAACACCCGCAGCCCTCGTCCTCCCACCACGCCTCTTTGCATACCGGTGCCCATGTGAGCTCTTCCAACGCAGCCTCCCTCCGACAACGGCCTGTTGGGAGGGCAGCGACTTTCGCCGAACCGACAGCGACTCCTCCGAGCTTTCAACGCAACTCCACCTTCTCCGATACCGTCTCCGAGGCCAGACAGTCGATCCGGTCCTCAACCGACGACCTGCTGTTTCCACGTGCAAACAAAGACACGGGTATGGCGTTGCACAATGAGGAGTCCCACTGGCACTCTGCGCCTCTCGCCCTGGCTTTGCTGCCCGCTGTGGGCGGGCTTTTCTTAAAGAATGGAAGTGCGATCATAACAGACGTGACTTTGCTGATCTTGGCGGCCATCTTCCTGAACTGGTCGGTGAGACTGCCATGGTAAGCAGAATACAATGAGAATACAATGCCATTTATAGTCCTGTTCTCTAAGCATTTTAGGGACTGGTATCGATCCGCTCAAGAAGTCCGCCGGCAGGATACCAAAGAATTCACGGGCGATGACATCATCGAGGAGGACGAGGAAGAAAACGACGATGCAGCTGGAGAACGATCATCGCCAAAACCTCGAGATGGACGATCTAAAACGCATTCAGAGCAGGACTCTGCGGCTCGCGCGGCTACTCGTGAGCTCCGTGTTCATGAGATTGTCGCGCTAATCTCGTGCTTCGTCTTCCCGATCATTGGAACATGGCTGCTGCATGCCATCAGAGGATCTCTGTCCCGGCCTTCGGAAGGCCTCATATCTAATTACAATTTGACCATATTTCTTCTGGCCTCGGAGATTCGCCCGTTCGCTCATCTCCTGAGGATGGTGCAAGCGCGGACCCTGTATCTACAGAGGGTTGTCGCTGCATCGCAGTCTGAGGATGATAGCGTTGACAGGAACAAGATCTTGGATCTCACCAAACGTCTTGAGGAATTGGAGGCTCATGTGGCTGACACAGTGGCCGCGAGGCTCTCTCCTGATGCGGCCAATGCCACTCAGAAAGGGCAGGAAAGCCCTCAGGATGTTGTCGCGCAAGTGACGTCGGACGTGCGCAAGGCACTCCAGCCTGAGCTTGACGCTCTGAATCGTGCCATGAGGCGTTATGAGAAGCGGACCACTGTCATGGCTTTCCAGATGGACACTCGCCTGCAGGAGCTGGAAACGCAAGTCCGGGACGCCATGGCGCTGGCTGCTGCGGCCCAGCGATCTGCGACAGATCGTCGGAGCTTCGCCTTCATCTTGCTGGACTGGGTTTGCGCGATTCTCGTCCTGCCAGCACAGACGCTGTTCTCCTTGGCCAGCTTACCGGCGCGGATTGCGACGTTGTGTCTCCTGAATCTGAAAATGTTGCTAGGGATGAAGCAGCGACGCAGCAAGGCTAGTAAGGGGAAACAGCCAAGTCGTTCTTCAGTATCTCGACCGCCATCACGGACACAAGCAGCGCCAACCTGGAGCGGAAAAAGCACGAAGAGCCCATAGAACGACAGATTGTTATATCTGATGATTTAGCTTTGTTTGGATCTGACACGATATTCGATGAGTGGAATTTCTTTCCATGTTTGATACATTATCTATTTTGGTATATTCCCTATATAATTCACAATACCCAAAGCAGACACTGGAAGCCGTTTGACCTGTCGATCTGATTTTGCACCTGTCACAGATGAATAGCATTGACGAGATATACAAGACAAAAGGTTCCTCGATTCCTCATCGAGTTCAGAAATGGTAGATATGTTGGCTAATATCTAACCTGGTGTATTATTTATTCCCAGCGCTGCTAATGCACGTAACCTATAAAGAGAATCATACGCAGAACAAACACCTTTTCCCAACCAGGCTGCCAATAAGATTGAACCTGAAACTTCCCATGGCCCATGAAGTTGGGACAGTCAAACTTGTGCCATTACGGGGCTGTCATAGGTAGGTAGGTAGGTACAGTACATATTGGAGATATCCAATTTAGGAAACTCTCAGACTGCACCCACCAACTGAGGCACGGTGCCGGAGTGTGAAATACCCGTATACTGGTTGATATACAGGGACAAGCAACGACAGATTGATCCATGTGGCGCATGGATATAAGCGGATGCAACGTGATAAAGAGATGCTGACAGGTAGTAAGAATAAATCGAAGAGATTCTAGATACTCCCATCATCCTATTGAATCGACGACACTAGGCCGTATATAATTCTTAAGCTTCCTCTAACTACCGGAGAACGTCCCTTTTTTTTTAATGTCAAATTGACACTTTGTTGTAAATGGAGCAGTCGTCAGGGATATAAGTGAGAGAATTTTAGAATATACATACTTAGGTATTACTTCACATTAGGTACAGTACATCAATTCTCACAATGTCTGTGTAAATAAATAAGAGCAATTAGATTTTGGGGTTCAGAGCAGGATCTGCAGGGGTATTCTTATTCGGGTCCCAATTCTTTGTCTGCACTATTAATCCGTATGGACTTGTACAAGTGCAACTGCTACAAAGTGACAGATATCATCAACTACTATTATTACATCTGTCCAGCATTTCGATTGGTAGCTGGCTATCTTTGTGCTCTCTTAGCCCTATTTCACCGCAGCAGTAGCAGCAGTAGCAGCAGCTTTGTCGTGCTGTGTATCGTAACCATACCGAAGATAGTTGTGGTGGTGATCGATGGCTTTGTCTTGTTTTCCTTTTGCTGTCGCACAAACGGTACGTATCTTACATACGATAATAGCCTGACAGATGGGAAATCCCTCATAAATAAACCCTGGCACAAAAAAGAAGCAGGAAGCACGCAAGATAATCAATGCGTGGCATCATCATCATCAGCAGCAGCAGCATGGAGGACGCTGATAGTCGGAAAGAAGAGACGAAGGCGTCAGAATCGCGAATCCCAGCGTCGATACAGTAGGCTTCACCATAGGCAGGGAGCATGACTGGCTGACTGGCTGACTGACGACTGACTTGACCAGGGGACCGACACAAGACGAAACGACAAAATCGACAGCCACCACTAGCGGAGGATATTCTGGCACCGTCGTCATCGACAGGACCAACGTTGTTCGAGATGATGACACCGCAAACCTCGCCCATCATGATGCCATTTCCATCCACAGACGATGGCGACATGGCGACTTCTTCTTCTTCTTCTTCTTCTTCTTCTTCTTTTTCTTCTTCTTCTTCCGTCCCGTGGGACGACTGTGGTGGTGGCTTCCCTTCTTCTTCGCTGGTTGCGTCTCCTGCTTTCGGACCCGAATTGCCTGCAGGTTCGTTGTCGGCGATAAAGGCAAGCGACTACCCAGGAGATCCACGATGGGATTATCCCGTATCCGTATCGGGGGGTGGGAGTTGGCCTTTGTCTCCAAGCATGTCACAGCGAAACGACTGCCCATCATCATCGACGACAGGGACTGAAAGAGTGCGTCCATGGTTCCTGATATCATAACTGACTGACTGACTGACTGACTGCATGATATCAGGTTTCTAGACAGCCCAAATCGCAGCTTTTTACTCCCTTCGGGCACATGCGTCTACAGAAACGCGCCGGCATCAAGGAGCGAGTAGACATGATGGTCGTCGAGCTCCAGGAGGTGTACCGAGTGGGCGTAGTCCTGGGGATTTTTGAGGAGGACTCGACGCTGCAGAACCACATGGTGATGGTAAGAAAGCGGTTTCGCGCCGTCGCCAGGGGGGAAGCGCAGAAGGGGAAAGGGTATATGAGTAGTGGTGATGCTGAGGATGAGGAGGATGAGGATGATAGCTACAGCGGTGTGGAATGAGAGGCCGTGCTTTTTTTTTTCTATCAATATATCTATGGATACTAAAGGAGGTATTTCTTAAATCGGTATTTTTTTACTTAACAGACAAAGGTTTAGACCAGCAAACCACCTCATCAGTTTCAATGCAATACTCGCTAGGTCAAACAGAAGTGATTAAGAAAACGTGACACCTCAATTTAAACCGGGATTGTTGGTTGCACTACGGACGTGTTGGACGTGTTTCACAGGATGCAGTCAGTCTGACTCGAGACACCCACAAACCGACCTTTTGGTTCAGAGTGAGCACTATCAAACGACCGATTGATTGATTGATTGATTGATTCGTGCCTCGAGTATGTACTCCGTATTTTGTGCCATTGTTGATATCTCCTATTAATTCAAGAAGGATAAAGAAAGAACGTGTCAATGTCCGTCTGCAGTGTACAGTAGCGGCTGTACGGAGTAGTACATGTACTGTACTTCCAGTCCAGACTTCCTAGGAGAAGGATTTTTCGTGGCTCATACTCCGTAATCTATCCGCCTACATATTTCGGTTGTATCATTGATAGCCATGATCGTTCAATCAAGTTGGACTCTCTCCGGCTTTTCTCTCGCAGGATATGATTTCCATGAGATCTTTAATCTACCCCACTTAGGTACAGTACATACGTACTCTACTCTAGTATCTCCAGAGCAGGTTAGCTGTGTGACACATGTAATAACATAATCTGTCCTGTCCTGTCCTAAGACCTGAGTTGTAACAGTGGTGGTCCTCGACAAAGTTGTGCCGAACGGCTAAGCAATCAGCGTTTGTAAAACACTATTACACTGAATTTCAAACTGGCTCACTTCCATCTAGATTCTCAGCGTAGCTTTTGTGGTTCTGTAACTGTGTCGCTGGTCATCCAGTCACTCTCATCGTTGTCTATCGAAGCTAAATTAATAAAGAACTCAGGGTTAAGATAAGAAAGGGGTGGTAAACCGGGGAGATTCATCGGTACGGAGTACTAGACAAGGTTAGCGTCGATCGTAGGATTTAACTAACACCTTCGAGTATGTATCTATTTATACTCCGTATATCGATTGATCAATGCTGAACATGTCCTTTTGCCCAATTGAGATGGATATTTCTCTTCTTCTTCCCTAGTATTTGAATTTTGGAATTGTGACTGCTAAGATTTTCTTTCCTCTGTTGGGAGTGTACAGGACAGTACAGATTTGTCGGTCTGTCAGTCTGCCATCTTGCTATAGTCTGATTGATAGAAGATCCATTCCATGTCACTTTTTTAAAGGGTTTTCTGCTTCTTAGTATATAGATGGATTGTTCTGTACCCATTTGAGAGTTTTTTTTTCCTCAAGATGGCTGCTGTCACGGGACCGAGAATTACTCCCAACTCCTTCTTCGCCACGACTGCTCCTCCTGCTGGTCAACCACGCAAGGCGGAGTCTTCTCCGGTCACCATCTACTTTATCTCTGGGAATCCGGGCTTGATTGGTTACTATCATACCTTCCTGTCCTTGCTGTCGTCGTACCTTTCATCGTCATCATCATCGTCGCCTTCGGCGGCGCAGGACAAGAACAGCGTGTCCGATAGTTTCCACATTTATGGCTCTAGCCTTGGCGGTTTCGAAGTGGGAGCTGAATCTTCGAATGAGAAGAAGAAGAAGGAGCAGCCGGAGCTGTATGGTCTGGAGCAGCAGATCCACCTCGCTGAAAGCAGGTTGGAAGCCTTTGTGAGCGCCAACTGTCCCCAGCCGGCTTCGACGACTGTGACGACAGGCAATGTGCAAAATCGCCCGCGAGTCATTCTGATGGGCCACTCGGTTGGTGCGTACATTGCAATGGAGATTCTGCGACGACATCGCGAGGAGTTTTCCCATGCCCCGTTTGATATCGTCGGTGGGATTATGCTGTTCCCAACGGTGGTGGATATTGCTTTGTCGCCTGAAGGGAAGAGATTAACGGTAGGTTGTGATCTACTATCTACTCATTTACTTTGATTGTCATTGCAAATAATCCCACTACAAAATATACTGTTGAAGGTGTGGTCTATGAAAGCTAACTGCCAATGCTATTGCTAGCGACTGCTATATTTCATCCCTCAATTGGCGCTCGTCGCCAGCCTCCTAGCCAAGTTTCTGACGTTTCTTTTCCCCGATGTGGTGCTCCGCTCGCTGATCAGGCTGGTGATGGGATATCCTCCTGATGACGCCGTCGAGACCACTTTGGCATTCCTAAAGAGCAAGCGTGGCGTGAGACAGGCACTGTATATCTCTCCCCTCTCCCTTCTTCCCTTTCTCTTCCTCTCCTCAACTGGTCCTGCTACATTTTAGTAAAGACAAACAAGCTAACTGCTCTCCTAGGCACATGGCGGCAGATGAAATGCACGACATCACAGCCGACAAATGGAGTGACGACATCTGGGGCACTCGATCCTCGCCTTCCAGCGACGGCAGCAACAGTCGAAAGCTATCCAAACTGGTCTTCTACTTTGGCCGCAACGATCACTGGGTCGCGGAACGGACCAGGGACGAGATCATCGCCATGAGGGGCAGCACCAGCAGCGAGAGTAGAGGCCCCAAAATGGTAGTATGTGAAGAAGGCCTGCCGCATGCGTTTTGCATTCGTACGTGTACCCCGTACATATTCCTTCTTTCCGACTGAATAGCTGACTTGGCTGGCAGGACACAGCGACATCATGGCGCGAAAGGTCGCGGGGTTTATCAGGGAGATTTTGGCTGAATCATGACTTCAATCTCTTTCCATTGAGATGATAGATATAGAGACTAGATAGAGATTCCCTTTGTTGCTGAATAACGGGTATCATATGCATTGTAACCTAACTCCTTTTCTGCCTTACACCGCCAGCCCAAAGACAAAAAAAACCACAGAAACAGGAAACAGTTTCCTCTCATCAATGTATGCCTACCCACTCTGATACGCCAGTCCGGCCCTCCGAAACAGCTCCCCCAGAACGTCTCCGCCGGCTTGGGTCTGCGTGGCTGGTGCCGGGCCTGGCGCTGGCACTTGCGTCTGTCCCCAGAATGGTTGCTGCTGCTGCTGCTGCTCTGGTTCTGCCGGACCGCGACTGTGCACCTTCACACTCCACTCGTCATCCTGGGCGCGCTGCTGCCCAAAGAGCTCCTTCAACGACATCTGCCGGCCCATGGGCACGCTGGAGTACATCTCCTGGGGGTGACCATTCTGGCGTTCGGCCTCGGCCCGTTCGCGCGCCAGTTTGAGGCTTTCGCCCGCATGGACGGCGCACTCCTTGATGACCTGGGCGTTGAGCGTGCGCGTCTCGGCGGTCGAGTTGGGCGGCGGCTCCGAGTAGATCCAGAGGCCGTAGATCTGCGACGACGGGGCCTCGCCGCCGACGGCGTTGTGGTCGTCGTCGTCGTCCGTCTTCAGGATGACGAATTCGTCCGTGATCTCGACGTTCTCGCCGCCCGTCAGCCGGATGTCGAAGTTGTTGAGCCCCCGCCGGTTGAGCACAAAGACCCCGTAGCGCTCCTCCCCCAGGGATCCCTGCGTCAGCTGGCACACAAACATACCGCCTTCGACGCCGCTCTTCTCCCACTGCCGCGTCTCCGGGCTGAAGACGTAGACGACCGCGTACGGCGCCAGGGACAGGATCGAGGTGATGGCGGGGTTGTGCCGGCGCAGCACGGAGAGGTTGAGCTCCTCGTTGGAGCGCGTCGGCGGCGGAGGCAGCGTCTCTGCCGCAGCCTGCTGCTGCTGCTGCTGGGTATCGGAGAAGTAGTAAGGCGTGTCCGACTCATAGTCAGAAGGCTGCGGGGGCTGATGGTGGTTGTTGTGGCTGTGGTTGTGGTTGTGGTTGTTCGGGCGGCGATCGCGCCCTTTGCGAGGGGTCATTGCGAAGACAGGACTGACAGTGATCTGAGACTGCAATCAAGTGCTTCGAGGCTGCTGATTTGCTGAGTGTCTTTAGATGAACGAGAACACTGAAAGGCGAGAGATGTGAAGCAGGAGCTGGGCGGAATGCGGCGGCGGATCGACACGCATCCACGCCGGCGGTCTGGAACTGATCTAGATGTTCTGCAGGCCGGAGATGTCGTCTTCCTGCTCATCATCTTCTCTCTCCTTTCTCTCTCCTCCACTCTTGCACCCTCCCAGCCTGCGCGAGTCCGACGACGCCGGCGAACCCGTCTTCAACTGCTGCGCCCACGCTTGAGCCCTGCCAGCCGCTTGTTCACGTCCGGCGGAACGCGTCTAACGGCCCCTCGCTGCAGCACCCCGCGATGGCTTCGGGCTGTTGGCCTGCTGCTGTGTTTGTTGCCCGACTGCGCGCGCCTCCTTGCACCGCTGCCGACTCGGATCTGCAACCGGTGGACTGCGGAGATCGCGCGTGAGCGAGCCGGAGATCGACGCAGCCGCTCCCAGAGAGAGACTACCTCCGCCAGCGAGCTATGTGGACTGCGGTCCTGATCCAACTGCCAGCTTCCAAAGATGTCGCCGTCCAGAGACGAGCCCTTGCCCGCCTCGTCGGACGATCGAGAGACGCACTCTGACGGACAGCCTCCTGACGACCCGCTGCCGCCCGTGTCCGCCGATCTGTCGTCCCTCGCGCGCGCTGTCAAGGCCCGCCGGGCAGAGTACATTCGTCCACGAAAAATCCGCATCAAGGTTGGCACATGGAATGTCGCTGCCATCCCCGGCACGGAAAAGGATATCGGGCACTGGTTTGTGGGAGGAAAGGGGTTGTCTCGACAGACGTCGAGTCTAGACTCTCAGAAGGACCATCAAGGAGAAGAAGAACAGCGTCAAGACAGCAAGAAGGAGGAGGAGTCCGGACAGGAAAACCCTGAAGGGCTCGATCCAGAGGATGTAGGGATCTACGTGCTGGGGTTGCAGGAAATCGTCGACCTCTCCTCGCCCTCCGAGGCCTTTTTCAAACCCTACGCCAATCCAGAGCCTTCCAATCGTTGGAAAGAGGCCGTTCAGGAGGCTCTCCCTCCGGGCTATCAGCTGGTTGCCGAATCCCAGCTGGTAGGCCTGCTGCTGCTGGTGTATGCAGCCCCTAATGTCGCTCCCACCATCTCGTCCGTCAGCTCGACCAGCGTGGGTACTGGGTTGTGGGGGTACCTGGGGAATAAGGGTGCTGTCGTGACTCGCATCGTCCTGGGCGAGACCACCCGCCTGGTCTTTGTCAACTGCCATCTGGCGGCGGGCGCAGACAAGGGCAGCCTGGAGCGACGCAACTGGGATGCCGCTCAGATTGTCGAGCGCGCCCGGTTTGGCCCCATCGACGCGGACGATGAGATCTACGGCGAGCCCAGCGACACCATCGGCAAGGAGGATTTTGCCTTTTGGTTTGGAGACCTCAACTACCGTCTCGATGGCATCCCCGGCGAGGACGTCCGTCGTCTGCTCATGCTGCATACCCAGAACGAGTACGATCTATCTCACAAGTCCACCATAACGACCAGGAGTGATATTGATGCTTGGGATAGTTCTGATCTGTCCTCCACGGAGGGGGCGCAGGATAGAAGAAAGTCTACGTCTACTATACCGGGGCCCATAACGTTGATCGACAACGTGGACCCCCAATCCGACCCAACATCACTACAGACTACGCTGTCATCGCTGCTGCCGCACGACCAGCTGCGCATCCAGCAGCGGGAGAAAAAGGCCTTCCACGACGGCTGGAGGGAAGGAGAAATACGGTTTTTGCCCACGTACAAGTACGACGTGGGGAGTGTTGCCATGTTTGATTCCAGTGAAAAGCAGAGAGGGCCCAGCTGGTGTGATCGGATCCTGTATCGCTCCAAGCAGGACCTGCTGAACTACGAACGACAGGCCAGAGAAGCCGAGGAGGCCCGCAAGAGGGACGAAGAGATGAAGGCCCGTGGCCTGGACAAGGCCGCGGAAGACGATAGCGTGCTATTTGAGTATGACCCGGAGGTCGACGGCGCGGACGATGCGGACGATCATCATGAAGACGATACCGCCTCACGAGGCTCCGCGCCGTCGGAGGAGCGAGCAGATTTCGACGATCCGATCAAACTGACTCATTACACATCACACCAAGGCATCTTGTCCTCGGACCATAAACCGCTGGACGCCATCTTTACGCTGACCTACAACGCCGTCATCCCCGAACTCAAGGCCAAGGTGCACCAGGAAGTGGTTCGGGAATTGGACAAAGCCGAGAACGAGGCTCGACCGGGTCTGACGGTGGTGGTCGACCATCATGACGATGACGAGGGCAAATCCGACGCGGCCCGCGATCCCAACGCAATATATTTTGGAGGCATTCCTTTTGACGTTCCGATCAGTCGAAATCTGACGATTGCGAACACCGGCGGGGTTCCCGCGACTTTCTACTTTTCTTCAAAACCCAAAGGAGATCAACCGGAGGGGGCCACCCCTCCCTGGCTGGATATCCGGGTGGATTGGCCGGCTAACGAGAAGGGGCCGGAGGAGAAGAAGCGCGGTGGTCCGGATGAGTATACTCTGGCGCCGGGCGACTCGGTCGCGGTCGAGGTCACCGCGTGCGTCAAGGATATCGAGCATGTTCGCCTGCTCAACGCTGGCAAGGCTAAGATTGAAGACATATTGGTGCTGAGTGTCACGAGCGGCCGGGACCACTTCATTCCGGTGTATGGGAAGTGGCTCGCGTCCTGCTTTGGCCGTTCGCTGGAGGAGCTCACCCGGATTCCCGAGAGTGGTGTTCGCAGCATTGGGTTGATGTCGTCTGAAGAGACACTGCGAATGGAAGAGAACGTGCGCCTATCCGCACCGCGAGAGCTCTTCCGGCTGACGGAGGCGATCTCGGATATGGCCGAACGAGCAGTGGCCGAGTGGAGCATGACGAAGGGAGGAGAGTCGGACGGCGAAACGCCGCCATGGGCATCCGAGCCTCACGGACTGGGCTGGCCATTCAGCCCGGAGACATGGACGCTTCGGGACGCAGCCTCGCGCACACCGCTGCTGTATAGCGTCCGGGAGGCGCTCGACACGGGTCGCGCACTGAACACGATCTTCGCGCCTGAGGTGCCGTCGCTGCACCGGCTAGAGATTCTGTCGGAGACGCTGGTCTCGTTCCTGCGGTCCCTGGAGGACGGGATCATTCGGGCTGCGGTGTGGCGGGACATGGAGCAGCAGCTGATCGCGCAAGAAAAGGCCAAGAGCCTCTGGCGGTCTCCGGAGGACATGCAGGCGTGGGTGCTGGACACTCTGGCCTCGTCGCCCGTGCACAGCGTCTCGTTCACCTTCCTGACGTTCATGCTGAACCAGATCATCAACGAGGTCGCTCCGTCGTCGCGTCCTCCAGCGCGGCCTTCTCCGCCAGCGAGGTCCCCGACGACGCCAGCAACACCGTCAGAGTCGAGGTCCTCCACGGACACTCCCTCAGGCATGTCCTCGCCAGCGCGTCTCTACCGGTCACGAACATGGGGGTCATCAAGCGGGTCGACAGAGACAGTAACCGATCCGACAGAGCTGCGCCGCCAAGCTGTAGAGACGACGCTAGCGACGATATTCTCCGACGTGATGATATCGACGGCTGTGCCGGCGCCGACGAAGGACAAGGAGAGACGGGCGTGGGAGGAGAGGAAGCGGATGGTGGTGCAGGCGTTTCTGCAGCCCAGCAGCAGGCGGGAGGAGCAGCACTGACAGGTATATATTTAAGTTGGGCATGTTGTGCCAGCAATTTAATTATAATACACGTTCTCGTCAACGTCCTCGTCAGAGCGGGTTGTCTTGGATGTTATATCTGTATGTCTGTATACTGTATAGTTAGAGGAAGAAGAGAAAGAAAGAAGAAAGAAGAAAGAATGTTGATTACATTGCAATTGAATTAGTCTGATCAAAAAAAATCAGTTTTCTTTGTTAATCCTTTTTTGAACCAACACGGTGGAAGTAAGTAATTATGCCGGCTACAATGTACTTCCGTAAGTATTATTAGTGTCTACTTTTTTTCTTCTTATTCTCTTCTCTTCTCTTCTTTTCTTTTTCTTTTTTTTTCCTTTTTCAATTACACAATCCTAATCTAGGCACTGCACTGAGCCAGATTCCAACTCGCATAGAATCCAGGGAGAAAATACACCTCTCTCTCTCTACATGAGGAACATGATATATATCAATGCTGTAAAGCTAGGATCTTGAAGAGAAGACAATATCATATATACTCACTTGTTCAAGAATATATATAGCATAATATATATACGCTCTGCAGAAGAATATCCCTACCCCTGCCCTACCTAACTTAGTAATTATGGTATATACCTCCGTAGGTGCTGTATGACCTAGCTAAGCTAATATAATAATTGATATTCAACGAAGATATCACATATTGATTGCATTCTCAGTGTTGTGTTGGGTACAAACCGCTACCAGATGTGCACACTATGAACCATAAACAAAACAATACCATCACTGACGCGATTCATCCATGTTTTTATTCCCTAACTTGCACCCTAACCCGAAAATCCTTCAACTTCACAAACCATACATTCTCCGTCTGCAGCGCATAATCATCATCCTCGTCGTCGACGTCATCAGCAAGATCAAAATCAAAAGTCCGCACAAGCTGCGGAATCAGAGTAGAAATCTCCATCAAGCTGATGTTTTTGCCGATGCAGGTGCGGGAGCCATGGCCGAACTGGCCGTAAATAACATCGTCAGCAAAAAAAAAAAGGCTTGATTGATTGGTTGGTTGGTTGATGCTTACAGGCAAGAAATATCTCTCCATCTTCCGCGCTTTAACCTCTTCATCTTCATCATCTTCTACTTCTAGCCATCGTTCCGGACGGAAAGTATCAGCGTCGGAGCCGAAGATGTCTTTGTTTCGATGGGCGACCCAGGTGTTTATACCGACGATAGTCTTGAAAACTAAACTCAGTATAATCAATACTAATATATATATTCTGGATGATGTCTTACTCACCCCCTCTGGAAAGAATCTTCCCGCTATCGTCTCTCCCCCCTTTGGAACTACTCTGCCCAGCGGTAGCCCTGTGGCAGGGTGCATGCGCAAACCTTCCTTGATGACAGCCTGCAGGTAGGGCATCTGCTGCGATTGCTGGAATGTGACCGGGTTCGAAAGCTGGCCTGTTGATTCTTTGTGGGCGATTTCATCGCGGAGCTTGTATGAGGAAAATCAGCTGCGTTGAACCCATACTATATAGAGTTCGAGTTCAGGGGAATACCTTCTCCAAACACCGCGGCGTCTTGATCAGATACCACAAAATAGCGCTTAGACTGATGCTCGTCGTGTCGCTCCCCGCGCCAATGTTCATTATGCAAGTCGTCAGCACGTGGCCTTCGGTGAATCGCGCTGGATCTTCGTCGTGCATGGCCAGGACTTTCGACAGGAAGTTGTCATCAGCAGCGTCATCATCCTGCAGGTTTTTCTTCTGCATCAACTCCCTCCTCTCAACAATCTGCCTTCTCGCAAACTCAGTGATATACGCCGTCCCGCTCGCGCCGAACCGCGCCAGCAGTCGATACAGCCAAGGATGCAGCTCCCAATACACGCCCACGGCAGCGCAATACCGGAGGTAGGCATGCAGCGCGGCGAAAATCCCGTAGGAATCCTCCCCCTTATCCAAAAACCCAAACCGTCGCGCGACGGTGATCAGCCCGATGACGTCGAACGCGTAGCATTGTAGCCAGTGCTGTAAATCGACCACCTCCCCCTTCTGAAGGTTGCTGCCGCTACGGGCAAACTCCTCGAACCTCGCCGTCAGCAGCGCAGTGCACTCGCGCACACAAGGTTCCATTTTCAGTAGGTTGGTCACGGAGTACAGCTGGGCGACTTGGCGGCGGTTGAGGGCGTGGCGGGTTGGCGAGAGCTCGGAGAAGAGGTCTGATGCGTGGGGGGGTGAGGAGGGGTTTCCTGAGGCAATGTACCAGGGGGACTGAGCAGTAGTCAGTACAGCACATGCCTACATGTGTAACACGTTCAAGGGATTTGATTTTGCTTTACCTTGGTGAACTTGCTCCCCTGCCCGTAGATAATCTTCACAGCATCCACATCGTCTATCGAGTACTCGTTCGGAGCGATGCGGACGATGGGGCCTGAAGTCACATATCAACTTGCGTCCTCTCCAGTCTAGTACTAAGTAAGTGTCCACTCACCATACCGTCGGTGCAGCTCAATATCTACCTTCTCCCAGTCGCCCCGGAGGACCTGTCTCAGGTACCAGAGGCGGGAGAACCGAGCGAGGAACGGTCCTGGGACGTTGCGAAGGGGACTGAGTACCGCTCGGAGGACGCTGCGGAGGAGGAGGAAGGCGAAGAGAAGGGTTGTAATAGTAGTAATGGAAGAGAAGAAAATGGTCATCGTTGGTGGTATCCCTTTAATAATAAGCCCTGTTTCTGTAGAACGTACCGTACGTACTATGCCGGTGGCTGACAATAGGAAAATGGAAACTAACCACAATCCTGCTTCATGAACGTAAAGAAATAAAGAAAGAAATAATATACAGGGAGGTCAAGTCAAGTCGAGTCGAGAAGATACAGTCCAGTTTCTTCCCCACATGGATGTAGCCATCATGCATGCATGTACCCATGTATGTAGCCAAATAGCCATTTATGTACTGTATATACTCCTACATACTCCACAAAGCTGCAGGGATTATGTCACGTATCATATGAGTATTCCATGTATAGGTATATATATATATATGTGTGTGTGTGTGTGTGTGTTGTGACACTGCCATTCCTGATTCAGCATACACAAAGGGAATTCTATTGCATGTGATGTACATTGCCTATAAACTTAAATGCCAGAGGCATACAAGTACAAGATACATATCGTCTCGCAACACAACATGTGGGGGTTGTGTCAGTTCAGTTCAGTTCTATACTGCACTGCCTGCACTGATTAATGCAGGTTGCCTTACCAATGAGCAGAGTAACTAATGTAGATAATATATCTGATATGTATATCTAAGATTGACAAAAGGCGCATGCAGACTAGAAGTAAAAAAAAAAAGAAAAAGGAAAGGAAATTCCCTTGTCAATAGAGTAAACTAAGTAGATCCTATCTTTCCAGTCCTGCCTGGAGAAGTGGAGAAGCATGAACGCATACTGTGAATATGTATGCTCTTGGACCAGGTCACGCGTAGGAATATCACATACATACAACGTCAGACAGTATCGAAGATTGCACGACACAAGCCTTTTTTTTTCTTTCTATTTTGGTCGTTGGACGTTGGACATGACATGAGGTTTCCACTCTGGAAATACAAGGCGTGCTTCCATATCTTAACACCTGCTTGACAGAACAAACAGATCTGGACTCGAAAGTATCCTCCTGCCGTCTAGGTAGGTAGTTAATATTTGAAGAATTAATCACGATGAATTGTATTAATTCAGCACTGGAATCCCAATCAACTCAATTTCACAGTCAATCGATAAAATAAATAAATTTATGCACACCAGCACCCGCACCAGCACCAGCCAGCCAGCCATCATGACAAGCAACAAACCCTGATAAAAAGAAAAAAACTTCAACTTGGTATTCATTCACAACCAGACTCCCACTCCCACTTCCACTCCCACTCCCGTTTTTCCCTTTTCCCCAGTAAGGATGATTTCTCGATTTGGTCGACCCTCTCAATAACCCTTAGTAAGTAGCCCAGCAAACAGACGAACAGACAGACAGACAAACAGATAAACTAGGTAAGTCCCCCAGCGTAATAAATAAGAGAATAACCTGAAGTGGAGAATATAAAATAAACATGAAAGAAAAGAAAAAATCGTAATAGTAATAGACTTCTCGCCGGGAATCAGATCTTCAGGGTGCTTCCGCTGGCGTAGGGTATACGAAACCACAACCCAATAATAATAACGCATGTTCGAGAATAAACACTGTCCCAAGAATCCACACACAACCCACAACCCACAACCACAAACCACTGTAATCGTGCCGACAGAATGAATGCCAGCCTGGTATCTAGCATGACGACCGTAAAGCACACAAACTCCAACAAGTCTAGATAAGAAAAAGAAGGAAAAAAAAATGACAACAGACAACAACAATTTAACATTCCAGCGTGAAACTGCGGCAGATTACCCGCCGCCATCCCCATTCGTATCGTCACTACTAGTTTCACTTCCAGTCGCGTCTTTAGGGCTGGTTGGTGTAGACCCAGACGCTGACGACTTCATCGAACCCAGATTGATCGCAATCTTCTTGGGAGTAGGCGTAGAAACACTGCTCGTGTCGCCCTCCTCACTCGTCGCTCTCTTGCCCGGCTCAGCCTTCGGGCTCCCCCGAAAGAACTTGGAGCCAGTGGCACTGGCGTTGGAACTCCGTCGTTTCGGTCCCGAGGCCAGTCTCACCAGCTCGTCATCCTCCTCCTCTTCACGGCGACGCTTCTCCGACAATCGCTCCGGCGGTGACGGCAGCGACGTGGTCGAGACAGGAGTCAGCGGCGCTTCCGAGTCCCCGCCGCGCTCCGGCAGGTCCATTGCCTGCTTGGTGACGGCAGACTCGGCGTTCGCGTCCATAATACCGTCGTCGTCATCGGGATAGTCGACAAGCGGTTTAACACCCGTCGACGGAGGCTGGGTCTGTGGCATGGCCAACTCATCCTCACGGCTCTCCTGCTGCCACTGAGTCACGATCAGCGCAAAATCCATACCCTAACGACGAACGGAACCTACCTCCTCCTCATCATCGGACGTGTTGAAATATTCTTCCTCCGCCGCATCCATCTCCCGGACACCCTGCCAACGACCGTTGACGGGGTTCCGCTGCGGTGGGGTGCTTTCGTCCTGGCTGTACAGCGGAGCATCGGCTTCGGCACGATTGCCTTGCAGTTGATCATACCGACGGATGAGATTTTCAAACGTGTCCACATAGGTGATCGCCTTCAGCTTATCCCGGTACTTCTCGACGACGTGGGTGATGATGGCCTTGATGTTCTCCTTCCTGATAAACTCGAACATCTCCAAGCAGGCCGAGTTGAGCAGGTTGTCCCGCGGCATCGTCTCGTAGACGATATCGAGGATCAACCCAAACGTGTTATTATGCGTGAGCTGCGCGATGTAAAAGGTGTCCTGGAGGCTGATCAAAGTCCGGAAGAACTTGAGAGCAGCTGAAATAAATCAGCACGTCGCATTCAATCAGTAACCGAACAGAGTGGGGCCGTGGCTTACTGAGCTTCAAGTGCTTCTGCGGCGCCTTCAGAAGCTGCGCGACGCGAGGAGTAAGAGATTCGGTGTGGATGAAATTCCGACATCGGAAAAGATGCTGCCGAACGAAGAACGTAAGGATATCAACAAGATGAGCGTATAGCGAAACGTCTTGAAACGTGAGATCATTAACTGCAGTCGTCAGCAAGATATCCCATGTTTACCATAGTGTAGCAGAACATACGGGTAGAGCGCCCCTCAAGCTGCTTCAGAGGGGCGAACAGCCGTTTGGCCGATTCGTCAAAGTGGTTCTGTACAAAAGAATCGGGAAGAGGGTTCGACGGGCGCAGTTTCGAGAGGAAGTCCGCTCCCGCCCGGTTCATCGGGTCTTGGATAGGAATTTGAGGGTCGAGGAGAACTTTGATGGCATCGGCAAGCTGGTTTTTGACCCCCAGGTCGGCTTCCGTGTGGAGCAGGTCGATCAGCGTGTCCGTCAGCGGGGTCTTCTTCTCGTTCACTGCCTTCAGCATGTAGCCACGCATCATAATGGGGTCGTGGTCCAAGAGCGCAACCAGGATGTCGACGCCGGTCGTGCGCATGGCCGGCTTGGGGTGTTTCACCGCGAATGCGATCACGGCAAACAGGCCGTGGCTGATGAAGTTGGAAAAGAGGGCGGCGCGGGCAGGCGCCTGCAAGTTCTTTGCGATCGAGGCGCATTGGTGGATAAAGAGAACGGCGTCCTCTTTGCGCCGCTGGTCCGTATTCCGGGGATCGAAGATGGCGAAAAGTTCTTTGAGGAAGGAAGTATTGGATTGAATGTGATTGATGATGTCGACCTGATTGAAAAAGATCAGGGAGTTGAGGACCGAGAAAGTCGGGTCGTCGAGGATGCGGGCCAAAACGACGTCCTTCAGGTACTGGAGGCGCCACGTATGCCGAATCTTCTTCCGAATGATCGGATCTTTCATGGGTACGACTTCCTTGAATCGCGACCGGTCCGAGAGGTATTGTCTGTGATTCGCCTTGTGCGTCGGGAAATCGGGGTCGTCTAGCAGTATCGTCAGCGACAGTCACATAGTCAACCTTCGATCGAAACGTACATTCGAGCGCGCCCACCACACCCAGGATCACATCATCGTCGACCACGTGCTCGATGATGGTATTGTCGTTCAGAAGGATCAGGGACTTCATGATGTTGCACAGGCGATGAAGGTCGGGGAGACTCTCGAGATCTTCGGCCATCTCGACCAGCGGGATCAACTTGTCGATGTACTGCTCCCGCAGGACGAACTTGCACAGCGCGTCGCGACCCGACTGGGTCACGCTGGCCGCTCGCACCGTCTGTTCGATCTCGGCCAGATTTCCGAGTTCGGGCGGGGGAAGCGTAATCGGGTTCGAGTAGGACTCGATGGCCTCGTCTGATAAGGCATCGTCTGTAGGACAGCGGAGTCAGTCCCATCCACGTATACGTATTTTCGATCGCGCCCGAACCAACCTCCTGCCATGGTCAACAGATGATGCTGAACGCTGTTCACAAAGTCCCTTCAAGTAAAAGTCATGTCAGTCGCCGTCGCGAAACTCCGCAGGCCGGGGGAGAGACCAACCAGATGACCGCGCAGCCCTCGGCCTCCTGGAAACTGAGAGCCATGTCGGTTCCATTGGCTTCGGTCCAGACGATCAGCGTTTCTGTTGGACAGCCGTCAGTCAGCAAGATCACGCTGCGCAGGGCTGAAAAGCGGGCGAACGAGGCGCCAGACCTTGTTGTTTCTGATAACCTTCATCCTTGCCGATTTTCGTCTCCAAGAGCACCCGGTCCGGTTGATCCTCCGACTGGACGTATATTCGGGGCTCATCCTAGATTGCGAAAGGCATCAGTGTCAGCTGGGCCGTGCAAAGGACGACGGTAGAGCACGGCGCGACCGCAGAACCGGCCAGCGGTCGGCCGTCGACGCAGTCGCGCGGGCGTCGGGAGAGAAGACACGGCAGAGCTTACGTTGACGATCTGACCGGTGCAGAAGCCCGTCCCTCGATCGAACCAGTCATTATCACGCAGTTCGTAGACCTTGACTCGCTTGCGCACGCTGGGCGGCGGGACGGGCAGCGCCAGCGCCATTGTTCGGATGACCGAAGGCGACCCGTCACTCCGACAGAGAGAGTGAGAAGAGCCGCGACACGGTCAGGCAGGTAGGTAGTCGCAGGAACTCGGGGGGCGGCTCGTTTGCAGCAGACAAGAGGGGTTGCGGAAGAGAGGCAGGTGAGACGTGAGAGATGATTTCAGGCGGTTGGGATCGGGCCAGCTGACGCCCCGGAAGTGGACTGGACGATGGAGGAGTTCGGCGCGAAGGCAGAAATTGACGGCGGCGGTTGGGCTGTCAGCACGCGACCGCAGGAAGCGCTGGCCAACAGCCACGCGGGGAAAGCCGTTCAGCAGAGGCAGCAGATGCTGTGCTGCTGGTCAGCCCGGTGCTGGAAGCGTGCGTGTGAACGTGCTGTGCGATGGACAGAGATGGCCGCTAGGGTGAGGCTGGCATGACGTGCAGCCACGGCCAGCTGAGATGTCGCTTCAGGGCCCAGGGGAACCGGAGCCCGGAAGCTGGAACCCCTGGAGGAGCTCTGGCCCGCAACTCTATCTAATCTAGAATACTGAACCAGTGATTAATTAATTAATTAACTAATTAATTAATACCGATCAGGCATGCCACTTCTGCTATTTACTAGCTATGCTCACGCGACAGCTGTTGCTTTGTGTAACTTGAGGCGCTGGTCAGAGAACAGCGGCAATACGGAGTACTGTCAAGATCTATGCAGTTCATGGTTAATCAGTAGCAGCCTAGTAAAGGATATTTATTTAAGTATATGCTAGAGACTGGAGATCTAAGCTTCTTGTGGGCAGTAATTAATAAGATAGTAGCAGCCAAGCAAGTACTCTACAAAGAAAGCTCTTAATTATCAGTGAGGCTGATGCTGCGCTTAGCTATCATCAATCACAATCACAACCATCACATGCAATCCTGTACAGTAGGTACCTTGTACGACAGTGTTTGCCTTGCCTTGCCTTACATTCTTTGCAAGTTCCCAGCATCTGGGGAATATCATCCTTTGTCTGGATGATGCAAGGGATGATAATGTGAACCCCACTCAGGTGTCATACTCCATATTGCTTGTTGCTTATTGCAATGCACGCAGATCACAGTTTGTCAATGCAGAAAGAACATAAATGGGTTTTTTAAGAGACAAAAGAAAAAAAAAGAAAACAAGGGATAGTATTCCAGGTAACTAGTTACCCAGATAATAAGAATAAGAGCACTTCTTCAAAGACTTCATATAGAGATCACACTCAACTAAGTCAATCCTTCTTATTATTTATTCCCTATTTTTTTTTTTAAAAAAAAAAAGATGAAAAGACCTTCACCCTAAGAAAAAAGAAAGTCGTCATTGAAATGAAATTGTTCTCTCACTCTCATTCCCTCTTATCTATCACAGATCACAGTTTAACAAGTTAGCATTTCACTGAGTGAACAAATAGAGGGATTTTTTTTATAAAAAAAAGAGAAGGGAGAGAAGGGAGATACTGCTACAATGTCTACAGTCTATATCCTTTTTTAACCCTTCTTTCTGATCATTAACACTATCTTCTCTAAGACATGAGTACAGAACTAATTATATCCAACAGCCATCAAAAGTCCTATTAATCAATACTTAATCAAATACTTCACTTCTACCAGCGCGCATACAGTAATAAATAGATAGTAATGTAGTTAGTCTATCTGGAATACTCTTGTCTGAAAAAAAAGGAAAAAAAACAGTACTCTGTACAGAATAGTAATACTACTACTTACAGTACTTACCTACCTACCTATCTACCTACCTAACTAGTAGTAGTTCACGAAGGAAAAAAAAAGAGTAAAAAGCCCAGACGGAGATCTCCGAGCGAGACGGGACATGGCCCAGCCAAGCCTTGGAAGCGGTACAAGCCTTCCTACAATCAATATTAAATATTAATGGCTATCTGTCAGGTCAGCCTGTCATGTCACATGGAAAAAGGTCAGAAGGTCAGTCAGAATGGGCCTTTTTCCAATCGCATAAGACTGGCTGGATGACGGCCACTCCCGCAGAGACAGGACCTACAACCTAATTTAATTGGTCCAGAACAGAAGACTTCCAATGACCCTTGATTTTTCTCTTTTTCTTCTTCTCCCGCGTTTTCTTTTCGTTTTTTTTTTCTGCTTAGATTCTTTTCCAGTCTTTTCTTTTCTTCCCCGCTACAGCGGGTAACTAGCGGGTCAGCGCTCTGGCCTCTAAGTCTAGCCTTAGCTTCTAGCCTCTAGCCTTCTAGGTATTATTCTAGCCGCTTATCGATTGCGGAATCCAATCCAATCCAATCCATGCAACCAAACTACTAAGCTATTCGTATTGTTTCTCGTCCACCTGGACTGCTGGACATGGCTTTTGCTTGCCGCTCCGCTCTGCAGTCTGCACTGTTCTGCTCTTGAGCCGTGGTTAGGATGTTTCTTCTGCATGCACTGACCATGTCCCATCCATCCATCCATCCTATCCTATCCCATCCATGTTCCATCCCACGTCAAAATGACCTAACAAACCAATCAAACTCCATAATGAAGGGAAAGGTTTGACGTTTTAGACTTTCTCCCCCCCCCCTCACAATCCTGTCTACTCTACCTAACCTACCTCGTAGGGATTAGATTAGATAGAATACCTACTTACAGTCTACCCCTCACACTTTTACTATACTACCTGACACTGACGCATGCCAAGTACAGTCCGGAGTAAACTTTCTAATTAAGATTTAATCTAATTAATTAATTAATCAAGAAAAAAAATTTTCTAGAATGAAGGATTAACCAAGTTAATAAAAAGGCTGGCCTTCTATCTCATCTCTTTTCTCCTCTCTTTTTCTTCCTGAGGTTTCTTTTTCCTTCCTTCCTGCCTTCGTCTCTATTATACACCCAGTGAGCGACTTCAGGGGCTTTGCGCTCACTTGGATAATAAAGCTCCCGTCGAAAAATAATTCCTGCTGCTGCTGGTTGGTGGGCTAGGTTCGGTTACACGACAGGATTTCGTGAAGAAAGTGAAGGGTATATTGTACGACGACCATGGCCGACACCAAGGATCCTGTCACCGTTCAGACGAACCTTGCAGATCCCGTCTCGTCTGCTGCCGGCGAAGTGAGCAATTCCTCCGTCGACAACAACGGTGGTAATAATAATCATGATGATGATGCCGCAAACAAGAAGGATACTACTACTACTGTCTCTCCTCCCAGGGAGGGAGACGACGAAGTCCCTGCCGACGAAATCGACAAGAGCAAAAAGGGCTTCTTTGCGTACTTCCGTACTAAGGATTTTTATATCATCCTCACCATGGGGTAGGTTCCTAGCCAGAACTCAGTATACAATACAGTAAGTAAACTTACTACTTCTTCCAGTCAGGCTCTGGCTATCCTCAACACTTCGACCAGCACCTTCACTTCTCTCCTGGCTATGCAGGGTACTTCGATCCCTGCTTTTCAGACCTTCTTCAATTACGTCCTTCTCAATCTTGTCTTCACGCCTTTTACCATCTATCGATATGGGTTTAAGCGCTGGGCTCGGATCGTGCTTAAGGATGGTTGGAAATGTAAGCAACACAAAAAAGAGAGTGTGTCCCTCAGACAGGCAGCTGACTAGGTCACTCCGGCTTACAGACTTCATCTTCGCCTTCTGCGATGTCGAGGGCAATTATTTCGTCGTTCTGGCCTATCGCTATACCACCATCCTCAGCGCCCAGCTGATCAACTTCTGGGCCATCGTCGTCGTCGTCGTCATCTCCTTCCTCCTTCTCCACGTCCGCTACCACTACACGCAGATCCTCGGCATTCTCATCTGCATCGGTGGCATGGGCATCCTGATCGCCTCCGACCACATCACCGGCGCCAACGGGGGCGACTATTCCAGCGGCAGCCAGGTCAAGGGCGACCTGTTCGCCCTCCTCTCCTCCACCTTCTACGGTCTCTCCAACGTCGTCGAGGAATACTTTGTCAGCAAACGGCCCATGTACGAGGTCATCGGGCAACTGGCTTTCTGGGGCATGATGATCAACGGCGTCCAGGCCGCCATCTTCGATCGCGCCTCCTTCCAGGCGGCCACCTGGAACGGCCAGGTGGCCGGATACCTCGTCGGGTATACCCTGTGCCTGTCACTCTTCTACTCGACCGCTCCCTTGATCTTCCGCCTGGCGTCGGCCGCTTTCATGAACATCTCCTTGCTGACGGGCAACTTCTGGGGTGTGATCATCGGAATCGAGGCGCTGCACCTGCACGTCCACTGGATGTACCCTATCGCGTTTGTGCTCATCATCATCGGTCACTTTGTCTATTATCTCGGCCGCCGCGTCCTGGGCGAGGCGCGCAAGCCCTGGCTGGGTCGCAACCAGGAGAAGGGCGTCTCGGGATTCTTCACGGCCAGGAGGAGGATCGAGCAGAAGGCGCAAGCGAAGGCAGAGCATGCTCCAACAGGAGACGCAGCCACTAACGCCGTGTAGAGAACGGTCTGACCGTCGTGACCCGGCATTGCTGTCAGGTCAATGGATAGATAGATTATATAATGATATATAATGAAAAATAAAGAATCAAATTGGATTGCAGACTGCGGACCAGTAACGTTGCTTTGGCCGTCAACGTGGTTTCAGGCAGACCCGCTTCAGTTGCTGCCAGCTGTAGCCGGCTGAGGGGCTCGGGATTGCCCCTCATGACACCGCTGGACCCCACTCTCGCTGACATGCGTAGCTGGTAGGGAGTGCTTGGGGACCCTCAAAGAGGGGGTAGCATGCTGGACGAACGCAGGAAGAAGAATATACCATATGCCTCAGTATGCAGTTACATATCATACAAGAAAAGTGTTCCCAGAAACAGGTGTTGAAAGCATGGCGACGCCACATGGTCAGTGCTGGAAGAGAGGATGCCTTATGCGAACGAGGACGATAGACGATAGATCGGGGCATACATATTGACAATTATCATGAGATGGTGGACAAGGATCAAACCAAAAAAAAGAGCAGCTTGCAAAATAACACGAACCAAAAACGATAAAACTCCCATAAACTTAAAAAAAGAAAAAAGATCTTGCTTGGTCTGTTGGTCCAGACCGTCCCTGTTCCCTGTACCGATGCCTCCCACTACCGCTGTAACCACTTTACCTTTTTGTTCCCATATCCCGGTAAATTAGAAGGCCTGCACCGGAAGACATCAAAAAGCCCGAACACAAAAACACCCAGAAGCAGTCCCGCGCGCCAATGGAGTCCACAGGCCCAGAACGCTCGCAATAATCAATAGCGACCGACGCAAAACAAACAAACACGGAGACGAGCACAAATATGAACATCCACCAACAAGCAAGAGAAAGACAGTCGACAGATGCAGAGACGACAAATGGGGACAAATAACTCCTCCAGGGACCCAACAAACCAACCAAGCCAAGCCAACGTGTCAGTAAAAACCGTGCTCCGAAATATTTCCACATATCAACCGAAGACGGCATAAAACGATCCTCTCAACGGCCTCTCACATGTTATGTACCTCGCTTTTCCTAACCAAAAAAAAGACATAAAACTTTGCCGAAATCAAAGAATGGTGCCAAATGCTCTCTCAACGCCCCGGTCCTGTACCGCAGAAACAAGAAGATAATAATAAAAAGAGGGGGTTCCCGCTTAACCCCAGACAGAGGCCTGAACGCCAAGAGCGTTCTTCGAGCCCCAGACACCGCTGCCGTTACCCCATCCCAGTCCAACCGAGTTGGAAGAATTCTCCTTGCCAGAGGCATGGGCAGAGGTCGACGGGTTGGACGCAGACGACGTGGAACGCTCATTGCCCGGTGCCGCAGAGCTGGCACTCTCATTCGGGGCAAAGCCGAAGCCCAGGGGCGATGGCAACGGGGTGGTCGACCGCTTGTTCAATGCCGGGTTGGGAGCCTGGCTGGTAGCCGTTTGCTGAGAAGGGCGCGAACCGATAGGACCCACAGAGCCGATGGGAGCGGTGGTCGTCTTGGAGGACAGCTGCCGCGAGGAAGGCGAGTCGGCACCACCGGGGGACGACGTCGACGTAACGGGCTGCTCCGCGTTGGAATCGTAGAGACTATAGGATGGGTTGGCACCAGTGCTAGGAGACGACGTGCTGTTGGCGCGGGATGGGGATTGACGACCCGCCGACGAGGTTGCGGTCGCCCCCTGGCCGATGCCATCAGCCGAGTTCGATCCCTGGGTCTGACCCAGACCAAAGGGGTCGACACCCCGGGGAGACGGTCCGCGCACTCCGCCTGTAGCGGAGGTCGGAGTACCGCTGGTCGCATTCTCGGCCCTGTTGCTGTGGCCATCATCACTGAAGCCACCCGGAGGGAAGTAGGCGGGACTGTCATTGCCATACAGAGCACGATGCTGGCGGGCGAGAAGCTCACGCCGACTCTCCTCGCTCATCGCGGCGGGACTCAAGGAACGGTCGGACTTGTTGCCCGACATCTCGGCAAGCAGGCCTTTTGCAAAGAAAAACCATGTTAAAATTCTGTAATATACAACGCGGAAGTTGTTACACCAAAAAAGAAAAAGAAATAAAAAAAATGCAGGGTAGAGAAGCAGGAACAAAAAGAAGGCAACACTCGTCACATACTTCGATTGTACTGCTGCTCCTGGTGATAATTACGGAGCTCCCGCTCGCGTTGCGCTGCCATGCGACGCTTTGCCTGCATCATCTGCTCCGTCTCAGCCGGACGACCCTGGAAGCGTTGGGCGGCATAGTAGCCCTGGAGACCCGCCGCCGGATGCATACGAGTAGGGTCGAAGTCGCTGAGGGAGTGGTGACGCTGGGGGATGCCCATCATTCGCGGATCTTGAAAACACTGGATTAGAACGTGTCCAGGAAATAGAGGCTCTTCTTTACATCCATACCGTATTCCGGAAAGTGACGACCCATCATCATCGGCATCGAGTCTCTCCGCGGGACCGTGAAAAGTTTCCCGCTCTTGACTAGATTGTCGATCGCGCGGTCGACCTCTGCATGTATACAGTCAGCATGTGAACTCCATCCGAACGGTTCTTGACGCATAGATATGGAGACAGCCGTGTCACGATCGAGGACACAATCTATCGAAACAACAACGACCTGCATCGTCCATCGACCACTGAAGCAGCTGCGCCACAGATGCGGACCAGGGAGTAAGGGGCGAAGAACTCGTGTCCCATACCATCAAACTGAGAGGCGAAAGCGGTCGGCTCCTCACGCTGCTGAGAGACAGAGCTACTTCCTGTAAAATCCACGGATTAGTTTTCCACTCCCCGATGATGTTGAATCGCCGTTCGACGCTGGCCAACATACCGGACCGGGACGGAGGAACCGGCTGTTCCCACGACGCCTGGCGCACGGGGGCCTGCCATCCCTGAGGCTCATAGTACGAAGACATGACCTCGGCAGCAACCACGGAATGGGATTAACGTGCGTGGGATGATTTCGGACGTCGAGGCGAAAAGTAGAGACGCCGGAAGCGAGGACAGGGGAGCGTCAGTCCGTTCGAGGGAGTCGGGAGGCCTAGAGCGATAAAAAGGTAAGCCTCACGCAGGCAGGAAGAAAAAGAACCTTCGAGACACGTGGGATGGGATCACAAGGGGCTCCAAGGCTGAGGTGCCGGGTGCCCGACGGAGGCGGATGGCGATGGCGATGACATAGGAGAAGGGCGGCCGAAACATCGCCCATTCCATTTCCCCCCCCTCCGGCCATCGACACACCCTCGCGGGCGCCTCAGCGATCGACGGCATTGGATGGCACCTCATTGGCGATGGCGGATGAATGCATCGGGCAAAGAAGGCAGCGAGAAAAGCACGGGAAAGGCAGGAGGAGGGAACTCACTAGAGCCAAAGCGTGACCTCTCGAAAAATCTCAGGGATCTCCTACCACGATGGACGGTCGAGGCAGTGCGGGAGACGCAGGGCGACGGTCCCTCGAGACAGGACGACCGGAGAGTCCGGGGAAGAAAGGGGGCGAGAAAGGAAAGAAAGAGGGGGACAAGCGATTCTCACGAGGGAGAAGGGGGGGAGGGAGAAAGGGAGTCGAGGAGAAAAGGAAGAAAAAGGACAGGTTTGTTAGCCGCGGAGAGCAAGACAGGACAGAGGAGTGGGCGTTGGTCTAGTCGGGCGATGGAGACTTCGCTGTCGTATCGCTGGCCGCCGGCCCGTCCTTTTTTTCTCTGCAACACTCTGCACTCGCTGCGTGCCAGGGCCACCAGCTGCTCCGTTCTGGTGGAATTATGCCTGATTTAATTCGCTATTATTTATTTATTTATTTATTTACAGAGCATTTACGGCCGTTCAGCTGCCCGTACAGATTCGACAAAGTGGGCGCTCTGCAGCCCGCCTTTTGCAGGCCATGCGCGCGCGCTATCGGTGCGTGTCGCTCGACTATGAGACGGATGCGTCCTTGGCTGCTGGGCGGCCCAGGCAGGCAGGTAGATTCGACTGTTTTTCCTGCTTCAGCCCTCGAGGGCCGCACGCGCGGTCTGTGCAGTGGGGAGGATGCAGCCCGGCTCAGGTGGAGGGGGTCGGTAACCGGAAATTATATGGAGATACTGGATACTGCCTAGCATTTGTCTAGCGGCTGGTCACCACTCTGCTGTCCCACCGCGTGCTCAAACGCTTAACACCGACTGTTAAGACTGCAGAAGGTTGGGACGTCTGGCCGGCTGCTGAGGGTGCCGGGGAAGCCGTCACAGTTAAGTAAGACTATACGGAGGATGTTGACGGCGTTTCTAGTGACCTTCTCGATTGATCTGTGACACTGTAACACAACGAGCTACGCAGATTGCAACCAGAGAAGAGAGACTACTCGCGAAAATCATTCGATATTGTTCTGTTCCCTAGAGCGGATTTTTCTGCGCTTTCACGACGGCTTTTTTTTTCCTCCCACATTCGCCCTGCAATTGTCACCTGCGAAAGCAAAGAAGTAATTCGACTCAACGATATTAATCTACGATTCTGTCGACTTCAGAAATATCTCGATATTTGCTGGATTTGAAGAATCCTAGCCTAACGGACTGGCCCGGGTCTAAGGATCCGTGCGATGGCCCTCAAGCGGAACCCCGGTCTAGCCGTCGTACCCTTTTTTTTTCTTTCTCCTTCTCGCGCAGATCCGTGATTCAGGACGGCTTCTTTCCAGCAATTCAACCGCCCCTGTGTTTGTCGATATTGTTTGCATCTATTTCAGAATTATTTATGACGAGGAAACATCCCGAGGTTTGTCTAAAATCAAAGCTGAAAAAAAAAACCACGTTGAAATGGCCTGCTCGGGATCGGGCTGGTCAGGAGAGAGCGGTGGGGCAGGGTGCTTTAGGCAGGTGCTAGCCTCGGAATTAATAATACTAATCACGGGCAATCATCAATCATCAATCCGGATGAACCTCTCTCGCAGGTCATGCTTCTTTTGTCAAGTTCAACGCGGCGCGAATCGTCCCGTTTGTCGATCGAGAGTGTAGTAGTAGTAGATATTCTCGTCATGTGCTCACTGAGGCTAAATCTATTTATTTATTAATCGAGTAAAATTATCGGACAGAGATACTATTAATAATACTACAGGTAGCTCACGACTAAACGGAAACAATACCCAGGGCCGTGGAAACAGGCCCGATATTTTTTTTTGCTCCACAATTGTGCCTGTAGTTTAGGTAGGTATAGTATGGAGTACATACTCCGTATGGCAGGTCCAAAAAAAAAGAAATAAAAAAAGAGTCTCGTACATTCGAGAATGCAATTGCGTTCTTGGTATGTGGACAACCAAACACATCCATTGGCTGTTCATATAGCGAGATATCCCACTGTCTTTGTTACCTACTTCAACGACTTGCAACCTCAGGCATAACTGTTAGTTAAGCTTTAGGTAAGGACCCTGGGAGCCCAACAGACAACTCGCGACGAGTGAGTCTCAACTCCCAAGGACCCAAACGGACTTGATTCGTTTGCGCAATCGAACCGATCGGCGTCTATGGAGGGGCTCCCATATTATTATTGTATTATTCAGCATACTACTATCAACTCTTTTTTTGGCTGCATCAAGTAGATAGGACTCTCGCAGAGTATTATTGAATTTCTTAATCTAAAATAATTCTTGGAAAGAAAAAAAAGCTTCAAAGTACGATTCAGGTTTTAATTCTCTAGATGGTAATTTGCAACAACTACAAGAATACACTGAATTCTGGTAGTCTACTATACCGCGGTCCTTCATTACCTATTCTTATAATTTCTCGACGTCATGATCTCTAGAAATAATCGACCTTCTTATGCTTCAGCCTGGTATATTCTGGAGGAAGTAGAATTTCAACGGTTCTAAGATGCCTCTGCCTTTCCTTCCTTGGGGAATGGCATAGTCTGTTGCTGTCACTTGATATTCACCCGTGAATACTACATTCCATCCCGAAGCTTATATATAGGAACCTTGGACGATTTCTATCGTGTACTCTAAACAGATACGAGCATCCTGAGCAAGAGTATGTATTGATCGCTTCGTCGGATCTGACAACCGGGCAGTTTCTCAAGTGGGGAAAGGCCTGCATGATGATCCTGTATTATGTATATCATCTTCCGGTTCTGCGACTGGACGCGATTGGCTTGCCACTGTTGATTTCGAGAAACGAATTAGCATTCTAAGCGAGATAATATCACGTCCTCAATAGAATCATCCAGGACCCACATGGAAAAGCATCCTGCTTACATGCATCATTGTGAAGTCGTTGATGAGAGCCCCTCCAACCCAGTTTGGACAGCAATGTCGTTACTCTACTCAGGCCGGGGCGTCACATTACACCGGTGAGAGAGGCTGCAGATCAAATAGATACGAGGGAACCAGAGTTCAGTCGACTGCCAACTAGCGCATACCTCCAGAGCCCAGGGTACCATCCGGTCGATGGATGGCCCCCCCACTAAAAATAGCCCCGCGCTGAGTACAAAACGACTACGACCTCCAGAGCATTAGCAGCTGGAGGCCGTCCAGGCGTCACACAGCAAAGGAATGATGTATGTCCGTAGGGAAGAAACGAGTAGCCAAGAATGCCAGCCTGTCACTCGCATCGACAAAGAATCAAAGAAATTGCTGTATAAGAGGCTAGCGATTTGGAGAGAAACGCGGAGTGCCTGGTGGTTGGTGTGTGCTGTCCAACACCCTGCCCACGTTCGGGTAGAACGTGCAGCCCGGAATAACTCGAGGGCAAAGGTCCGAGGGCAGATCGCAGTAGGTATCCAGGTCTTTGTCGCACAGCCTCGAGCGATAAAGGCATCACCCAGAGAAGCACTCAGGAAGACGAGTAGAGAACAGAGACTCGATGCTGGATGCCTTATTCCGCATCTTGAAGTCTTTCTCTTCTATCGAGATAGTATTTCACACCTCAGGCACATCAGGAGGGAGACCATAGACTCGACGAAGCAGAGCACCAAGGTAGCAGCACAACACAACTGGCAGCCCTGCATGGTGAGTAGTAATATGGAACGCTCGGAGTCGACAGCCGGGGTGCCCTGGGTGCCTTGATGCCTCAGGCAGCACTGCACATTGCTGTTGCCGCGTTCTGCAGGGACGCCGGAGGTAACTTAATGGCACTCCTGCCCCATGCTGACATTTCAATCGAATCAAATTGTCTGCCCCGGAGACCACAGACCGCAGGCCGCAGAACGACCTCCATTCACAAGCACCATCCTTGCGTCTCTCCCCTCCGAATTACCGTCTATCCTCCATTCTGCCTTGTTCCTGTCCCCGCGTGCTTTTCTCCGCCCCTGCGTATTCTGGGATTCGCCTCCCGTGCACTGTTGATATCCGGGCCCGGGACACTCTTAGCCTCGTGGACGGCGCTTGTCATACTGCTTGCACCCGTTCCCTTCAACGGGTAAAACCACACGCTGACCGTTGCCTTCACCGATACCCATCTGCTGCTGCTACGCACGGCACAATTTGGTGTCCAGCTCTGGCTTGTGCGATCCTGGGCTCATTGAACGACACCGAGAACAGCTCAGGTGCGGTTCCCACGCCCTTCTCACGTGGGTTTAGCCTCTCCCCCTTCAACGGCAGCAGGAGGATCGACAGGGAATCATGGAGTGCCGACCATCCCGATACCCTCTCCAGGAGAACACAGGCTGCTTTTGATGTGTGTGTGTCTTTCCACAGTTTTCTAACTGGTTTCCTGCTTAGGATCGTGATTTCTTTCTTTTCTCGCCGACCGTATTCCCGTCACCTCTCCGTGCATTGAACTTTTCGATCTGCATATACGCCCTCAGTCCCAGCAGCTTTCTCAGGGAGAGCTTTCCCTTTTCTACACATATTCAATCCGTGGTGCAGTGCTGCTGGGCATCTGCCTTTTATTGCGTCCGTGACGGCTGGTGCAGAGATACTGTCATTCATTAAATCGCAAGAGTCATTTGACGTCTATTCACCATAACCCTGAGATCGCCCGCCTCTGCTGGATTAACCCTCTTTGAGGGCCAACGTTGTCCCGCAACGTTGGAATCGCTGGATGACCTCATCTACCCATGGGAATCATACACATTCTCAGAGTCCAGGTGACGTCTCACCGATAGCGTCGGAGCAGCCATCCACCATGGCATGGCGACCGCCTGACGCATCTACTACCGATGGGCCTGCACGACCCTCTCTTGGATCTCAGCAATCAAGCTCCCTACCCTCTACCCCTTACCAGCGCTCCCGCGGACTCTCCTTTCATTCGCGATCTCCCTCTCCGCGCCGTCGAAGTACATCTCCACACTCCACCCAATCCGAGACGAATCCTGCGCCGTCCTATCGGAGACCGCCCGGGGGTTGCAAGTATGAGACGGGCATGGCCTTTTTCCGCCGGAGGATGCCATACAGCCTCGGTGGAGACTTGCTGCCGGAGGAGAAGGTCGGGTTGAAGGAACGGCTCGAGCCCGAAGAGGAGGAAAAGCTGAACAGAGAAATGGGAGAGCTCTATGACCGATTACTGCCGTCGGCAGAGAGTGACGATCGGAGACGGCAACTGGTCCAGAAGTTGGAGAAGCTCTTCAACAAACAATGGCCGGGCAATGATATCAAGGTCCATGTATTTGGGTCGTCAGGCAATAAGCTCTGCTCCAGTGACTCGGATGGTACGTTTTAACCACCGGTAGATAGCGGCTGGAAGAACGTCATGACTCACTGAAGGCAGTGGATATTTGCATTACAACACCGTATAAGGAGCTGGAGCATGTGTGCTTATTGGCAGAGGTTTTGGCAAATCGTGGGTCTTTCCCTGTTTTCTTCTTAGCGTCCAGCCCCAGACTGACATGTTCTGCACCAGATGGCATGGAGCGGGTCGTTTGTGTTTCTCATGCAAAAGTGCCTATTGTGAAAATCTGGGACCCAGAGTTAAAGTTGGCATGTGACATGAATGTCAATAACACATTGGCCTTGGAGAATACACGCATGATCCGGACCTATGTGGACATTGATGAGCGGGTACGACCCTTAGCCATGATCGTGAAGTATTGGACAAAGCGGAGGGTCTTAAATGATGCAGGTGCGTTTGGAGATAAATACACCGTCTATGGTCCCTCGTCGCTGACCTTGTCTTCCAGCTCTCGGTGGCACACTAAGCTCCTACACATGGATCTGCTTGATCATCAATTTCCTACAGACAAGGGACCCTCCTATCTTGCCGAGCCTCCACACACGTCCTCACAAACAGCGGATAGCACCAAATGGGGTGCAGGTTTCCTTTGACGACAACCTGGAGTCCCTCGTTGGCTTTGGGCGCAAAAATAAACAATCGCTGGCTGAACTGCTCTTTCAGTTTTTCCGCTATTATGGCCATGAGGTCAACTACGAGAAATATGTGATTTCGGTCCGGGAAGGCAAATTGATACCCAAGGAGGCGAAAGGCTGGCACCTATTGCAGAACAACCGGTTGTGTGTCGAGGAGCCGTTCAACACGACCCGAAATCTGGGGAATACTGCCGATGACACTTCGTTTCGCGGTGTCCATATGGAACTTCGAAGGGCGTTCAAAGCCGTGGCTGAAGCCGACTTGGAGAAGTGTTGTGAGCAGTATGTGTTCCCGCCGGAGGAGGAGCGAGTTTGGGAGAAACCACCGCCACAACCACGGCCCGTTCTGGCGCCAACCCCATCTCAGCCTTCCTCCCGCGGCGGACGAGGAGGTGGCCGTGGTGCGAGACACTCCAACCAGTATGGACGAGGGGGAAATAACGCCGGTCGTCGGACATCCAACGGCGCCAACAGGGCCAACAACAACAATAACTTCCGTCCCAATCACCTTGGATTGACCCCTGAAATGACTCTTCAGGCGCAGCAGCAGGCACAGTTCCTGCTACATGATCAGCTGTATCAGCAAATTCAGATCCTCCAAGCGCAGGAACAAGAGCTCCGCATGCAGCTTCACAATCAATCCCTTCTGACCGGGCGGCCGCCTCCTGTTCTCATCCGCCAACCCTTGATCCAATTTCCGTTTCCTCAACCTCAACCCGAGGTTCATGCTGACGAGAATTCTCGAGCTCGAGCTGGCACGGTGAGCCATCCTCCATTGACGTCTTCCCTCCGACAACCGGTCTTTTACGGTCCTAGTTACATCCCGGTCCCCGTATCCGGCGTGCAGGGAAGCAATACAAACCCTCCGTCGCCATCCGCCAGCGCTGCCGTTCCGGACCTTCGCCGGAATCCTCGTCGGTCCTCGGTCGCAAACGGGTCACCGGGAGGCTCACTCCGCTCACATTCTCAGCCTGCAAGATCGGCGCACTCCCCAGTGATGCAGAGTCTAAATTCGCTTTATTCACCACCGCAGCCCAGCGAAAATTCACATGGCTCGAGAGAGCGCTTGATGCCAAGCTCGCCTGGCGCGAATCCGAGCGAGGGTGGTGAATCCAGCTTTCTCTCCAGCCAGCAGCTCCCTAGTTTCTCTCCACCCGCCTTGGTTGATGAACATCGGCCGTCGGAATACGTTGGATACTATCTTGGTGGTCCTGCCCAGCAACAAGTCTACCACCAGAACCTGATGGCGATGTCTCTGCCTGCGACCATGTCACCGTTCGTTCCAACTGTGCTGGACTATCGCTCTTCCGGGTTGGCGTTTTCCGAATCATATGGTATGGTCTCCGATCACGGGACTGTGCCAAATACACAGGACGTGTCCCCGTCAACGCCGACTACAACCCGGCCAACGCCTTCTAAAGACCGCGGTCCCTTGATAGTAGATGGTTCTGTGCCCCTCCATGACCAGCGTAACACTTCTCATGGAGACCGTGCGGGTCACCATACGCCGAATGAAGATGACCTCAGCTGGGATACTCCTGCCCGAACATCAGACGGGTTATCTGCGGATTCACAAGAACCCGCGAGCTATGAATCTAGCCATCATTTTTCCGTGCCAAAGCGGAACCAGGAAGGCTATAGCCAGGCTGTCAGCAATGAGACGATGGTTAATGGGCAGGAAGGAAGGTCCGGAGGTCTTAGTGGCCAACTCCAAAATTTGCATTTGTCGGATGGCAAGAATGAGTCACCATCTGCGACAGAAGGGAAGAAGGCCAAGCCGGGGCAGCAGAGCTCTGAACAATTGCCAGCCAAAGAGACTTCGGATCACCGTCACTTTAATTCGCGGGACAAGCACAACACAGCAAACGCGAATCGGAATACAGGGTCTGAGGCACCGTCTCCAACCGCGAAACGTCGGGTGAACGGTTTCGAATCGGAGAAAGTAAATGGCGTCAACCACAAAGGAAAGATCAAGGGCGGGCAGGAGGCAAGCCATTCCTCTGATCGAAAAGAGTCACAGCCAACTTCGCTACCGCGCAAGCCTGACGGTGTGCCTCCTGCGTCTGGAGGACGGGACTCAGGAACTGCAAATGCAAATGCAAATGGCGGCTGGCAAACCACGAAGAGAAAGCATAAACGAAACAACAAATCTACAGCGGAAGCGCACCATACTAATGGGGTGGAGCCTCTTCCAGCGGATGAGTCCTTGAGAAAGGGTGGATGAAGAGGGTAGTACCAAACAGTTCACCTTCATGCTCAACATTACCTTACCGGGAGTGGCAAGGTAAGACATTTCGCCGAGCTATAGCAGCCGTTCATCGTTGTATTAGCTTTCCATATTCAGAAGCGGGGCGTTTGTTTCTTTTCTCTGTTTCTTTTCTTTTCTTTTCCTTTTTTTTTGTTACCCTTTTCTTTGTTCATTTTTCTTTGCGCCGTTATGCTGTCATGATGGTTGTACTACAAGGTCTGCAAAATTCATTTGGCGGGTTCGAGCAAATATACCATCAGCTGATTTTCAGAGTTGGGACTTGTTATTGTGTTATTTCTGATTTTGCCGTTTCAGCCATTCCGCAATGCGATCTTCTACTGCATACTGGCCGGTGGCGAGCACTTTTCCGGAGGGCGTGTTACAGGTTGTTTCCATTGCAGGCGAGAGAGAAATACCTTGCCCTGACTGGGTTCAGGCTGCTTCTTTGTTTTGGTGATTTTGATAATGTAACTAGGTTTGATGGGGAGGGTTGGTCGGGTGGTTGAGATCCGGATTGATGCACTGTTTGCAGGATACCGAAGTTGACAGAGCCAGTGCGATGGATTGACGCCCTTGAGAAGGGTAGTGCCGTCTCCGATGGCTATGCGATGCCGTCGGGCACTTTGCAGAAATGCAGGTTGCGTGCTGGCAAGGAGTTCCGTCGTTCCGTCGTTTCATCGTTCCATCATTCCCAGGGACGAGTGCACATTCCGGAGAAAACAAGAGTCCTGACAGTCCAGCCACTTCCACGCACTCCTCTTCATGTTGCACAACGTTTTGTACTGTACGTATCTATCCAGCGTGACGAGTCAGTCGGTCAGCCAGCAGGGCACTTCCTAGCTGGCTGGGTTGGCTGCAGCACATTCTAATGACGAATGTGGTTGGGAATGAATGTATCTAGAGAATGAATGAAAACAAAGGAATAAAAAAAGATTAATAATAGCCACTACAGCATACTATAAATAAAGCTTTCTTCTGTCTGTATACAGTTGGATTGATTAGATTTAATCAGTGCGCGGATATTGTCTATCTATCTATCTAGTCAGATCATCAAGATGAGACGAAAGGGAAAAGAAGAGGAAAAAAAAACAAGACACGAGCCAACCAGCCAGCCAGCAAAGCCTTGTATCCACATACATACATATAGAAAGAGAGAAAGAGAGAGAAAGAGAGAGAGAAAGCAGAGGGAAAATACAATTTCATTTCCTTTTTTTTGTTCACCGTTTTTTTAAAAAAAATAATAATTAAAATGAAGTGTAATCAATCAAACAGACAGACACAGACAAAATGAAAAAAAAAACACAACCATAGGTAATAAGTTTTTTTTATTAAATTAAATTAAATCTCGAGTACAGAGAGAGAGATGCACGCATATACATGTACTGTACTGTACTGTACACAACAAGACTGACAGACCAAGAATAAAAAGAACTCCCAAATCGAGAGGGAGGAAGGAAGAACACTGTATATTATCCATGTATCTATCTATGTTATCTATGTATTGTTGTCTGTATCTGTATTGTATGTCAATCGTGTATGGATGTATGTATGTATATAACCCCAGAAGAAGTAGAGAAGTAGAGAAGTTGAGACACAAAAAACACTAAGACAAAGAAAAGAAAAAAAAGAAAAATAAGAAGGAGAAGAAGAAGAAGAAGAAGGTGATGATTAAAATATTACAAGGGTTATTTTTGTTTGTTTGTTTGTCTGTTTGTCCTGTCTGTCCTGTCTTGTTTCTGTTTCCCTTCAAGGGTCTCTTTCTCTTCCTTCTTTTCTTTCTTTCTTTCTTTCCTCCTTTCTATCTTTTCCTGTAAAGAACAAAGAACCAAGAAAAAAGAAAAAAAGGGGAAAAAAATTACAAAAATAAAACACACACAAACAGAAAAAAAAAAGGTGTACAGTGCATGTACATACAGTACAAGACAATAAAACAAAATCAAAAATAAAATAAATCAACCTTTTTTTTGCTATCGCCTCATCTCAGCAAAGATATACGGAAAGATAACGACGCAGGCAGTCCAGAAGACGGCAAAGGACCGGAAAATGGCCAGCGGCCACCGGTAGAACGGCGTCTCGGCGAACAGCAGCCAGATGGAGAGGAAGGCGACGGAGAAGAAGTGCCAGAACAGAACCGAGGGCTGCTTGATCAGGCCTGCGAGCAGGCCGATGGGTCCGTCGATCATGCCGAGCTGGAAGTAGCGGAAGCAGCCGCGTTGGAGAATGCGGAGGTTGTCATCTAGAGAATAGAAGAATACGAGTTAGTTTATCAGAATAGATAATAAGAGTTTTTGTTGAAGAGGAAGAGAATACCATCAGCCGCAAAAAGACTGTACAGCGCCTGGGCTAGAATGTTGATCACCGACGCAAAGCTCTTTCGCCGCCAGTGGAACGTGGACATCTGCTTCATCACCCGGTCCGTGTCTGCAAAAGTAGGGATCTTCTCCGGACTCAACAGATCCCGCAGCATCACCACGTCGTTGAAGGCCACCGTCATGCCGCCGCCCGTCAGCGGATGGCGCATGTTCAACGCATCTCCCAGGATGATCAGCCCGGGCGTCTTGTTCGTGGCCGGGGGCAGGAACGAATTGGGCATGGAGCGGAGATTGCCCTTCTCGATGGCCGCGAGGAAAGACGGCTGCACGCACTCGGGCAGCGAGGGCAGCACGACATTCCGCAGATGGGCCTTGACGCCCCCGTTCTTCACCGACGCCGACGGGAGGTTCTCGGGGATGTCGACCAGCGCCCGCGTCTCGTGCGTTCCGATCTGGTACAGCAGCACGGGCGGGTTGTCGCTCAGCACGACGTGTCCGTGGTACTTCATCGGCAGCTCCGCGTCGATCAGCTCGAGGCCCCAGAACCTCGACTTGACCTTGGGCGTGTGCGGATGGTGGTCTTTCCGGAATTTGGACGCGTATCCGTCTGCGACGACCGTCAGGGGCGCGAAGTAGCAGTCCGGGGTGTCGGCGCCCTTGCTCGTGCACTCGACACCAATAACTTCTTTCGTCCGGGGCGCCGTGATGAGCGAGGTCGCGGTGGTCTCGACAACGGTGACATTGGGGCTCGCCATGGCGGCCTCGCGCAGCTTCATGACGAAGCGGCCGTGGTGGAAGGACCGGCCCTCGGCGGCAGGCGACGAAGGGCCGTCCTCCTTGGGATAGGGGATCTGCACATGCTCGCCGTGGTAGATGACGTCGTAGCCCTTGGCGGGGATGGCATCAATGCCCTCCAGGCAGTCGCTCAGGCCCAGCTGCTCCAGCGCCTGCACGCCGCCGGGCTGCAGGAACTCGCCGATGATACGGTCAGGCTCCTTGAGCGACTTCTCCAGCAGCAAGACACTCCGTCCCTGTCTCCCCAGGGCCACCGCCAAGGCACAGCCGGCGATGCCCGCCCCGACAATCAGCACATCGGCCTGGTGGTGGACTCGTCTGCGCTCCTCGGCAGCCTCCGAGGCGATCGTGGCGGTGGTAGTGGACGACATACGGAACGACGGGGGGAGAGGTCAGTGGCGAGGGAGGGATTCGAGCAATTGCAGCATGATAGGGCCGGAGGGAGGGCGCGAAAAAGAAATTGAAAGGAATTGAAAAGTTCTGGCGGACAGGTGTGGCGTGAGGTCGGTCGAACGTTGAGCTTTGCATGTGATTGACTAGTCCCTGAATCGGGCTAGCACGTGGCCGGCACTGCAGTCCCCGGATCACCTGTCAGGCATGCAATAACACTATTTAATACTATTATTATTGTTATTTTGATTTGTTTATTTTATTTTATTTTCTGCTTATTTACTGTTTTTTGTTCTGACTGAGGACTGTTACTGTAGTGGAACTAGTAGAGACTTGCGAGATTAATTTCATCCATCTATATACAACTTGTAGTCTAGCCAATACAGTACACATTGAAGGATATCTAGCGATTCGTAGAGTATACCTGATCACTTCTCGACATAGCATTCCCCCATTTCCAGAACCCGCCTTTGGTTCCACTGCCTCAGCAATGTCTGCGGATTGTGCGCATGCAGCCACCCGCACAGCCTGTCCAGCTCATACTCCTCGTCCCACGCCTCGACGATGCGCCGCACGCTGGCAAAGTTGCACCGGGGACGGTCGTCGCTCGGCGTCCACGCCCTCAGCTTGCGGCCCCGGTGCTTCTCCGTCCGGTTGACCCGCAGCTCGAGCAGCTCCGGAACGCCTTCGCTCTTCTTCTCCAGCAGATCCGCCAGGAAGTCCAGATACGCGAGATACACCCTGCGCTCTTTCCCCCGCAGCGTCCGCTGCCACCGCGGCTTCAGTCGCAGCGCCGCCAGCACCCGGCGCACCTCGACCACGAAGTCCTTGTTCACGGCCGACCCCCGCGAGAGGCCCGTCAGAATGCACCACCGCACCCCCTTCAGCCGGTCCTTGGCCGCGAACGCGCGCACAAACATCTTCATGCACGTCCCGTCGAACTTATCGCGGCGGCCCCAGCGAGATTTGTACGCCGTGGTCAGCAGATCCAGGGCCGCATCGTATTTGTCCCTCTTGATCAGCTGGTGCGCGGTGGAAATCATAAAGTGGTGTTTCACGAGCAAAAAAGGCGACTCCCAACAGAGATTGTAGAAGCGAAAGACCGCCAGCTTGATCACCTCGGTTTCATGGACCGGCTGACACTCTGTAACCTGACGGAAAAACAGCGGGAAGAAACGCGTCGTTTGGCGGAGAGTTCTCCACTCCTCTTCGATCAGCGCTCGAGCCGAATCCAGACCATGCTCAACCAGAGTCGCGATCACCGCCAGTTCAATATGGACCGGCTTTAACAGGAAACGCGACGCTTTTGCTTCCTCGAACGCCTTCAAGGCCTCCTTGTTGTTGCCCGCATGCATATAATGACTCATCCGCTTCTCGAGTCGCTGGAACTGATCCGCAGTCCGCGGCGGCAACACCTCCTCCATCGTCCTCTCGTACCAAGCGGGCCAGCTGAACGTGCCGGGCATCATGTTGACTTCCGGCAAGGGAAGCGAGCGTTGGTCATATCCCAGAATCTGCTGCGAGGCCGCCGACTGCCCGTACTTCACTCGAGCAGCCTGCAGCATCTGCCAGAACCCCGTGGGACTGCGCTCGCGGGCGAGCCGCCGTTCGCGGAGCATTTCCACGAACTCCTCTTCATCGAAGGGAATGTTCCACTTGCGATCCCGCGCAAAACGGATCAATTCCGCCACCATGTTCACGTCGCCTTTCTCCACGAAGGCCTCCAGAACATGTTCGTATAGAACTCGATCTGGCACGATCGAAAACTTCTCCACGCAGCGGAAGAAGAAGTCCCGGATTGCGGTCCCCGAATGGGACACCCAATATTCCAGAAAGATCCGGTCGAAAACCCCCAGGAAATCCTCCCGCTTCTTCGTGAATTGGAGATCATGCATCTCCTGCAATCCCTGCTCGACCGCATCCCATTCACAGGCCAGTGCCTTGGCGTACAGCAGCAGACCCATGGTTCGACAACTGAGAGGGACATCATATTTCGTCTGCATGTCGTGCACCAGGGCCTCTGCATCCGCCATCCGGCCAAACTCCACATATGCTTTCAGCACAGGGTTGAAGAGCTTCTCGGTTGGCCGCTTCCCAAACCTCGGGAGCAGAGAGAGCAATTTCTTGAACTGTCCGTTGAGAAGATCGATATTCCTGGTCTTCCTCCACAGCCCGGCCAGGAATATGCCGCACAGGCCGCAATCTTTGTCGTGCTTGATGCTCCCGTACATCAGCCATCTCGCAGCCCGGAGTCGGTGGGACTCGAGCAGAGATCTCAGGACTACGTCGATCATGAACGGCGGCAAGGGGATGGTGTTCCTATATCTCATGTAGAGCTGGGCAGCCGACTCAACAGCACCTCTGCTTGCCAACGCCACGATTAGCACCTTCCACATGCGCGGCGAAATATGATCGATGGCCTCAAGGCGCTCGAATATGCTCCTTGCAATGAAGACGTTCTCCTCCCTGCAATTGAGGTAAAAAATCTTCAATGCGAGCTCTCGTCGCTCGGAGGACAGGCCTTTCACAGTGGGCGGGTGGGCATTGAGGAACACCTCCGCCGCCTCGATGATACGGTCACGGTCAAGCAGAGAACGAATCGTCTCGAGGCAAGAGGCTGGATCAGGAGTGATCTTCACAGACCCCGAATCCGTAGTTGTCGTTTCATTCTGGGACATGTCTTTGTCTGCGTCCTTCGAAACCGCCGCGTTGGCTAGCTCTGGTATCTTGGGACCCGTAAGAATTGGTGCATGCTCCAGGGGCCATCTTGGAGGTTTTATGAGAGGGACGGTCGACTTTGGTTTTGTAGGATCACTGCCGCCAGGGTCTTCTGCTGACGAGGCACCACCACTGCTCTGCCCGGACCCGTTTGACCCGGAGGACTTCTTCCAGCCCTCCCCTTTCAAAGACTCCAGACCGTCGAACTCCCCTTCCTCCGCGGCTTCTATCATCCGCGCGAGTCTTTTGGCCGCGGCGGTGGCATTGTAGTACGGAGTGGAGGACTGGATGGTCCGTTTGTTCTCGATGATGCGCTCGGCGACGCGGACCCGGCGGTGCACATCGTAGGTGATGGTCGCAATCGTACAGACGCTCCCAACCGTCGAACCAGCCAGTGCGAGGCGTCGAAGCACCCGGAGGGCGTTCCTGGAGGGCACCGTCGCGGATCCGCCGCGCTTGGACAACATTGAGAGGAGCGTGAGAAGAAAAGAGGCAGGAGGATACCGCGAGGGAACCTCAATCAAGGACGGGACATGAGAAGATGCATTGAGGTCAATTGAGTGGAGGAATGTGCAAAATGAAGAGAAACAAACCGAGAAATGGGCGTAACGAGAGTTGACGATCGATAAAATAAAAGACGTCTGTTGAAGAAGCGACGTCGAGGAAAACAGTCTCTCGAGCCGTCGGAGAGCTGGAAATTTTCCGGCAGCGCAGCAGGCCGAGTCATGTGCCCGCAACCACTCCCGTGATCTGTCACCAATCAAGCTCATTCAAGCACTTGTACCTGATTACTTTATAACACAACAGTACACAATCTACTCTTAATATTATTACTTACTCAAATAGATTCAACTTGACAGAAAATTACTTAATTGCATGACATAATTCTTGCAGTTATTGCAGTCAGTCCAAACTGTCAGAAATTGTTTCTGCTACTGTGTGACCAGACAACAATTGTCTACTATGGATAAAAAGAAATTCATAAAATTCATAAAATACAGTATCCCTCGAACGAATAGCTAAACCGGATACATACGCCATAGATCTGAACGAAAATTCCCTCTAAACAAAATCAATACTTTACAACAAAAAAAAAACACAATTATGAACGCAACGCATCTTCCTCATCCAATGCGCCATATGTTGGCTCCGCAGGGGGACTGGAAGGAGGTGACGGCGGGAAATAAACTGAATAATGCACAAGTTAGCGGTCCTGTTTCTGTTTCTGTTATTAGTTTGACAGAACATACCATTCGGCTGAATAAACCAGCTCAGGATAAAGGCCAGTCCAAACACCGAGGCAAGGCAGACGAAGACCGCCTGCGTGAACTTTCCTACCGTCACGCTGTAGATCAGGTTGAACACGGTCGGCGCAACGACACGGGCAAGCGCATGCAAGAGCCCCGTTGCGCCCAGGATCTGTCCGGTGCGCTCCGGAGGGACGTGCTTCGTCAGCGACGACTGCAGCGTCGGCGAGCCCATGCCCCCGAAGGCCGCAATCATCGCCGACAGCATCATCAGGCCGCCGGTGCGGACGGTGGTATACCCAATGTATCCTGCCAGATCGAACAGAATCGACAGCCGGATAATGCCAATGTCCAGCATGTCGCACCCCGAGTTGACCTGTCGCCCGCTCTGGGGTCCGCGCACCAGTCGCGTTACCGTCGGCAGCACCGCCAGCAGAGTGATCACACGGACGGTACTGGCAAGGGACACAAAATGGCTGGATTCGTAGTTGCCCCATCCGTACATATATTCGGCGTAGATCACGATGACCTGCATCGTGCCCATGGCTACCCCAAACAACAACGTGTCAATCGAGGCCAGGAGAATGAGGTTTCTCCGCAGGGCCGCAAGAAGACTTCGCCGGTGGGGAGACAGCCCCGGCACATCGACCTTTGGGAAAAGAATCCCCAAAGGCTTCAACAGGTTCATTGGGTTCCAAACCCAAGCGGAGCTGCCCTCCTCGTCCAGCTGCTTTGCGCGATGTTTTTCGCGGGCTATCAGCTGGCGCTCCCTCGACACCGATTCGGGAACGACAAAAGTCACCATGAGAAAGTAAAAGGCGTGGCAGCCCAGAACCGTGTAGAAGACGTCGACGACGTTGCCGGTCAGCTTGATCAGAAGACCAACCAGAAAGGGCCCCAACGCGAGACCGGTGAACAGGACCCCGTGAAAGTAACCAAAGACGACGTTCCGCCTCTCTGGAGGGGTGCAGTCGGCTGCGTACGAGTTCACCAGGGCGATGCCGGTCGTGAATGATCCGCAGAGACCATCGACGGCGGCGCCCACCAGGAGCAGTTTCACCGAGGCCGTCTCGGGCCTGGTTGCGACAATGATGGTAAACATCTCTCCCACCAGGACGCCAAGCGTCGAGAGGGCCAGGAGTGGTGTGCGTCCGTACCGATCGGACAGATCGCCCAGTCGAGGGCTCATCACCGCCGACAAAAGTCCTGACACCAGAGTGTAGTACAGGTTGAACCGCATCACGCGGGACTGCACCTCCGGGATCCTGCATTGGTCGTTGTTGTCACCAAAGATGACCGGCAGATGGGTGAACTGCTGCGGATCTTTGGACGCCAGATCGGAGAAGTAGTCTCTGCAGATGAGGTTGAGGATCAGGTTCAGCTTGGGCACGGTCAGTCCACCGAAGGCCAGCGTAAACGGCAGCAGAGGGAGAATCAACCACCATATCTAGACGAGGATCAGCGCGAGTCCAGATGAGTATCGTGTCGACACAGATAACGGTGTGCTCACCGATGGTCTTCTCCACAGCGGCTTTTCCTCAAAACCGTCTACTCCAAGCCAAGGCTTCTGAATGCAGGCGTCGTCTTCGTCTAGGGAGCCAGCGGCAGCAGGCGATTCCGAATTGCCTTCTAGAAGCAACGGCGTCGCTTCAGAGACGTGCTCGCTTCCCTCCCTTGCAGCACGCAGGCGTGCATCCTCATCCGCTTCCACGACGAAAGGAGCGTCGTTCTCCATGATGTCAGGCGCGCGGGGTAGTCTCCGTTACTTGGTCAAGACTCTAGAGAGAAGCAGATACGCCTTCCAGCATCCCACAGCCAGGCATTGCGGACGGCGAAGACTAGTCTAGTACAACGGAAGACGCGGGTGACACAGAGGGGAGTGGACGGGATAATAATGACGACCTCGTCCAAACTTCGGCAGTTGACTGTCGCCCAGCTGCCAGGCCGATTGAGTTTGCGACAGCAGCCCAGGCACTGGCGCCGTGCATGAGCTGGCAGTCCTGCTAATTATTAATAATGTCAACGAGCTTATCTTGCGGGCGATAAGATGGATCGCCGGACTCCGAAGCCGAAGCGACGCTGCCAGCCCCGTGCGGAGGCTGCATCCCCGCCTATCAGCGTCACGACGCTCCAGGCACAAAACCATATAATGCCCGACGTCCACGTTGTCGAAAGGGTCTAAAAGGCCAGGCTGCCATTTTTCTTAGCTGGCATACTCAGGAACATCCATTTCTGACACACGAACAACTCATGCATATCGTACATTACAGTAAATACACCATCTACCTATCCAACTAGATGCTACGGTAGACACTACGCCGCAACGCCACCAAGGCACGCCATTGCGTGACTGCAGCTACCGCACCAGAGAGGCCAGCTGCTCTCCTCCAAAGAACTTCTTCTGCTCCAAACACCGTTCGCTGCGGCACCCCTGGCACCGCAGCGTCATCTGCCGCGAGCACTTCTCTCCGCTCTGCAAGTGGTCGCGGGCAATCTCTGCGAGGGCTCGGATGAAGATCGGGCTCCCATTCAGACTCTCGGCCCTCTTGACCCCGGGATGGTTGGCCTCCTTGATGACTTCCAGGTCGAGTTCGTAGAGCGTCTCGATGTGGTCGCTGGTAAAAGCAATGGGGACGAGGATTATGTCCGTCTGCCCCCGTTTGACGTACTCTTGCACCGTATCGTTCGTCTGAGCTCCCAGCCAGGCGGATGGTCCCACCTGGGACTGCCAGCAGAGCCGGTAGGGGTTGGAAAACCCGAGACGCTGCATGACGGCGTGCACCGTCGCAGCAACCTCGGCCGGATACGGGTCGCCTGGGGTCTTGTCAGCGCCCATCAGCCATGGGATAGAAAGCGCGCAGCAACTGACCTCGATTGACAACGCTCATGGGCAAGCTGTGGGCGGAGAACAGCAGCACGACTGAATTCCTCCGCTCTTCGGGGTACGTCGCCAGCTGGTCCTCGATGTTCTTCGCAAACGCCTCGACCAGGCCCGGATGCGTCGGCCACCGGTCGATCACGCTCCACTGGATCGTGCCCTCCTCGTCTTCGTTGGCGCGCCGGCCCTCGAGGCGGTTCCTCCATTTCCACAGCTCATTGAGAGAGCTCCCCGTCGTGGAACAGGAGTATTGAGGATACTGCGTGAATGCAACCGCGCGACCGCCCCGGCCTCTGCCAAACCCGTCCTCCAGCAGTTTCGCGTACATCTCCTCCGTCAGCGGTGCTGCGTATCTGAACGCGACGTATGGCTTATGCGGCGCCGTCTCGGGGGAAATCTCATCCAAAATCTTGCACATCTCCGCGCATTGGTATTCCGACCACTTGCGAATCGGGGACCCGCCTCCGATGTCTGCGTATTGTTTTTGGATCATTGGGGTTCGGCGGCGAGCGATGAGAGGGCCAAGGTATTTCTGAAGACGTCCAAGCGGTATCAAGTCGCCATCGGCCTAGAAATGGAACAGAACCGGTCAGCTGTAGACTCTAGCAGGGAGAAGAGGCAGCACCTACAAATAATCGGCTCAAGAAGTCCTCAACATCGTCGGTCGTTGACGGGCCGCCCATGTTGAGAAAGACCATGGCCGTCGGGCCTTTGGAGCCCTTCGCCGGCGACACCGACGTCGCCAGGCCAGACCTCTGATTCCAATTGCATGCTAGAAGACTCCGCGCCGCGGGTCTGATGTTGGCACATGGATAGCTTGAGCTTATGCGCCCGGGTATTAAGAAGGGATTGCGCAGCGCCATGGTGGCTGGCACTTGCAGACGACCTCAGTCGCTGCTATATAAGAGGAAAGAGACCAAGATTGGAATGGAGATGTGAATAAAAAAATATAGATAGATATCTTGGCAAGACCCCGAATTGACTGGAACGGTTCGGATGGCACAGCTCCGGCTGCATTGGGAAAACCCGGGGAAGCCCACCAATCAGACCGAAGGCGGAAGTCATCAATGGCCGGGCGTCACGTGACCATCGTGTCTCCCCGCGTCGGCATCGCGTCACCGACACGAGCAGGCAGCAGTGCATCTACACTTTTCTAAAGCTGATTTTCTGAAGTTGAACTCAGCTCAGGAGATGATATAGTGTCCAAAATGGCTGATCCACACGACTCGCGAGAGGACGAGGCCGTCGAGGAAGAAGAGGAGATCGACGAGACGGTATGGCTGCACCAGAGATAGCCAGTAGCCGCTGCTGACGATCGATCAGGGATATAAATCAGTGAACGATGCCGTTCTCTTCGCGATCGAAGTCAGCGAATCCATGCTGGCGCCCCGGCCCAGCGCTGATCTGAAGAAAGCCGGGCCAGAGTCGCCCGCGAGAGCCGCCATCAAATGTGCATACCACCTGATGCAGCAGCGCATCATCTCCAACCCGAAGGACATGATGGGCGTGTTGTTTTTTGGGACTGAGGCGTCGAAGTTCTATGATGAGGACGAGAACAGCCGGGGCGACCTCTCCTACCCTCACTGCTACCTGTTCACTGACCTGGACGTCCCCGCCGCTGAGGATGTGAAGAAACTTCGGGCGCTGGCGGAGGACGACGAGGAGACGAACCAGATATTGGTGCCGTCGAAGGAGCGGGTGTCGATGGCGAACGTGCTGTTCTGCGCAAACCAGATCTTCACGTCCAAGGCATCCAATTTCCTGTCGAGACGGCTCTTTGTTGTAACGGACAACGATAATCCGCATGGCGACGACCGGTCCTTGCGGTCTGCTGCCACTGTTCGAGCGAAGGATCTGTACGACCTTGGAGTCATCATCGAGCTGTTCCCCATATCCAGACCAGATCACGAGTTCGACAGGACCAAGTTTTATGATGTGGGTTCTTCCACTTCTTTCCTTCCTCGTGCTCAATCTCTACTTACACTGTGGAGGATATTATTTATAAAACCTCTCCCACCGATCCGGAAGCTCCTTCCGCTGATCCGGCCAGCACGCAAACCCCGTCAGTTGGGGGCGACGGGATTACTTTGCTCAAGTCTCTTTTGTCTTCTATCAGCTCCAAGTCTGTGCCCCGGCGAGCGCTGTTCTCCAATATACCACTGGAGATCGGCCCGGGTTTCAAGATTTCCGTGAAGGGATATCTTATTTTCAAGCGTCAGGAACCGGCGAGAAGCTGCTATATCTGGCTAGGAGGGGAGAAACCCGAGATCGCCAAAGGCGTAACCACGCAGATAGCGGATGATACCGCGCGGACGGTGGAGAAATGGGAGATACGAAAAGCATACAAGTTCGGCGGCGAACAAATCTCGTTTACTCCGGAGGAGCAACAGGCATTGCGGAATTTCGGCGATCCTGTGATCCAGATTATCGGATTCAAACCGATCTCAGCCCTCCCGTTCTGGGCTTCGATCAAACATCCCACCTTCATTTACCCGTCCGAAGAGGATTATGTTGGGTCGACACGGGTATTCTCCGCCCTGTATCAGAAGCTCCTCAAGGACCAGAAGATGGCGCTTGTCTGGTTCATCGCGCGACGGAACGCAAGTCCGGTGCTGGCTGCGATGCTCCCAGGCGCTGAGAAGCTGGACGAGAATGGAGTGCAAAGGATCCCACCGGGGATGTGGCTTTTGCCTCTGCCATTTGCGGACGATATCCGACAGAACCCGGAGACGAACCTGGTGGTGGCGCCGGAGCCGTTGATCGACCAGATGAGGACGGTGATCCAGCAGCTGCAGCTGCCCAAGGCGCAGTACGATCCTCTCAAGTACCCCAACCCGTCGCTGCAGTGGCATTATCGGATTCTGCAGGCGCTCGCGTTGGACGAAGACCTGCCGGAGCAACCGGAGGACAAGACGATTCCGCGGTACCGGCAGATCGACAAGCGGGCGGGAGAGTATGTCATCTCGTGGGGGGAGGAGCTAGAAGCGCAGTACCGGAAGATGTTCGAGGAGCAGCCCAAGACATCGACCCTGGCTAAGAGGCCGGGCAGAGCAGAGGCAGCGGAAGGTCCGTCAAAGAGGGCCAAAACCGAGGCCGACGGCGGACAGGGCGTGACAGCCGAAGTCCGAAGCCACTATGAGAGAGGCGATCTGTCGAAGCTGACACTGCCGGTGCTGAAGGAATTCCTTGCTGCGCAGAAGCTGTCGACAGCGGGGAAGAAGGCAGAACTGATCGAGCGGGTTGAAGAGTATTTCGAACGGAAGGGCGGGTAGTCTAGTATTAACTGTCAACTATGTCGACTCATGGATGAGAAGAACGCAGTATTTGATTGAGGGCACTTTTTTTTGATGTCACGACATGGATATGGATATGATATCCTGGTCTAGTCTAGTCCTAATTAGCTGTTGCTATTATCTTGTATAATAGATACCATATCAAACATATTAGAATGGGAATGAAAGAAAAAAAAGGTACATTACAGTACATCAGCAGAACATACATATATACATATACATATATGAACAGAGCACGGACACACTCCCTCCTCTTCGGACAGAAAAGTTCAGATATTACATCCACATCTTACCGCGGAGGTAAATTAAATCAAGACTTAATTAAACAATATATACCTTAGGTACCTAGGTTGATAAGCTAATAGATATCTTGACTAAACCAATAGCTTTTATTTATTTATTTATTCACTTAGTCAATATTTACTTAATAGACTAGGGATGTAGGTATAATATAATATAAGTTAAAATTTATCTAGACTAAATACGTATTCTAGATAATAGTCAATGTATGTACTGCATCTGAGTCTTCTGAGAATGTTTCTCTCTCTTTGCTAGTTATATTATGATCTTTATTAACGACAATACTTCTCAGTTGATCAAGAAAGAGGAGTTTTTATTATTATTATTATTATTATTATTATTATTATTATTATTATTATTATTATTATTATTATTATTATTATTATTATTATTATTATTATTATTATTATTATTATTATTATTATTATTATTATTATTATTATTATTATTACT